TAATTGAAATTCTGCAAACATTTGTAAGTTATTCAAAATTCAATTTTTTTAGTGTTTTTAAGAAAAATTCTTCTATAAATCCACTACTTTTGATAATTAATTAAATATACCCATATTAAAAAATTTAACTAATTTCAGAAGTTTTTTAAAATTTCTAACTAAATTAATTAAAAATTGAAATTTTCTAAAATTTAAAATTAAAATCTTTTGAAGTTCTTCTATTCATGAAAATTGTAAACGCAACTCTTTTAAAATTCAATTAATTTTGAAATATTTAAGTAAAATTATTATTCATTAAATAATTTATAATTTTAACAATTTTAAGTTATTAGAATTAAGTTATTTAAAAAGAAATTATTGTCAGAAATAGAATAAATTGAATGTTTTGTGTTAGAATTCTTGATAATTTTGTAAGGCAAACAAAAAAGACATATGAATTTAAAAAATTTAATTTATTTTCAATTCTTAACAATTTAATTTTTTACCCGTTTTTTTTAAAATTAAATTTATTTTCAATTCTTAAAAATTTAATTTTTTCCAGTACTTTTAACAAAATTCCCTAATTTCCCTGACGAATTCTACTTTGGATGACTTTTCCCTGAATTCTCTAAATGTTCTGACCTGTGGCAACCTTGTTCTAATGAATTTTAATTTCTATTTTCTTGTAGTGAGATTTAATTTTTAATTCTTTTTTTGTAATGAAGTTCATTTTTTTTTGCAATGAAATTTATTTTCTAATTATTATATAAAATCAGAAAAAAAGGAAACTTTTTTGTTCCATAAAAATAAAAATATAGAATAAATATAATTAAATAATTAATTAATAATTAATTAATAATTAATTAATTAATTAATTAATAATTAATTAATAAATATAATTAAACAAATGGAATCAAATAAATTTAATTTAATAAATTAAAATTTTTTAATAATTCTACATAAATCTGTAAAGTCTTCACTAATTTAATTTGTTAATAACAAAAAAAGATAAGAAATTCTATACTACCTAATAATAAAGACATCAACATTAATGAAGAACAAAAGGGAAGAAAGTTTTTACATTAATAACAAAACAATAATAAACAAGTTTCTACATTTAAATAATATATATATCACCAAAAGAAAAAAAGTCTGTAGAAAAGTTATAAATAATTATTTTTCTATATTTTACTGCTTAAATTTAAAAGTCTCTTTGAATAAATATTAATTTATTTACATTTGTTTATTATATTAATTATTTAATTTAATTAGTTATATTTATTATATTAATTTATTTATATATTTATTTATAATTACCTACTTATTTATAGTATGTACTTATTTATTCATATTGACAGGAGAATAAATACAAAGTGTCCTTAAACACGATAGATAAATATAAGTTTCCCCTAAAAGCCATTTTTTGTTTAACAAATAAATTATAATGAAATAACTAAATAAACGATAAATATGGTAATTTTCGGATGATATTTATCTTTGAAAAAATTTTTCACTTTGAAAATAAAGTTGAGTCCTGCAGTGAAGAGAAAAAAGATTATGGGTTATTTCTAAAGGCGTAACTTCCGGTCATAAAACCGCACGCGATTTAGAAATCGATTTAGCAACGCGAAGAATTCACTTTCACACTAGTTTTACACTGTTAGAAATGAGAATTCAAGTTTACACCAGAAATATTGAAATTCACATCAATATAAGATTGAATGATTAAAAACTCATTGGTTTAAAGTTGTTGTCCGATTTATTATATTTTTAAAGCCTTCTCGGCTTCATCTTTGTACGATATTTTGATCTTAGAAAGAGCTCTGAATCTTTGGATATTTAAATAATTTCTTAAGTGAAGAATGGCAAACTATTTTATAATTTGTAATTTATAATTTGGCAAACTATATTTCGAAAGCTATTTTTTAAAATGTAATAAAAATTGATTTTTTTAAAAAAATAACTTTCCTGAAATAAAGAATAATTTGCCATTACTCTATGGTTAATAAATAAATTTTTAACAATTTCCTGTAAATAAGAAAATAGAAAACTTTACACTACAGAAAGATTGCTAAAAATAGCGAATAAAACCAATAAAAAGAAAGCATTCAATTTTTTCGTGTGAAATTTCAATCTTTACGGTGTAAACTTATTAGTCCTATATATTTTTAACAGTTTACGTTGAAAAGAGATTATCTACTGAAGAAAACTCTATTCAACCCAAAGATTCTTTCCCTGCTTTCAATTGCGCTTTTTTCAAAGACCTTCAAGTTCGCGAAAATTCACTGCCGCAATATATATATATAAGACTCGTTTTTTTTTCTCATTTCGTATACATTTATATTTATACGTAATCCAGTAAATATTGTTCTCGCAAATTAATATTTTTTTACTAAAAATATTATTTACTCTCGAAATTTCAATGAAGAATATATTATTAAATTTATATAGTAAATATTTAAAGAAAAAATCTATTAGTATATTAGTAAAAATCATCTATTAGTAATATATTTTTTTTACTATAAAAAAAATATATGAAAAAACCTCAAATTCAGTAGAACCTCCCCTTAATGATGATAATTTAAAAATCGAAGACATAAAAAAATATGGATACAAATTTCATTGAAAAATTAAACAATATTTATCCGAAAAATAAATTTAAAAAATTTGTTTTTGACTGTTTTCGCCTGTTTTTAAAGATTTTTAACAAAATTTTAATTTAAAATTGAAAAATTGTTGTGTCATCGCCATATAAAAGTCTCTACGGAAGAACAAATTTTTTGCTTGTAATTATTATTAAGTTTCTGGTATTTGTAAATTTAAAAAAACTTTCCAGAGCCAAAGCTATGTTATCAGGCCAGCAATTTTTTTAATTTTTGACTAGAATTTCATAAGTATCGTCGTGGAAAAAACCTGGAATTTTACATTTATTATTTTGTGGCAACCATGATTATTTACAAATTATTTTTATAAATTATTATTCAATGATTTTCATAAATAACAACATTTTTTACAGGGATTCAATTATTTTCATAAAATAAAACTCGTCGCAGATTTTCAATTATTTTTAATTTTTAATACAATTTTAATGTAATTCTTCGAAAACTGTAATTATTCTTCAAAATTTTATGGAAATTCAGCAAAGAAATTCAATTATTTTAAAAACTTTTACTAAAATTTATTTATTACAGTTTAAGTATTATTTTCAATACATTTTTATTAAATTTCTTCAAAAAAATTGAATTATTTTCATAAATAATGAAATTTTTTGTAACAATAAATTTTTTTCAAAATAATTTCCATAAAATTGTTTGTAGAAATTTAATTAATTTCAAAAATTTGTCAAAATTCAATTATTTTCAATGTCTACTATATTTCAATAAAATTTCACAAAAGAATTCAATTATTTAAAAAGAAATCTTAATAAAATTCATCTCAAGAATTCAATTATTTTCAAAAATTATAATAAAATTCTCGGCAGAATTTCAATTATTTTTAATACAATTTTCATCATATTTCTCGAAAAATGAAATTATTCTTAAAAATTTTATTAAAATTTGTCAAGAGAATTAAATTGTTTAAAAATTTTCTTGATAAAATTCTTTATGAAAATCCAATTTTAAGAAATATTTAATTATTTAATGAAATATTTATTTTTGTAGTTAAATAATTGAATTCACGTAGAATTTTCTAATAAATATTGATTTAAAAATGAATTTCAGTTAAAATTTTAGATTGTAATTGAATATTAAAGGCATTATAGCGTAAATTTTTAGAAATAATTGAATTTTCAAAAGGTTTTAAATTAAAAACTTTGAAAATTTGAACTTTTCATACTTTTAATTAAGAATTCTGTAGAATTATTTTTTTTTCAAAAAGTTTAATGGAATTTTACTTTAATTATTTAAAGTTTTTAATTTCTAATATATTTAATTGAAGAATGTCAGAATAATGGAAATTTCATAAAATTAAATTGTAAACAAAAGAATTTGAAAATTCTGAAAGAACTTTTTTAAAAATTATTTTTAAAAAATTGACCTGAAGAAGAATTTTAGTTGAAAATTCTAGAAATGAATAATCGACTCGGAGTGATCGATGTCTTCATGTTTTATAATAATATTCTTATATGTTATTGAATTTCAAATTTTTGAAAATTTTAATTTCTATACGAAAAAATAATAATGATTAAATATTTATTTAAAAATGAAGCTATTGATATTTTCAAATAATTTTCATATTAAAAACCTGGAAAAATTCTGTTTTTCAACCTGGAAAACCTGGAAAAGTCAGGGAATTTGAAAAGAGCAAAAGCGTGGCAAAACCCTGGTGAAGGATAATTTAACCATAATTAAAAATAATTTTTTGTTTTTGTTTTGAATGAGTAGATTTTACTAATAAATAATAAATTGATAACTAATTAATAATTAGGTTAATTAGTTATAAAGTATACTTGAAACGTTGAGTTTTAGTTTCTAAATCAATTTGTATGTTTAGGAGATTAAATAAACTTTACTAATAAATAAATAACAATAATAATAATAATAATACAGTAAATTTTACTAATAAATACTAATTTCAACTTATTTATTAGTAGAATTTACTAATTCAAAAACAAAAAGTCAGTCACTAATTCTAATTAAACATTTTTTCTACTTCAAATTTTGAGAATAGTTAATAATAATTTAACCATAGTTATAATTATAGACAATAATTCTATAATTAAAGACAATAATTTTACCATATATTTAATAATAATTTAACAGCAGTTAATAATATTTTGACCATTATTGTTAATGGCGATAATACCAAAATATAAGTCAAATATTTAACAATTGTAATTAAATCATAATAATCAAATAATAATTTCCTATTTCTACTATTATAATATTATTCCATTAGAGAAATAAAGAAATACTTATTAAATGGAAATTTACCTCGAAAATATTTTATTATTTCAATAAAAATAATAAAATTAGATATACCTAATCAAAAATAAAAATAAAAAAAATAAAATAACTCACCGAATAGTGTCTTTTTATTGTACTTAGTCGAAACATCCTTGATGATAACATGTCCTTGAGTCCTAGTTTCCTTGGAGGGTAACAAGCCTTCTTTTGGGGGGGGCACAATGGTGGTAACATTTTTTCTGTCAATCAAACATTAAAAGCAAGTAAGAAATCAATATATCGCAACTTGACACTGAGTAGCCGTAGACGAGAGAGAATGGGGGTGTGGTCACTAGGGTGTCACCAGAAAAATGTTTCAAGAGAAAGAGAAAAAAAATGATATATACGAAAAAATGTGTCATTTATTCAATAAAATCTGTTTTTCAACTAAAAAAAATTTTATTTTTATAATAAATAACGTTTTTTTTGCGATTAAAACAAAAAAATTAGAACTAAATAACAAAAATAGTTTAAATACTAGTAGTAAACAAATAATGATTTTTAATAACAATATTAATAAGAATAATAATAAGAATATTTATAATAATATTAAATAATTAGTTATTAAAAAAATTAGTTGAAAAATTAGAACTTAATGACAAAAATAATTTAATTAATACTAATAATAAACAAAAACGATTTCAAATAATAAGAATATTAATAATAATATTAAATAATTTGTTATTAACAAATTATTTAAAAAATTAGTTCTTAAAAAAATTAAAACTAAATAACAAAAATAATTTAAATACTACTAATAAAAAAAATAATGATTTTTAATAATAATAATATTAAATAATTATTTACTAAAAAAAATTGGTTAAAAAAATAGTTCTTAAAAAAATTAAAACTAAATGACAAAAATAGTTTAATTAATACTAATAATAAACAAGAATGATTTCAAATGATAAGAACATTAATAATAATATTAAATAATTTGTTATTATCAAATTAGTTAAAAAATTAGTTCTTAAAAAAATTAAAACTAAATAACAAAAATAATTTAAATACTAGTAATAAAAAAATAATGATTTTTTAATAAGAATATTAATAATAATATTAAATAATTAGTTATTAAAAAAATAATTTTATTAATACTAGTAATAAAAAAAATATTTTGAATGATAAAAATATTAATTATAATATTAAATAATTAGTTTTTCCATTTTCAACGACAAAAATGTAAATTAAAGAAAATAATTTATTTGTCTATAAAAAAAAATAAATCAGTTTTTCAATCTGACAATTTTATTTAATTTCATAGCGCCTAATTGTAAGAAACCTGCAATACACCAAAGAAGAGAATTCCACTTAGCAGTTATAGAAAAATTAAGGTCACACTTGGATGTATTACGGTTTGCAGGAAAAAAGCCAATAAAATTAAAAAGTTTACCTATTTTTTCAATCGTTATTTCTAATTTTCACATTCACTTTTTTAGATCAATAAATCTTTTTTTCACTATTTTCGCGGTTATGAAAAATTTCATAACATTAAAGAAATTGTTTATTAATGATTACTATTTAAAAAAATTGCAATTCAATTATAATGTCAAAAAAAAAAATGTTAAATCGATAAAAATGACAGTTCGGTTTCTAAATTGCTTAACATTTTTCTATTGTTTGTTATTTTTTTATTTAAGTCGATAATAATAATTTTTCTCTTATTTTTTCTAAATATTTTCTATATATTTTTTTATTTTTTATAAATATATATGTTTTTTTATAAAAACATATTTTTTATAACTTTATTTTCGTTTATTTCTGAACTTCTTTATATAATTTATTTCTGTACTAAATATTTTCTGTCAAATAATCAGTTTGCCCCTGTGGCTATGCAACCCGACACACGCTCATGTAGGGCTGATAAACCATCAACTAAATTCTAACCTACAAAACTTGACAACATCAAAAGTATTTTTATAATTATTCCATTATAACTTATCAATAATTTAAGTAGTAAATTTATTTCTATATTTAATTTTCAACTCACCGGGAATTTTGCAATTAAAATATTATATTACTTCCTCTCTTGCTAATTAGACATGAAAATATCAAGGAGAACCTGAAAACAAATAAAAAGAAAAGATTTTCAAATAAAGACGTTGCAAAGATAAACAATTACAAGCCTCAGGAAATTAATTTATTCAATCTAATTGATTAAAAATGGAAATTAATTGATAAGTGCTTGTAAATGTCAAACTAAGTGATAAACGTGTGATAAATACGATAAATACACATGAAAATCTTGTCAAAAGGTTAGAATACCGTCAAAAATAATTTTCCTTTTCACAATATTTTTGAGAATGTAAATAAATCGTTTTTTATTTTTAATAAACTGATTTCTAAATTATGTAGCTTTCTTATGACCTAAATTAGATAACGTTTCTTTCACTTTTCACTGAATGATGTTAGAAAATTTTTGAATTTCATTTAAAACGTCTGTCGCAATCAAGAGAACTAATACAAACATTGAACACTGATTGGTTGAGTCCAGTTACGGCGGGAAGAGAGGGGGAGATTGACAGAAGAACAGGTCTTGGAATGATTTCATTGTTCGGTCATAATTTTCTTTTAAATAGCTGGTTTTTCGTAATTCAAACATAAAGGTAATTATTAATCGATAAGTGCTTTATACTGGATAAAAAAAAGTGATATCACATAACAGGAAATTATGTTAATTTACGTTTCTTTGTTAGAATCTTTTTATACTTCCGCTTGCTTCGCTACTGGATAATGTAGAAAAAAAGAGATGTCATGATCCGTATATGTTCTGACAGTTATCCATGAATGTGTTGGTGGTAATTTTATGAGAAATCTCAGTGATGTACTAACAACGCGGATAAAAATTGCCACGTAACGGCAAAAAAGAAGAAGAAGAAGAAAAAAAAAGAAGTGGTTATTGGTAAAAAGTGAAAGTGAGCCTTATATACGAACCTAACCTCAAATATAATCAAATAATTTGACAGCAGTGTTTGGGGAGAGTTTTCGATTGTTTTCATTTCATTGTTTATCAGTGAATCTATGTTTTCATTATCAGCGGACACTTGTCATTTTTATTATCAATAAAAGACGATTAGAATTTTTTGCTTTTTTTTAATGCCAAATGAATTTTGGGAGTTTAATTATACATTCCACACTCCCTTTCACGTATCAAATTTCATAGAAAGTGTTATAAACGTTATAAAGAAAGTATCGGACATTACATATGTGAAGACAAAGATTTGAGTGAAATTTCTTATTTTTGAATTGTGGAAAAGTGATTTTCTTATGTTGCTGGATGTAAGACACGATTAATAATTTGGAGCATTGTTATAATTTTAGGAATTTGTCGCTTTGCCAGATTTCTTGCAATTATTTCATAATAATAACCATTTGTTTTGGCAAAAATTTTATAATCATTTTTAGTGATGAAAAAATTTCGTCATACGACGCTCTCTTTTCATGGATTGACAGTTTCGAGTTCGTCATTTGAATGAAAGTAATATTTAATCCATTTTTGCAAAATGGGATATTTGCTAAAAAAAAATTTACTATTTCTTTTTAAAGAGTTTTAAATGAAAATATTTTTTTTTATTTATAGAAATAATTTTAATTCCATTTTTTTTTGTATTTGTTTTTAGTGCGAGTTTTTTTGCAAACTTTTTTAAAGGTGATTTATATGATAGGATAATTTACAGTTGCTGATTGCAGATCTTTAACTAACTCATCGGCTTTTTGCTTGCGCAACATGTTTACATACAAATTTTCTGTCATTTTATTGCTTCCACATAAGTTAATTGAATTTAAATATGAAGAGTAATGTTAATTTAAATTACATTTAACTTTAATATTTTTTTTCCATATTTTTCATTATTGAGGAGAGTTTTTTTTTTCTTGGATTAAAAATTTTGAATATTGTTTCTTTTTCCTTACAGCTGTTTCCTTCGTTTAGAAGCTATTCGCCAAAACATAGCTTCTGCCTACGGCAGATGCAGTCTTTGCTGCCGTCCAAATTAGTTCAAGGAGTTCAGGGAATCATGGAATTTTGCAACGAAGTCGGAGTGCACATGAGACAAGAAATTGATCCGCCAAAAAAATCTTGGACTGAACTTGGCGGAGTCGTCAGCGATTTGCGTCGACGATTCTCTGGAATGCTTTCTGGTTCGATTCCAGGATCAGTTTCATTTAGATCATTACCTGATGGAAGGTAATTAATAAAATCAAAAACAAAATTTGTTAATAATAGAAATTTCTAATTAAATTAAATTGGAAAATTTTTGTTTTCAGGACGAGAATTTATTTTCTCAGTTCGTCGAGCAGTGGCTACGAGACAACACTCTTATACGTCGACATTGGTCACTCGGATCATGCGAATGGTTACAAATTACATTGGCAGCCAGTAATCGAGGCAAATTTTCAAATGTGCTTATTATTTTTCACTAAAATAAATCATTTCTCTGATAATTTAGAACTTGGTAAATTTTCTGAAACAGAAAAACTCTTTTTAGTGTTGCCAACTCTAATCGTCTATCGAAAGAAGAACAATTACTTTGGGAGAGAAAAAGACTTGTCACTTTTGGCATAACGAGTTACGAACTACATGCGGAAAGTGGAAAATTGGTCTTTCCAGCGGCGAGCAATCTCTATCAATGTGTCGACACTGGATTCGTGGTAATTAAAATTGTCCCTTATTCATTTCTTTCAGTAATTAAAATTCTTTGTAAAATTTCGAGCACCTTTCAGAGTTGCCACAAAAATTTAATTTTGTTTTTCCCTGACATTTTCCTGACAAAATTTTGACTTTTTCCCTGACCCTAAAGAATATTCTGATTCACTCTAAAAATTATTAGATACTCAAAAAAAATGTTCTATTACATTTGTTTACAAATTTTTGAAATTGTAAAATTATTCAAAAACATCAATAAATTCTTTTTTGAATAAATATTTAATTATTATTTTTCCATGGGAATTAAAATTTTCAAACGATTTCAAATTCAAATCTTTTGAAATTCAATAACTTATAATAATTAAAAGTGACAGAGTGATAAAATCATTATTTTATATTACCTATAATATAAGAATATTGTTACTTTAACTTCTTCAAAATTATTTTCATCATTTCAATTCAATTATTATTTTCTACAATTTTTAAATAAAATTCTCCTTTAAATCAATTATTTTTAATAATTCTTGATAAAGTTCTTTCGAGAATTTTCAAATTCATTTGTTTACAATTCAATTTTACGCAACTTCGATTACTCGGAAATTCTTCAATTAAATATACATTAGAAAATAAAAAATTGAAATAATTTTTAAATATTTCGATTACAATTTTTGAAAAAAATTAATTCCACAGAATTTTTAATTGAAAGTATGAAAAATTCAGATTTTTAAAGATTTAATTTAAAATCTTTACAAAATTCAATTATTTCTCAAAATTTCAATTATTAGTAACTTCTTCAAAATTCAATTATTATCTAAAACTTTAACTGAAATTAATTTTTAAATAAATTTTTATTACAAAATTCTGCGAAAATACAATTATTTAAATACAAACATAGACAATTTATAGAATAATTGAATGTTACTTAAAATTGAATTCATATACATAATTTTATCAATAAATTTTTAAATAATTGAATTCTTTCGACGAATTTGAATAACATTTTTAAAAATAATTACATTTTTCGAGAAATTTGATTAAAAATGTATTAACAATAATTGAAATTCTGCAATGAGTTTTATTAATTATGAAAATAATTGAATTATTTCGAAGAATTTTATAAAAAAAAAAGTTTCAAACAATTGATTTTTTCGAAAAAATCAAATTTTTTAATAATTGAATTCCTGTGAAATTTGCATTATTTTAGAAAATAATTGAATATTGGTGTAGAACTTTCTCAAAATTGTTTTTAAATAATTGAATTCTTTTGCGAAATTTTATTAAAATAATAGATATAGGTTCAAATTATTGAATTAAGAAAACTTTTTGAATATAATTGAACTTTTGCAATAAATTTTAATGAAATTTTTTTAAATAATTGAATTTTATTACTTTTGATAATAATTGAATTCTTGTGATGAATATTATTTATAAAAATAATTGATTTCCTACGAATGATTTTATTATTTATGAAAATAAATGCCAAATTTTAAACCATTTGATTTTTTCAAAAAAGTTTATGCAAATTCTATTTTAAATAATTGAATTTTCGGGAAGAATTTTCCTCGGAATTTTCTAAAACTTTGTTAAAATGATAAAATTCTGTGAAGAGTTTTGTAATTTATGAAAATAATGGAATTTTTATAAAAACTTTTATTATATTTACGATTACGAAAAGAATTGAAATTTCAGGAAGAATTTTATGAAAATTTGTTAAAATGATTAAATTTCTAAGAAGAGTTTTGTAATTTATGAAAATAATTGAATTCTTATGGAGAATTTTATTATTTACGAAAAGAATTGAATTTTCAGGAAAAATTTTATAAAAATTTGTTAAAATTATTAAATGTCTGTGAAGAGTTTTGTAATTTATGAAATAATTGAATTTTTATGGAAAATTTTATTACTTATGGAAATAAATATAAAAATTTTTTTTTTAATAATTGAATTTTTTTGAAAAATAATTGAAATGTTGTTAAGAATTTTATTAAAATTTTTGAAAATATTTCAATTTTGATGAATATTTTTGTTTATAAAAATAATTGAATTTTACAATGTATTTTATAAGAGTTCTTGAATATAATTGAATTTATTAAGATAGTTGAATTAAAATAAAAAATATTTTATTAAATGATTTATAAGTAATAACTTTATGGCAGTTCTTCAATAGAGTTAAGTTATTTAAAATAAATTATTGTCAGAAATAGAAGAAATTTAAGGTTTTGTTTAGAATTCTTGGTAATTTTATAGTTTATGAGGCAAACAAAAAGACAAAAATTCAGAATTTTCTTATAAATTCTAAACATTTAATTTTTTCCAGTACTTTTAATACAAATCCCTGACTTTTCCCTGATTTTCCTAACCATTTCTACTTTCCCTGACTTTTTTCTGAATTCCCTGACCTTTCTTAATTAAATTTGATTAACTAATTAATTAACTTCAATTTAACTGAGTAATAATAATTCCTGAAGTTTTAAACGATCAAGTAAACGAAATTTATTGATTGTTTCTTCAAATTCTCGTTGGTTTATGCAATAAAAAAAAATTAATAACTTATATTCTAGCCCGGAGCATTGTTTCCATCGGAAATTCGAATGTCGACACCTGGCGCTAAATTGTGTCCGCAAATTTGTCCCTGGAACAGTGCTTTGGTGGCCCACACGTGTGCTGGTGATTTGCATTTGTCCCACTGCATTACAGGATCTTCCGTAAGATTGACCCACGCGCGAAAAGGTAGTCGAAGTCTGGCCGATGATCCTCTCACGGCAGCGACTCCATCGTACGTGATGCAGGAGGAATTCCTACGGTTTGTCACTCGAAATCAATAATTACTCATATTCCACAAGAGTAAATAAAATAATACTTTCTCTATGGAAATAAATTCTACAAATGAAATGAAATTAATTTTTCTCTTTTAGTTACACGGGTTTCTGGTGGCAGCCAAAATCGGAAGATGGAATTTACCGGATCGTTTACGAGGAAGTCGATGAGAGTGATGTGAAAATTTTCCGTCAACCCTCAATGACAACAAGTTCCGAGGAAATGGACGAATTTCGCTTTCCCCGAGCGGGATCAAATAATGCACGAAGTAATTTAAAAATGGTGCAATTTAAATTAACTGACACATTACAAATCGTGGACATAAAGAATCTTGAATTGCAATTCCCGCTTCATATCATGTTTCCCTGGATGGAATATATGGTTCGAGCAGGCTGGACACCTGACGGACGACAGTGAGTAACGAATAATTTAAACTAGTTTCAAAATTTTACCTCTTCAACAACTTTTCAATTTAATATCAATTATTAAATATTTGATAAATAACGAATCAATAATTGAATTTTATTCCAGCATTTGGGTGCAATTATTAGATAGAAAGCAACAAAGACTCGAGTTAGTTTTATTATCCTTAGACAACTTCTGCGAACCGCCGCCAAACGTTTACAATTGTGAAAATCACGTGACACCATCGTCGTCAAGTGTTCAGGTCATTTATTCCGAGCACAATTCTTGCTGGATCAATGTGAATGATTTACTTTATTTCTTGCCGTCTGACGATCCAACGGAAATAAAATTTATCTGGGGAAGCGAGGAGACAAACTTCAGACACTTGTATCTTGTCACGTCCAGTATAGCAGGTGTGTAATTTTTATAATAATAATCGAGATATTCTGTCCTCACGTCAATTTACGGCTTTTTCATTCCAAATTGTTTTGCAGCTCAAATTGTCATGTCAAAAGTTTGACAATTAATTTGTAAATAGAGTAACTAGTGTTTTAGTGAAATCAATTCCTCTAGAATTTTTACAAAAACAAGATTTTCACAGGACAGAGAAATAACTAAAATAAGGAAATTTTATCCAAAGTAGATAAAAAAAAATTAAGTTATTGAAAATCTTAAATAATGAATTTTCTTTCTCAAATTAAAAAAAATCCGGAAGTAGTTACAATTGCAATTTTTAGAAATAATCAATTATTTATTTTTGTATTTAAATAATTGAATTCTCGTTCAACTTTTTGATAAGAATTGATTTCAAAAAGAATTTCAGTTCAAATTTTAGAAAATATTTGAAGAATTCAAAGAATTGCAGTTCCAATTTTTAGAAATAATTAAATTTCAAACGGTTTTATATTGAAAGTATTTTGAATTTTTAATTCCTGACGGACAAATAAATAATAAGTATTCAAATATTTATTAAACATAAATTAATGAAATTTGAAAAATTCCATTGTGAAATTCTGAAAAAATTAGGATTTTAAAAAAACGTAATTAAAATTTTTTGAAAATAGTTGAAATCCCGAAAATAATTTTAATGGAAAAATAGTAAATTATATCAAATTTTATTAAAATAAATATATATCAAAGAATTTTCTTTCGCACTTTACAAAATTATTTTTAAAAGCATTTTATTGTATTTTTAAAAAATTGTGACTTAAAATTTAGAAAATAATTAAATTTTACAAAAAATTTTGTATTTAAATAATTCAATTATCGTTGAATTTTAAAAAGAATTGACTTGAAAAAGAATTTCAGTTCAAATTTTAGAAAATATTTGAAGAATTGAAAGAATTGTTTTTCCAATTTTTAAAAATAATTAAATTTCAAAAGGTTTTACATTCAAAGTATTTTGAAATTTTAATTCCTAGAGGGCAAATAAATAACAATAAGTATTCAAATATTTATTAAACAAAAATTAATGAAATTTGAAAAATTCTATTGAGAAATTCTGAAAAAATGAGGTTTTTAAAAAATCGTAATTAAAATTTTTTGAAAATAGTTGAATTCCCGAAAATATTTTTAAAAAATTGGAAAAAAGCAAATTTTTTTAAATTTCATTAAAATAAATTTTATAGGATCAGAGAATTTTTTTCTCACTTTAAAAAATTATTTTTAATTGCATGTCTTTGAATTTTTTGATTGTATCTAAAAATTTGGAAAATAATTAAATTTTACAACAATTTTTATTTTTAAATAATTAAATTATTATCGTTGATAATAAGAATTGATTTGAAAAAGAATTTCAGTTAAAATTTTGAAAAATAATTGAAAATTTGAAGCGTTATGACAAGAATTTTAAGAAATAATTAAATTTTAAAAGGTTTTTAAATTGAAATCTTGTTAAAATTTTAATCGCCGTAAATTTATAAAAATATTTGAATGTTTATTTAAAAAAATTATTAACATAATATTTTCTCTTTGAAAAGAATTAAAATTTTGAATAATTTTATTCAAAAATTCTAAAAAATAATTGACTTTTGGAAAAATTGCAGTTGTAATTTTTAGAAATAGTTCAATTTCAAAAAGTTGTACATTAAAATTATTTAAAATTTCAATGAAAAGAAATAATAATAAGTTTTCAAATATTTGGTTAACAAACATTATTGAATTTTTGAACAATTTAATGTGGAAATTTAAAAAAGAATGAAGTTTTTGAAAAATTGTAGTTAAATTTTTTTTCAAGATAATTGAATTCCCGAAAACAATTTTAAAAATTGAAACAATAAAAGTTTTGTCTTTCATTAAAATAAATTTTATATTTGAAAGAATTTAATTATATTACTTTTAACAATTGTTTGAAAATTTAATCGTATTTTTGTAGAATTATATTTCGAAAAATTATATTTTTTAAATAATAAATTTTTGCTACTTAACTATTAGTTGAATATTATTAAAATATTAAATAAATATTCATCAATCAAAATTTAAATATTTATCAATCAAATATTAATTAAAAAATTGAATGTTTCTTCAATTAGCAGTAGAATCAATGATTTTAATTTTAATTAATACATCGAGTGTATAATAGTTTAAAAAACATTTTCTAGGAATTGCTTGTTGAAGAAATAATAAGTATCATCAAACAGGAAGCTGTTCCCTTGAGTTTGAATTCAATTAAATGAAAAAAATTCTGGTTTAAAATTTGATTCACTGAAAATTTTACCAGACAAAATTCTATTCGATGTAAAATAATATAAATTATAATAATATAAACATAAATATGTTTATATTATTTTACATCGAATAGAATTTTGTCTGGCAAAGTTTCTTGAAGTTTACAACAATAATAATTTATAATCAACAATTAAGGAGAAAAAATAATTTTCCGGTTAAAATTACAATAAATTTTTGATTTAAAATGTTTTGCATACTTTCTTGATCAATAATTTAAAGAAGAAAAATTAATAAACAGGGAATTAAAATGTTTTCCTCGTGTGGAATATTTTTTTTCCTTACAATCGCTGATTATAAACGTTGCGAACTTCACTGACGTTTTGTTTCCATATTTATTTCCTATTTTAATTTTAATATTTTTGTATTGCTTTTAAAAACAATAGAAAATTATTCTACTAATGATGAAATTTTGCATTTTAGGCTCGAGTAATGGAATAGAAGAGCCACTTGACAAAATGGATAGCGTTTTCTCGGAACCGCGAATAATTTCGAAGATCGCCTTGACCCAGGGGGACTGGCAGGTGTTACAGAGGAATTTGTGGATCGATGAGAAAAATTCGATTGTTTATTTTCTTGGCTTTCGCGAGGGACCCCTAGAGCAACATATTTACGCCGTTTCACTTAATCGACCGCTGGAAGTTCGTTTACTCACTCGGCCAGGTTACAGTTACACGAGTGTATCATTCAACAAGGATTGCTCCATTCTGGTCACAGTTTATAGTTCAATTAAAACTTTACCTGCCTCTCAGGTACATTTTTCAACTTTATTACTATTTTGCCATCTCCTAAATTCACAAAAACTTTGCAAACATTCAAATGATCGAAATATTTTAACTCACTTTCGAAATTGTGCAATAAAAATGAAAAATGCAAATTAAACAAAGTAAATTAAATTCTTTGAAAAAGTGACGCAGTACGTTAATAAGATTTGAATTTTAAAAAGGAAATAAATAAATTCCGCTCCTTTGAATGTTTAAAACTTCTTAGTTTTGAATATTATAAAAGTACGTAGTCAATAGAAAATTTAGTTACTAAATAATTATTTTAATAATAAATTCAAAATTTCCTTTTCAATTTTATCACTTTAGGTATTTCGAGTATCACTTTCAGATTGGACTGTCGACAGTATTGTTTTAACACCAGTTGGATATATTTTAGAACCATCGACTGTTGAATTTTTAGATCTTCTCATACCGGAAATTTTTACGCACAAAATATCCTCTGGTGATACTATTTACGCGATGATTTTCAAACCCCATAATTATCAACCAGGAATAAAATATCCGACTGTTATGAATGTTTACGCTGGACCGGAAATACAACTCGTTTCAAATACTTTCAAGGTTCGTATTTTAGTGAAATGTTATATATTAAGGTATTACTATCACGACAATTACACAAATCGAGAATGTCAGAGATCACAGTACTTTTTTTTCCCTTTAAAATAGGTGAAAAGGTGAATTATTTTTTGAAAATATGTAGGTAAGAAAACGTGTTATTTTCTAGTCGTTAAAAAAGGTAACAAAAAAATATTACATACAAAAATTTACCTTTGCAAAGTAACTAATTTCTATTTCAATATATCAAATTTCTTAACAATAATAATTAAAGGTTAAATAGTTCAAAATTTGGATAATTTGACATTTGAATCGATTCTATCTTTAGACAGATAGAAAATTCGATAATTTTAAGTTGCAATGGATTTAATTAATTAATTAACTTGACTAAAATTAAAATATGTATAATTTAAACTGTTATAGAATTAAAAAATAAAATCAATTAAAAATTTTATTACTAAACTTGTTTTAAAAAATAAAAATTAGGATTCAATAAAAGTTGAATTACTTAAGATTAAATGAAATTTGAGTAAAATTGAAATTTTGGCGATTGAAATTTGTATTGAATAAAATTGAATCAATTAAATTATTAGTTAACCAGTAAATATTACTCGGGAAACGTTGCATTCTATTTATTACTGTTAAGCAAATTAGAAAATTTTTTAGTTTTAAATATCAACTTTAATCTTTGAATAATTTCAGATTAAAACTTTTAAAAAATTTACTTATTAACCAATTATTATTTATTTTTTTTAATTTTAATAAAATATTTAACAAGAATTCAATTATTTTTATGTAAAGAATGAAATTTTTAACAGGAATTCAATTATTTGCAATATAATTTTAATAAAATTCTCGCAAGAATTCAATTACTGTCAACACAACATTAATAAATTTTGTCCAAAGAATTCAATTACATATTAATTCAAAAGTTTTGATAAAATTTTTTATAAGAATTCAATTATTTTTAAATAAAAGAAAATTCTTCATAGTAATTATATTATTTTCAATTCAATTTTAATATAATTCTTCGCAAGAATTCAATTATTTTTAAAAAATTGAATAATTTTTTTTTAATAATAAAATTCTTCATAGAAATTTAATTATTTTTAAAAATTCTCAAAAAGTTTTCCAAAAAACTACATTATTTTAAAAAAATTTAAAGAAATTCTTTAGAAGAATGAAATTATATTTTAAAGTTCTTCCAAAATTCTTGAAAAGAATTCGAATATTTTTATTATTATTCGAAAGAAATTTGAAAATATTCGTTAATTAAAAATGAAATTCATAAAATTATTAATAAGAATTTATTTATTTTTAATGCATTAATTTTAAACTTCGAAATCTTATTTAAAAAAAAGTTAGGAAACAATAAGCAAACTTAGTAAATTTTATCAAAAGTAGTAGAAAAATATTAAATTTCTAGAATTTATAAGAAAATTATGGTTTTATTGTCCAGCAGTATTTGAAAATATTAACAAAATTTTATTCCAGAATTTTTTTTCTTTGCCTTATGAACTTTAAAATTATCACAAGTTTCAATACAAAACTTTTAGTTTTTTCTATTTCTATTTTTCTATTTTTTCTAATTGAAAACTTTACAGAATTGAAACTGAATTTATTTTAACTAATTTATTTCTTGAATAACGATAATAAAATTTATTATTTATAAATGATTCAAGAAAAAATTTTACTTAAAAACAAAAATAATTGAATTTTAGAAGAGTTGCGCTTACAATATTTTAGGGAAACTTTTTTTTCTTTAAATAATTGAATTCTTAAGGATCATTCTCAAAAATTATTAAATACAATTGATTTAGAGAAGAATTTTATTTATAAATAATAATTGAATTAAAATCTTGAAACTAATTTTGGAGAAATTACAGTATCAATTTTGAGATAAATTATTGAATTTCAAAAGGTTTTAAATTTGAAAATTTTTATAATCTTAATTTTTATGTAAAAAATAATAATTAAATATTTATCAAAAAAAGCTATTGATGTTTCAAACAAGTTTACAATTAAAAATATTCAAAAATAAATGTATTCGAACAATTTTTTGTGTATCTAATTACTATTATATTAAAATATTTTTTAGGGTCAGTGAAAAAGTCAAAATTTTATCTAGAAATCAGAGAAAAATAAAATAAAATTTTTATGGCAACCCTGTTAATTGAATCATTTATAATAAAAAAAAGGTGAAAATCTATAATTTTGTACCTAATTATTAAGTTAAATTTAAACTCAGGAATTTTCCAAAATTTCTATTTAAGCTAACGAATTATTTTCACAAATTCAGAGCTTTTTTATGTATTTAACAATTTTTGAAATATATTGCATCAAAAAATTAATCGGATCGTAAACAATAGTAAGAAATTATGGAAATAGGTGACAAAATTTTAAACAGATAAAGAAGTATGATCTCTGTAATTTAAAAGAAAATACTTTTTTTTTAAATTTTTGGACTTAAAGTTATTTCTTAATTATTAATTAATGATTTTTAATTAATATTTCTCAATTTTATAGCATTAATTAATTTTTTTGTTGTATTTTCGTGATAGTAATACCTTAAAAAATGAATATCGAGGTTTGAATTAACTTGAATCATTTATAGGGAATGAAGCATTTACGAATGCACATGCTCGCGGCGCAAGGATATTGTGTTGTAATGGTTGATTCACGTGGTTCGCAAAATCGTGGATTTGCCTTTGAAAGTTATTTGCGACGTAAAATGGGAACTGTAGAATTAAAAGATCAAGTGGAAGTATTAAAATGGCTGGCGGAATCAACTGATTATATTGATATAAATCGCGTCGCCATTCACGGATGGTCCTACGGCGGTTACATGAGTCTCATGGGCTTGATTCAATATCCTGATGTTTTTAAGGTAATAATTTTAATAATTTACCTTCTTTTTAAATTAAATTTCACACTTTCAAATGAACTGCAATTTTTTTTCTATTTAAATATTTACAAAAATTACTTCCTATTTAGACTTCCCACTCAAGAATTACTTTTAAAAAAGGAGCAAAAAGTAGCTATCGAAAAATTGAATTTGACGACTAAAAAAAACTCGTTTTACTCGATTCACAAAAATTTAATTCAGTATTTCTTTGACTTCTTCCCGATTTCTATCAAAAATATTTACTTTCCTTTCTTATCCTGCCTTCCAATTCTAAATTTTTCTAAAAATCAGTTATTTTCCAAATTTTTAAATTGGAATTCTTCGAAAATACTATTATATTTCAAAATAATTTTGAAAAGTGTAAAAATAAAATTCTTTACAACATAAAATTTATTTCAATTAAATTTGACAAAATCTTAAACTTATGGAAATTTAACTAACTGAAAAAAATTTTAATTAAAATTTTTCAAAAGTCTAATTTTTTTTCATAATTTCTATATTCAAAATAATTTCCTGTTACTAAATTTTAAATTTTATTGCAAAATATTTTTTTCAATATTAAAAAAATGTAATTCTTTACAGTTGGCAATTGCCGGAGCTCCTGTAACATCCTGGCACCTTTACGACACAGGATACACGGAAAGATATATGGATCTTCCGCAGGACAATCAAGAGGGTTACGCAAACGGTTCTGTGATATCGCACGTAAACAAATTTCCCGACGAAGAAAATCGATTACTCATTATTCACGGAATGATGGATGAGAACGTTCATTTTTATCACACGAGTCAATTAATAAATGCCCTAATTAAGGCCGGTAAACCTTATCAATTACAAATTTATCCCGACGAGAGGCACAGTTTAAGAAATTTAGACGCCAACAAACATTACGAGACAACATTTTTATCATTTCTACAAAATCATTTGTAAATGCTTTCCCTTATTTTTTAGTCTCTCATTGTTCATCGTTCACACAAATCTAATTTAACCGCTAACATTTATGTATATGTATAAATATAATATTTATACAATATATATAAAAAAAATACTACGAGTGACTGCCGTTAATTGTTATATGTAAATAGAAGTAAAAAAAAATTATACACTTTTTAATGCGTTTTTGCGACATCATTTTTACATACATATTATGAAAAAGAAAAAAAATCCAGTCGTAATAAATTATAACTGGAACTACGGCGATTGAAAATACAGTATTAAAGATCGTTTTTTTTTATCTGCTGATAAATTGTATTACAAAAAAAAGCAATCAAATACTTGATAGACTAAAAAGTAATGTATAAATGAAATAGCTGAAGGTGCCAGAAGAAAAATCTCGCTAAAATCGAATTTCCGCGCGTTTAACGTGACTTAATATTTTGTTCTTTTTTTTAAAGGAATAGAGAAAGTAGCGAAGAGTTACTCTTGTTCACCGTAATTGAAGAAAACTTTGTACGTTAATTAGACTCCGTAGGAGAGATTACAGAGTAACTATATGTTTTTTTTTATTTTATATATAGATATATATAAAAAGAAAAACAATCGACAATACTCTCAATTATTTGTACAATATATAATTATTATTCTTATAATTATCAGTTATAGACCTCATGCATAAGAATTATTTACGATAAAATAATACCGAATGTTACTTACTACGCGTTCATTTAATAATTTGATCGTTAATTTCTTTTTTTTGAGAATTTTTGATATTATGTACATAGTTGTACAAGTGACAAAAATAATTTTTGTCCTGTTAATAAAAATTAATGTGAGAAATTTATTTAAAAATGAAACTTGTTCGCAAAAATGTAATTCGTGAGATACTAACGTATATAAGTATATATATATTCATTTATATATATATCAAATTTGATTTATCAATAAATAAATTTACTATTTTAATAAGTTGATTTCCTAATTTATAAAATCCTTAATTATTATAAAAACTCAAATTTATAAAACGAAAGTTTTCTTGCAAATTAATAACTAAATTTTATTGTAAATAAATGTAAAACTTCTACATTTTTTAAAAGTTTGCGTTAATAAATTCAGAAGTTATCATAAAAACATTGTTTTCTTTTACTAATTTTCACTAAAGATATAAATCAGAAATTCAAAATTCCCTAATTTTGAAAGTTCAAATGGACGAAATTTATTTATTTTAAAAATTCAAATTCTACTCGTATTAAAAAGTTTATTTGTTAGTTTTGCTTTCAATCAGTAATTTTTAAAAATATTTTCTACAAAAAAATCCACTCATTTGAACGTTCAGAATTTTTGGATTCTGAAAATTCGAAAGTTTTTCAAAAACCTTTATTTAATGATAATAATAATAATAATATGCATACTTTTTCATTCAGTTTAATGTTTCCTCCACGTTCCAACCTTTGTTTTTCTGTTTAAAAATATGTACAAATATTTGATTCTTTTCTGCAATTCTTTCCACTTGGTAGGCCTTTTCAATGGGAAAATACCACGTTTCCATAAATTTCTCTTTCGTAACAGCACTTGATATTCATTTCCGCTTACACCTCGTAACCAAGAGGGAATATTATATAAAATTCTTGTAGGATGTAATGCTTCATTTCCCAGTATGTCAATATAATCGTTTTGCCCAAAAAGTGCTCTATGCTGGCACCAAGCATCTTTTGGTCGAAATACAGGCATCGGCTTAACACGCTCTGTACTTTCTCGAGCCAAAAGACCTGTCATGTCAATTCTTTCAGAATAACCATATCTTTTAATCAGAGGACCCTTTGCAATTTTTTCTGCATAATATCTGTGACGAACAGTCGTTACTTGAGGAATCCACGATCGAAAAGTTGAAAATAAACCTTTGGTAAAGCTCGCCATTTCTGTCGAACGAAATTACAAAAATGTTACAGTAAATGCACAGGATTCACAGTAAATACGGTAAATAGTTTTTTTTAAGATTTTCAGTTACGAAAAAAGTCTTTTTAGTCGATTAAAAACACAAAAAAAAATCGAAAAAGTCGTTTATTTAATTAATTATTGCCGCAAAAATTTTATTTTATATTTTCCTGACCTTTCACTAATTTCTAAATTCAAAACTTATTTTGATTATTATTTTATCATTCAAAACTTGACTTCTCCCTGACTTCCCTGACCTGTGGCAACCCTGTTCTTATTTGTTTTTCCACGGGAAATAAAATTTAAAAAATTTAAAACTTCTAAAATTTATAAATTACAACTATAACCCTTTCAAAATTCAATTATTTTCAACAATTTTGAACTAAACTTCACCCCTAAGTCAATTATTTTTAATATTTTTCCTAAAGTTCTTCGAGAATTCAATTATTTAAATATAAAAATTCAATTTATTATAATTGTAAACATTGTAACTGTCCATGTTTTTTCTAATTATTAAGATAGAATATTTTCAAAAAATTATAACAAAGAAATTGTTAAAATTAATTTTTTCAAAAATTTTTGAGAGATAATAGTTTTTCTATTAAAAATACTATTGCAAAATTTTCAAACAATGGAAATTTAATAAAATCTTTTAAAAATAATTGAAATTAGAATAAAAAATTCTAAGAATTGCTTTTTCAAAATATTTCAATATAATTTTTTAGAAGCTAATTTTTATTAATTTAAATTTACACTTGAAGATTTTTCATTAACATTTTTGAAAATTCACTTATTTTCAAAATTTGCAATTTAATTTCTTCAAACGTTGATTTTCATAAATTGTAATAAAATAATTGAAGAAAAAAAAATCCATTATTTTCATTTAAATTAGAAAAATTATTCAAAAATAATTTTCGAAAGATTTTGATGCAATCTCTGCACTGTAAAAAAAAATTTCTGTAGATTTACAGTTTTGTTTAGAATTTTATAGAAACTTGTAAAATAACTTCTTTAAAAGTAGTGAATTTAAAATCCCTTCTGTAAAATTAATACTTTTAATGTGTCAATTTTACAATTTTCTGTAAATTTACTACTCTGAATGTAGGTAATATTTTTGTCTTTTTATTACCTACATTCAGAGTAGTAAAACAGAAAATTGTAAAATTGACACATTAAAAGTATTAATTTTACAGAAGGGATTTTAAATTCACTACTTTTAAAGAAGTTATTTTACAAGTTTTTATAAAATTCTAAACAAAACTGTAAATCTACAGAAATTTTTTTTTACAGTGTGGAAGAAAAGTCGAAAAAGTCCTAATTTTTTAAAATAAGTCGTAAATAGTCGCATTTTTTGAAAATAGTAGAAAAAAATTGAAAAAGTTATTTTTCACACTATAAAAATCGAAATAAGTTACATTTTTTATACTAAAAAAAATGTGGTATTTTGTTGCAATAATTGGAAGGCTTGGAAGAAAAATCGAAAAAGTAATATAATATTTTAATATAAATCGAAAAAAGTCGCCTTTTTTGAAAATAGTCGTAAAAATGATAATATCCGAGGCCTGCTCTTAAACTAAGCGAAATTAAATGCATTTAATAAACTAAAATCGTTAAAAACAAACTGTGGTAACATAACCTAAAAATAGTTCGAAATTGCAAATTATAAGTAAGAAATTTCAGTTGGTACTAACCTTGATTTTAATTAACACTCCCACTTATTGTATTTGTCTTACTAATGTAATTTAATGCTACATTAAGTAAGTTTAGCAAGTACATCAAGTAAATTAAATATTTATATCAGAAATTAACAACACTCCATGTGTACTTTTCATTCTTTCCAAAAGGAAACTGTCCAACTTCCAACATTTCCATAAGATGGCACTACTGTAAATAGGCGGTAAATTTAATTATTCAAACCACCCATAATGTTTAAATTTTTTAAATTTAAACAAATTAAAAAGAAATAGTTAAAGAAATTGAGTTATTAAGAAGAACTAATTCATATACCTATTATTAACATCATTCATTATCAATTATATTTCACCAAAGAACCATATTTTTAAAGAAATTCTTACCGGTTTTCCATAGAAACAAACGTGCATTGTCGACACACGTGTTGCATATCGCCAGGGGTAATTTTTTTTTTTTTAATACAAAATAGAAAAATCTTATATAATTAATTAAAAATAAATGTAAATACACAAATATTTGAATCTGTTATTCTTTTTTTTGTATTAACTAATTATTTACATATTGTAAATTTTGTTTCTAAATTATTTATTTCGAAAAATATAAATTTCGATCATTTTCGTGAATTTGCGAAGATAACCGAAGGTATTTTATAATTTTCTACACCTGACGCGCAGTTTGCCTTTGCTTTCGATGAAATTCTTCGTCCCCTATTTCTCAGTGTGTCGTGTCCTATTGAATTGCTGAGTGACGGTTAATTTCACTCTACAAAACATGAAAGTTTTATTATTTTGCACAATTGTTCTCTTTACATTTACTTGTGCGGAGTATAATTTCGAAAGAAACGGTAAGTTTTTCTTTTTATATGTGCATTTAAAAGGGAAATAAATTTTTATTTTCATTTATTTTTTGTAATAATTAATATAGTATATAAATACAGAATATTTAGTACATATACAGTATATTTAGTTCATATATAGTATATAGAGCATATAAATATAGGTATATAAATACTACAATTATAATATTATAAGTTTTTAGTAAATATTTTTAATTGATGCATTCGAATTGCGATTATTTATGTAAACAATTTTTAATTAATCGTTTTAGATTGAAAATCTAATTATATCATGATGGTTTCTGGTTAGAAATCGAAAATATTGTTTGCGAAAAATTTCGAACAATCACCTCAGTTCTTCCTAAAATCAAAACAAACAAACATATTTCTTTCTTTGAATTTTTCAATCAACATATTGGATATTTTTGTTATTTTAATTTTAATTAAATTAAATAATTAAAACTAAGAAGTAGATTTCGAATTTACTTCACGCTCCAGATTTTATTAAGGTTTGAATTTTAATTTATGTTTGAGTAAGCATAATTTATGTGGTGTATGAAATTATTTTTATTCCACGTGTCAAATAATTTTTTTCTTCAATTTAAAAAAAAATTTTGTTTACTTATTTTTATTCTTTTATTTTTTAATTTTATTATAAATTTATTATTATTTTTTTATTTATTTTTTAATTTAAATTAATAACAATGTAATTTAATGATTTAATTATTAATTATTTTATATTTTTTATACTAATATTTAATATTATAATAATTCTTTGTAATAAAATAAATTAATTATTCCTAATTAATATTAATGATTCTTATTCAGAAACTCATTGAATATTATGACTCATTTATTTTGTAATTTTTTTCTTATTACAGTGAAAATAGTATTATTTTTTTCCAATAATTTTTTTTTTTTATAGCGAAATTAAGTCAAGGTGCGTTTCCGTGCAAAGAGGATAAAGAATGCCAAAGTAATTTTGGACCAAAATCAAAATGTGAAAAAAATAAATGTTTATGTACAAATGGAGAAGATAATAGTGTAACTTATTGTTCTGAAATTGTTCAAAATCAAAACACACAAGCGAGAAACTTAGAAGGTGTAACTGAATAAATTTATTTTTATTTATTTTATTCAACAAATTTTTTATTTCTTTTTAATAAATTTTTTTGTATTTAACAAATTTTTTATTTCATTTTGATAATTTTTTTTTGTATTTAAAGATATTTGAAAATTTTAACTCCTCTAATATAAATTCTAAAATTTCATTATATTTATACAGATAATTCAATTTTTCGTATAATTTCGAAAAAAAAAATTTTCTTGTTTTTAATATTGGAAATTTTCTTCTCAGATTCGGATTTTGATTCAGAACCGGAGTCTTTCATTGGAAAATTATGTGCCAATAATAGCGACTGTCATTACCTGAGTGCTTATTGTAATGAAACAAAACAATGTGATTGTCAGCCTGATTTTACAAATACGAAAGACGGAAAATATTGTTTGAAAGGTAATTACTTAAATTGATAATAAATTAAGAAGATATAATCAATTTTAAACGATTTTATTTAGAAATAAGAAATAGTAGATATTGAGAATTATATAATTTTTTCATTTATCACTATTTTTGTAGGTAATTTAATTTACCATTAGTAGAATAATTTAAAGAAATTAATTACTAATATTGTTTATAAATTAAATTTAATTAAATAAAATATGTTATGTAAGAATTCATTTTATTTATAAATTTTTTTTATTTGTAATAAATAAATTTATTTATAGCGTGTTATTTAATAATAAGAAATAATATTAAAAATTTTCTTTTTACAGCCGCTCGAAATTTACAAGATCCTTGTAAAAAGGAGGAGCAATGCACTTTCAAATTTCCTAATGCAACATGCACAGATAAAAAATGTGAATGTCGCGAAAATTATCATGTTTCTGCTAGTCAGTGCTGGAAGGACATTGGTAAAGAAAAAAATCATTTTTTAACAATAATTTCTATATTTAATTATTCTTTTCAATTGTTTACCAATTCAGAATTTTTCCTTCATTAATTTAATTATCATTCTAATTTTATTATGACCCTCAACATTCGGAACGTTCAAATAAACGACAATCTTTTTATACATCGTTAAAATTAGAATGTTGTCAGAAAATATTTATTCGATAATTTAGAAAATTAATTTCTTTTTTTAAATGTTGAATTTACTTTATTATTAATTTTATTCTAGTAATTTTCAAAACTATTTATATAGAAAAAATTATTTAATGAATAATTTTACTCAATATTTCAAAATTAATTACATTTTAAAAGATTTGCTTTTACAATTTTCATAAATAGATTTTTTATTATTAAAAATTCTCGTCTAAATTTCAATTATCTTTATAAATAATAAAATTCTTCTCCAAAATTCAGTTATTTTCAATTTTTTTTTTAAATTTCGTAAAAATTTCAATTATCTTTATAAATACATTTAAAAGAATTTAAAAGAATTTATCACTTGGTAAAAATTATATAATTTGAAAATAAAAGGAATTTATCAATCTTCCAAGTCAAAAAATAAAAAACAACATTTAACGTTTCGACAGCTCTGCTGTCCTTTTCAGAAACTGAAAACATTTATTAACAATTAGAAAATAATAAAAAATACAAAAAAATTACAAAATAAAATTTTACAAAAAACGATTGCAAATTAACTAACTTCACTAAAGATTTAAACAAAAGGCAAAGGTCAATGACTTTGCAGAAAACAAAATTATAATACATACAAAAACAATAATAGTGAAAAGAAAAAAGAAAAATATTAACCGAGATAACAGATATCAACTGACAAATATTGTATTGTAAAGAGGACAGCAGATCTGTCGAAACGTTAAATGTTGTTTTTTATTTTTTGACTTGGAAGATTGATAAATTCCTTTTATTTTCGAATTATATCTTTATAAATAATAAAATTCTTCAAAAAAAGTCAATTATCATTCTAAAAATTTAATAAAATTCTTCACAAAAAATCAATTATTTTTATAAATAACAAAAATCCTCGCAAACATTCAATTATTTTAAGAAATTTTTATAAAACTTTTCGCGAAAATTCAATTCTTATCATAAATATGAAAAATTTTTCACAAAAATTCAATAATTTTCATAAATTACAAATCTTTCGCAAATATTCAATCCTTTTAAAAAAATCTTAATAATATTCTTCCCAAAAATTCAATTATTTTCATAAATATTAAAATTTTTTCCAAAAACAAAAAACTACCACTTAGATATTATTTATTTAATAAATAATTTTAGTTAAATATTTCAAAATTAATTGAATTAAAATAGTTGCGTTTACAATTTTCATAAATACAGAATGATGAACTTCTAAAGGTTTCAATTTGAAATTGTATAAAATATAAATTTTTAATAAATTTAATTAGAAATTTTAAAGAACTTATATTTTTGAAAAATTTTAATAATTCAAATTCTTCTGAAATTAGTTAATTTTTTAATATATATAATTAATTAATTATTAAAAAATGGATTTATAGAAGAATTTTATACTTAAAACCAGTAAAAAAAAATTTGAATTTCGGAGAATTTACAAATGATTGCAGAAATTCAATTATTTTCAATTATAATAAAATTCTTCGCAGAAATTTAATTATGATAAAAAATTTCATCAAAATTTCAATGATCTTTTTATCAATAATAAAATTCTTCTCTGAAATTCCATTACTTCTAAAAATTTTAATAAAATTAAAATCAAACATTCAATTTTTTTCAAAAATAAAAAATTTCACAGGAATTAAATTATTTACAAATTTTTATATAAATTTCGTCGTAAGAATTCAATTATTTTCATATAATAAAATTTTTAACACGTATTTAATTATTTTCATAAATAATAAAATTTTTTACAGGAATTCAATTGTTTTCATTTAAAATAAAACTCATCGCAGAATTTTAATAATTTTTATTACAAATTTTATCAAATTCCTCGAAAAATATAATAAAAAATTTTATTAAAATTCATCAAAAGAATTCAATTATTTAATTATTTAATTAATATTATTAATTAAATATTATTTATTTGTTTAGATCATTATAAAACTTTCTAAAAAAAATTGTAATAAAATAATAAATTGTAATATATTTTGTATCTGAATTAAATTTAAAATTAATTTAATTTTTTTTATAATCAATTCAGATTAAAAAATTTATTTCATTGGAATAAATAAATAATTTATTAATTTAAAAAACTAATAAATAGAAAAGAAGTGTGGAGGGGACTTTTCTAATGAAACATTCACTGTTTTTTTTTACAGGATATGGTGAAAAATGTGATGATAGTCGAGAGTGTTGGCATATTTATGGATTTTGCACTGAAGATAATCATACATGTGTTTGCGCGGGAAATAGAGTTATAAATTCACGAAAATCCATGTGCCTCGATGTTGTTCAACATGGAGAAAGATGTTTTGAAACTGTACAATGTACAACGAGTTTAGGGGATGCCGATTGTGTACAAGGATATTGTCATTGCGCTAGAAATTATCATTATGTTCCATTCAGACAGAAGTGTATACCTAGCAAAAGTAATAATTTAATCGATTTTAATCTCATTTCATTTCTCAGTGGAATTAAATTTTCAAATTTCAATTCAATTTAATTAATTTGAAATTTTTATTAAATTTTCGAAATGTTATTGCAATTATGATAGAAATTCTCAATTTACTAATTTACAGTAGGAAATAATCCATTTCATTTCTTGATTACATAATTAATGAATTAAATTTAGTAATCTAATTGAATCTTTCATTTCATTTTCATTTAATTGAATTTTTTTGTCTTTATAATTTTTTAATTTTTATGATAAAGATTTTATTTCAATTTATTTTGTTTTATATTCATATGAGAATAATTATTTTTAAATTAATTTTTTTGGACCTCACGTTCAGATAATGAAAATTTTGTTAAAGATTTTATTTATATTTTTTTATATATGAGAACAATTTTTTTTAAATATTTTTTTAGCTCTCGGTCAGCCTTGCGATGATGATGAAGATTGTCACCAAACATCAAGAAGTGATGATAGAAATTTTTTGAAATGTGCACATGCAAAAGTGTGCATTTGTAGTAATGGTTTTGAGAGAGTTGGTTATCAGTGTGAGGAAAAAGACAGTAAGATATTTTTTTATTTTTTTTTTTCTCAACAAAAATAAAAAATCACAATGAAATGAATATTGAAATTAAAAATCAATTTGGCCAAAAATTTTAATTTTTTTTTCTTTCTTTACAGATGAATCGTCAGCAGTCACTTTGTACCTATCGTCATTGCTTTTGATAACACTACTCGGTTTTTTATCCTGTCTGTAAACGATAAACGTGAATCTCACAACAGTCAGCCATAATTCTCAATTTGTTAATAATTTTATTCGCATTATTCTCATCATTAATTTTATGAAGAAAAAAAAATAATAATATTTTATATAAATGTATTTGTATAAAGAATATTTATGAACAATTTTATTAATTTAAAAGTGTATCGAATTGGTAGCGAACACTTAATTATATATGCATCGAATAATTCGTGCAAAAAATCTATGAAGATTTTTTCAAATGTTACTGTCTTTCAATGTGATATTCTACAGTGATTTCTGTTTAATGAAATTTCACTGAGAATAATTATAAATAAATGTTTTGTTACTGTAATATTTCTTTTTTTTATACTAATTCATTATTATCTTTAATTTTGGAACTATGTAATAAAACAAACAAACAAAGAAAAAATTTATAAAAGTGATGATTCACTAAAAAAAAATATAAGAATTTATAAAATATGGTAAAAAATATGAATTTAAATAAAATGGAAATGTTATTAAAATTTCCAACTGTGTAAATATAGAAAATTCTCTGTATATCTACAATTTTATTTACTCTCAAAATATACTAAAAAGTGATTTCTAATTTGTTCGATTAATCGATTCGAATATTTTTACAGCGATTTTCAGTTGAAATTAAATTTTAAACTTTTTGTAAAAAGCGACTTGCATGTCCTAATAAATTTTTTTTTTATTACAAATACTATTCTTAAATTTAATTATACAAATTGTCCTAATTCTTTCCAAATTTGATAATGATATGTATTGATATTAGACTTGAAAGTAATTAAATTTAGGTCGAAACGCGCATAGTTCAATAGCCTTGTAAATTGCTCTATAAACAAATATTTCCAATATAATAATGACACTCTTAAAATAAAATTTAAAACAACTTATAATAAGTGATTAAGAATTTCGTAATTAAGGTTAATTATTAAAAATATATCATTTTGACCCCACTTATTTTAGACCATTGTCATATCGAGGAGTATATATATATATTTGCTTGCATTTTGTTTTCATGTATTCAGTTTTCTCTCTCAATAATAGTGTCTTGTTATATTCCTGAGTGAATTACAACTTATAGAAAAAAAAATGAAAATGAAATTAATTTTCACAATTTTTCTACTTGCCCTCGCGGTGTACAATATTGGTAAATTTTTTCTCCTTTAATCTATAAAACTAAAATAATTCTTATCTGTATATATTTAATATTTTTTCTACACGCACGGAAAAAATGTTTTACCTGGAACAGCGATAAATTTCTCTGGAATAGCGAAAATATTATTTGAATTAACTAAAAATGTTCTTAATAAAGTGAAATTTTTAACTGTTCTAAGTAATGTTTTTTTTCCTCGGTGAAAAGAAAAAAGTTTCCTATTTTTGCAAATATTAATCGTTAGCGGATTTAATTGAGAATTATTAGTTATAAATAATATTAAATACATACATTAAATATGAAATATTAAAAAAAATTATTCTTAAGGAACTCGTATAGTAAAATTAATTTTAATAGATGTTAAAAAATATAATTTTTGTAGATGCGAAAAAATTGAATGAGGATTGTGCCAATGATGGTGATTGCACTTCAGAGGTTGAAAATTCAAGATGCAATAATCTAAAATGCGAATGTTTAGAAACTCATGAGAATAAGGAAAATAAATGTGAACTAAAGATAGGTAATTAAAAATCGTTAAACTGTTTATTTCGATTTGAAAGAAAAAATCAGAAATTATAAATAATAAAGAATACTTTTCAGTTTAGAAAAGTCAAAGTAAAAAAACTGATTAAAAAAAATCATATATCCAATTATTCGTGATCTAATATCAATGCTTAAAAAATTATTTAATTTTATTTATATTATACCTAGTTCTTTAAAATTTTTAATTATAATATAGTAATCTTATTTAATAATATTGTTTTACTTGAAACATTACTTGAATACAAAAAAAAAGAAAATGATAAATTGAATAATAAATGGAATAAGTCAATAAAATAGAATAAAGTTGAAGAAGAATTAGCAAATAAATTTAATTAATATTATCTAATCGAAACTTAAATAATGTCAATACTAGACAAATAATAAAGTGAAAGAAATATTAAATGAATAAAATTTTGCAGTTGCGAAAAAATTGGGAGATGCTTGTACCAATGATGGTGAATGCACTAAAGATATTCAAAGTTCAAAATGCAATAATCTAAAATGCGAATGTATAGACACTCATGAGAATAAGGAAAATAAATGTGAACTGATGACAGGTAATTAAAAATCGATAAACTATTTATTTCGATTTAAAAGAAAAAATCATATATTATAAATAATAAAGAATACATTTCAATTTAGAAAAGTCAAAGTAAACTGATTCAAAAAATAATCATTTCTAATTATTCTTAATCTAATCTCAATATTTAATGAATTATTTTATTTTTTGACTAAAATTTTGTAGGAGCGAAAAAATTGGGAGATGAATGTACAGCTGATGCTGATTGCACTAAAGATATTCAAAATTCAAAATGCAATGCTAATAAAAAATGCGACTGTGCCGATACTCATGAGAATAAGGCCAATAAATGTGAACAGAAGAAAGGTAATTAAAAATCGATAAACTATTTATTTCGATTTGAAAGAAAAAATCAGAAATTATAAATAATAAAGAATTTAATTTTCAGTTTAGAAAATTCAGAATTGAATAATTAATGGAATAAATGAATAAAACAGAATAAAATAGAATAGAATTGAAAGTAAAATAGAAAATAAATTGAATTAATATTATTTAATAGAAACTTATATATTTTTTCGGTTCGGATAATCGAAATTTTAATTTTTTATATTTAATTAATTTATTTATTTCATATAAATGGGGAATTTACAAAATTTACCATTTATTTAAAAAAAGAGAAAAAATATATTTATGTGTCCTGATAGGGTGAAAGGGTCCTTCGCCCAAAAAAACTAATTTCGAGTTATTAATACTATTTTATCGATTAAAATAATCTAGATAGAATAGTATATAGATCAATAACTCAAAATTAATTTTTTTGGACGAAGGTCCCTTTCACCCCATCAGGACACATATATATATTTTTTCTCTTTTTTTTAATAAAGGGTAAATTTTGTAAATTTCCCATTTATATGAAATAAATAAATAAATTAACTAATGTCAATACTAGGCAAATAATAAAATAAAAGAAATATTAAATGACTAAAATTTTACAGGTGCGAAAAAATTGGGAGATGATTGTGCCAATGATGGTGAATGCACTAAAGATATTCAAAATTCAAAATGCAATGCTAATAAAAAATGCGACTGTGCAGATACTCATGAGAATAAAGAAAATAAATGTAAACTGAAGACAGGTAATTAAAAATCGATAAACTATTTCTTTCGATTTCAAAGAAAAGATCAGAACTTATAAATAATAAAGAATAATTTTCAGATTAGAAAAGTCAGAATTGAATAATAAATGGAATAAATGAATAAAATAGAATAGAATTGAAAGTAAAATAGAAAATAAATTGAATTAATATTATTTAATAGAAACTTATATATTTTTTCGGTTCGGATAATCGAAATTTTAATTTTTTATATTTTATATTTATAATTATTATATTTATATTATATTTATTTTATTTTTATATTTTATTTTATGACTAAAATTTTGCAGGTGCGAAAAAATTGGGAGATGAATGTACAGCTGATGCTGATTGCACTAAAGATATTCAAAATTCAAAATGCAATGCTAGTAAAAAATGCGACTGTGCCGATACTCATGAGAATAAGGCCAATAAATGTGAACAGAAGAAAGGTAATTCAATTTGAAAGAAAAAATAAAAAATTATAAATAATAAAGAATTCTTTTCAGTTTAGAAAAATCAAAGGGAACGGATTTGGAAAAAATCCATTCTAATTATCCTTAATTTAATCTCAATGCTTAATAAATTGTTGTATTTTTTTCAAATTTGATTTATTTGAAAATTTTAATTACAATATAATAACCTTGTTTGGTAAAAGTGTTAATTGAAACATTACTTGAATACAAAATAAGAAAATGAGAAATTGAATAATAAATGGAATAAATCAATAAAACAGAATAAAAGTGTATAGTATTGAAAGTTAAATAGAAAATAAATTCAATTATTATATTATCTAATATAAACTTAAATTTTTCTATTTAAATAATATAATATATATGTGACCTGACAAGGTGAAAGGGACCTTACGCCTAAAAAAATCAATTTTGAATTATTAATGCCATTTTATGAATTGAATTTAGTGAGAATGGTATATCAATAACTCAAAGTTAATTTTTTTACGTAAGGTCCCTTTTTACCGCGTCAGGACACAAATATTATATATTTTTTCTCTATTCTTTAATAAAGGGTAAATTTTGTAAACTCTTTTATATGTGAAATAAATGTATTTTTTAAATAATGTCAATACTAGGCAAATAATAAAGTAAAAGAAATATTATACATGACTAAAACATTGCAGTTGTGAAAAAATTGGACGATATATGTGTCAATAATGCTGAATGCAGTACAAATGTTAAAAATTCAAAATGCGATGAAACTTCTAAGAAATGCGTATGTGAAGCTAAATATGAAAAGAAAGGACAAGCATGTGCAGATAAAAAAGGTAATTAAAAATCGATAAACTATTTATTTCGATTTCGAAGCAAAAATTAGAAATTATTAAAAATAAAGAATCTCAATGCTTTAAAAAATTTTTATTATAATCAAATTATTATTGAATTAAATTAAATTAATTCAATAAAAAATAAGAGATAAAAATATAAATTTTTTTTAACTTCCCTCCTATCTTAATTTTTTCTTTTTTAAGATAATAACTAACAAAAAATAAGTTCTTATTTAACGTCTTGTTTATCAATAGAAATTTGAATTATTAATTAATTAATTTTCCTTAGATTAAAAATTATAATATAAATGATTAGGAAATTTAGACGATTTAGACTAAGTAATTAAGAAAGATTCAATTTAAATTTAATAGATTAATTGAAATGTTTTTTTCAGCTAAAAATTCTGGAATGACAATTTCCATTTCATCAGGACTTTTAGTGACAGTACTTGCATTTTTTTTGTGTCACTAAATTTTGAACGACAGTCTTTCTACTTTCAACTATAATTCTTAATTTCTTGTGGTTTTAATCACTATTCTTATTGTAAATTTAACAGTGACAGTTTATTTTTATTAGAAAACATGATACAGTTCAAAAGTAATTTTTATGCTTCTCTTTAAAGTCAAATTTAATATTTGAATTATTACTTTATTATATTTTATTATATTATGCAAATAAATAAATTTCAAAAGTTTATTTCAAAAGTTTATTGAATTTTTTTTCGACAAACCTCGGATCAAATTTACGAAGCGAAAAAAGTCGACTCAAAACGAAAAATCGGAAAAGTCGATTTCTTTATTTTGAATTAGGTAATACAAAAATTCTATTTTGTATTTTCATGACTATTCCTATTAATTTCTAAAAAAAGGCTTTTAACATTCTCTCTTATTCCGATAACATCAATTCTAAGTTTTTGTAAAATTCAATTATTTTCAAAACATATTTTCACATTTTTCTTCAAAAACACGATTATTTTTAAAAAATTCTAATAAAATACTTTAAAATATAAAATTTTTTTCAATTAAAAATTGATGCAAGTTACATTGTTTAACAATTTTCCAATTATTTACTAATTACTTTTAACATTTAATTATTGCTAAACATTGCATCTGCAATTTCAAATTTAAATTATTTTCTAGATCCTTTAACTAAAATTTTTTTCTAAATAAATTATTTTCAATAATTTTCAGAAATTTCTGTTAGAAATTCAATTATTTTTAATTCAATTTTACAAAATTTCAATTATTCAACAGTTTTTTAATTATATATTCAAAAATTCAACTAATTTCAAAAAATTTCAATTATTCAAATAACTAGTTTGCTTAGAATTTTTAATGAAAATTATTTAACATTCAAATCTTCAAATATTTTAATTTGAAATAAAGTTAACTTTGAAATTAGAGTTTCATCTATAAAACCTTCAATATTCGATTATTTTCTAAAATTTCAAACTAAAATTCTTCTCTAAATCAATTATTTTTAATAATTTCCCATAAATTTTCTTTGAGAATTGAATTAATTTTTAACAATAGCTACGAATAGCTCTTTAAAAATTAAAAATGTATTGAAAATAATTAAATTTTATCAAAATTCTTGAAAATAAATTTAATTCCTGCGAAGGACTTTAATATTTTTGAAAATAATAAAATAAAACAGAAATAATAAAGAAAAAGATAATAAAATTTTAAAAAATACAAAAACAATTGTTTTAAAGAAAATTTAAATTCTTTTAAGAAATTTAATTAAGATTGTACTGAAAATAATTGAATTCTTCTAAAGAATTTTATCAAAATTATGTAATAATATTTTTAAAAATAATTGAATAATTTCAAGGAATTTTAGTTTTGAAAATAATTAAATTCTTTAAAGAAATGTTATTACTAATTTTTAAAATAATTGAATTCAGTGGAAGAATGTTATTATTTATAAAAATAATTGAATTCTTGACAAACTTATTAAAATTTTTAAAAATTATGAATTTTTTTTTAAAGAAAATTAAAATTCTTTCAAGGCATTTAGTTAAAATTGTATTAAAAATAATTGAATTCTTATAAACAATTTATTTATTTATTTATTTATTTATTTAAGAAAAAATAAGTTCCAACAATTGTATTCAATTCAATTATTTTTTAGAATTTTTAATTAAAAAAAAAATTTTCTAATTATTTAAATTATTTATTTAAATTGTATAGAAAGTAATTAAATTCCAGCGAAGAATTGTATCATTTACGAAAATAATTGAATTCTGTCAAACAGTTTTATTTAAATTTTTTATAATAATTGAAAATCTAAAGTGGCAAATTGATAAAAATTAATAAATAATTTAAAATAAACTTAAATGTAATAAAATTGTTAATAAATCTTTTTAATAGTTTGAAAAGAATTTAAAAAAGTAGATGGAGTTAGCAACGTCAACGATTACATTCGAAAAATTTTTCTCAAGTTATTTTGGGGGATGAATTTTAAAATGAGAAAAAAAACAAGAAAAGCTCACCATCATTAATGTTGCAATCGACAAAAGTATTTAAAGGATTAAACTGAATTTGTCGCTCCTCAGCACACAAGTATAAGTGATTATCGCAAAATAGGTAGAAACTCATTCCTAGATCTTCTCTCAACGAAATAACACCTCAATTCATATTCAATTTCAAGTTCTTTTTCGATAATTCCCAAGTAACTGTAAAAACAAAAAAATATATTAGAATTATTATTTAATTTTGAAGAATATTCAAATATGAAGAATATTCAATTTTGAAAAATTTAATTTTTCAAAAATGACAGTAAAAATAAAAGTGAATAGAGAGAGAGAGAAAAAAATGATTTAAATAAAAGTGAGTGAATAAAGAAAAATGAGTGTTATCAAATTAATTCAATTGTTGACACTACATTTAATTTTAGTGTCAGCTGTCGTGAAACCAAGTGGTATTTACGTGGACAATGGTTATGATAAAACAATATTTCAAGAGATAACAAATGAGGGAAATCGAAAATATCTTCGCGAGGAGATTCTCAATATTCTTGAAATTCCCATTGACATCGAAGAACAAAAACAGGAAAAAACACCAACTTCCGCGTCGAGTTTTCTAATGGATATTTATCATTTGACAAATGAAAATGAATCGAAAATGATGCACGAACAGGAATTGAAAAATTTGCAATATTTCGATGTTAACGATGTGGGAATGAATAGTATTATTGAAAGTGATCTCATTACAACATTGGCAGCGCGTAACAGTAAAAAACCGGGTATTCAAAAAACCACTAAAGTCAAACGCTTGTGGTTTAATGTTTCGCGAATATCGCCCGACGACACAATTATTCGCGGTGAATTGAAATTATTTCGCAATATCGAGAGTGGTGTTTCGAGGAAAAACAAAGGATTGGTGACATTAAACGTCTATCGAATTGCAAGTGATCGTGACATTGATGGGAATCGTGATATGATTTTTGTTGATTCTGTCAATACGACAGAAAGTGGCGGTTGGGTTACATTAAATGTTACGGAGTCGCTTCATTTTTGGCTTCGCGATTTGGACGTGAATCGTGGACTTTATTTGGAGGCTTATTCAAATGGTGGTGTGGAAAATATACGACCCGAAGCCGTTGGTATTGTGAGTTTTCAAGGTGTTCCTGAGAAACGACCATTTCTTGTTGTTTACGGTAATAGAAAGACAGTGAGGCGAAGACGAGGATTGGAATATTTTCAATCGAGTGATAAAAAAACGTTTCAATCGATTGCAATGAAATCGCGATTGCCAACGACATGTCGCAAGGAAACTTTGTATGTTAACTTTAGAGATTTAAATTTACACACTATAATAATTGCTCCAAGAGGCTATGACGCTTTCTACTGTAATGGACCGTGTAATTATCCGTTGAATTTTAATATGAACTCCACAAATCATGCGATTATTCAGTCGTTCATTAATTTGAAACATCCAGATCGTGCTCCAAAACCGTGTTGTGTTCCCAGTAAAACATCAACGATTCACGTCATCTTTCGAACTAGCGAGGATACAATAGTTATTAAAAAACGAGAAGATATGACAGTCGACAGTTGTGGATGTCTTTGAAAAAAAATCATCATTTTCAAAATTAAGACAAAACTTTCTGCAAAAAGATGCAAATTATAACGATTTTAAAAATTTTTATACAGAAAAATAATTTTATTATCACTTTGAAAAAAATTAAATAATAATAAATATGTATGTAAAAAGAATAACGTGCTCTTTAAAAATCACAATTTTACTCAATTCAACAATAAATGAGAATATTATTAATTTTAATAAATTCTAAAGAATAAAAGAATTATGTCATTCAGATATTTATCAACAGATGTTTCTATTCAAAAACAGAGGGAAAAGAAGACTATTTTTAGAAATCAAAACAATAATAAATACTCGTCGAAATATTCCCCTGAGGTCATGAAAGCAAAAAAAGTAAACAGCTCTGTACAAATAATTATTTTTGAAATAATTGACAATTTTTCCAAAAGAAAAGACATTTATTCAGTCTTCAAATTAACACTCAAGGTTCAACTCTAATTTTTAGAATCCAAAAAAAGGAAATTCAAAACTGAATTAAATATTTCGATACAAAAAAGACAAAAAAAAATTACTGAAAAATTTACTATGTTTATTTTTATAATTTAAATTGTCAAGAATTTTATAATACCTCGTGATAGAAGTGTGAATTTCTGTTCCGTTGATTGTCAATTACTAAGACAAATTGAAGATATTTGCCACGAGTTGATTTATTTAATTGATGGTGAATATGAATCAATGATGCATCGAAAATCCAGACATCTTGTGCTCCCGGTAAGTTGATTTCATTTTCTCCCATTTTTCTCAGTGATGATAAAAAAGTTTGTTCTGAAAATAGAAAAAAATGTTAATTCTAATTCTTTCTTACATATTTTTAGAACGAATAAATTTCTTACCTCAGAGATCAAATGATTCCCTTTTGTCTTTTCTTTTCGTAATAAATATAAACTGAATTTAATGTTCTTCTTTTTTAACATAAAAATCAAATCTGAGATGAGTAAAATTAATCTTTTAAAAACTAAAATTATCTTATACTTAAAATTACAAAATACCCTCAGGCTTCGCACTCGATACTTAATTTTAAAAAAGTAGCAAAAAGTAGCTTTAAGATGCAAAAAAAATGGTAAAAAAGTAGCTATTGGAAAATTAAATTTGACGACTAAAAAACTCATTTTAGACGATTCACAAAAATTTTGATTCAGCATTTTATTTCCCTGAATTTTTTCTAATTTTCATTAATTTCATCATTAAATTCTAAATTTTTACAAAATTCAATCATTTTTAAAAGTAAAATAAAATTTCTTTAAAATATAAAATTTACTTCAATTAAATTTAACAAAATTTCAAAATTAATTGGAAATATAATTTAATCTTTTGAAATTAAATTATTTTTAAAAATCCAATATATAACGCTTCGAATATTCAATTATTATCTAAAATGTTAACTGAAATTAATTTTTAAATCAATTTTTATTAGAAAATTCTACGAGAATTCAATTATTTAAATACAAAATAAATAATTTATTAAATAATTGAATGTTTCTTAAAATTGAATTTCTGAAAAGAATTATAATATTTTCTAAAATAATTGAATCCCTGTAAAAAATTTGATTATTTATAAAAATAATATAATTATTGCGAAGAAATTTATAAAAAAAAATGTATTATTTATTTTTAAAATAATTAAATGTTTGCACAAAATTTTATTAAAAATATTTTTAATAATTGAATTCTTTTGGAAAACTATTAAAATAAAAATAATGAAAAAAATTATATTGAAAATCATTGAATTGAGGAAAAATTTTAACAATAATTGAAATTTTGCCAAGAATAATTGGAATTTTCACAACTTTTTAAAATTTTTGAACATAATTGAATTTCTGCAAAGAATTTTATTATTTATAAAGATAATAGAAATTTTTACGAAAATTTAAAAAAAATTTTAAATATAATTTAATTCCTGCGAAGAATTTTAATAATTTCGAAAATAATTAATGAAATTTTGCCAAGAATTTTATTAAAATTTTTGAAAATAATTGAATTTTGGAGAAGAATTTCATTTTTTATAAAGATAATTGAAATTTAGACTAGAATCTTTTTTAATTTTTTGAACCTAATTGAATTTCTGCAAAGAATTTTATTATTTTTGAAAATAATTGAATTTCTATGAAGAATTTTATTAAATTTTTTGAAAATAATTGAATTTTTATAAAGAATTTTATTAAATTTTTTGAAAATAATTGAATTTTATTATTTATAAAAATAATAGAAATTATGACGAAAATTTAAAAAAAATTTTTAACATAATTCAATTTTTAAAAAATTTTCTTAACATAATTGAATTCTTTTGAAGAATTTTAATCTAATTTTTAAGATTAATTGCATTTTTCGGGGAATTCATTTAAATTTGTTTTAAAAGTAATTGAAAGTCTGTAATAATTTTTATTTTTTATGAAAATAACTTGTTGCAAAGAGTTTTATAAAAAATTTTTTAAATAATTGATTTTGTTCGAAAAATTTTATGAAAATTGTATTCTAAATAATTGAATTCCTGTGAAAATTCTATTATTTATGAAAATAATTGACTTATTTTATTAAATTTTCATTAAAATTACAGTAAAAATTATTTAATTCTCTCGAAGAATTTAAAAAAAATCCTTTAAATAATTGAATTCTTTTGGAAAATTTTATTTAAATACATAGTCGATATTGAAAATAATTGAATTTTAAAATTTTTTTGAAAATAATTGAATCGTTCCTAAGAATTGTATTAAAATTTTTGAGAAAAATTTTGGTATTTTAACTTTCGGCGAATATAAAGCTGTGCAAATTCTCAAAAAAAACCGAAAAAATTGTCACAAATCTAAAAATAAAGTATTAAAATAGTAGCAAATCGTATAAAAAGTAGTAAATAGTTGTTTTTAGTAGATGAGTGTGAAGCCTGTAAGTAAGATTATTCTACAATTAAAATTATTCTATAACTAAAATTATCTTACTGTTAAAATTATTCTGTAACTAAAATTATTTAATAACTAAAATTATCTAAATTAAAATAATTCTGCATTAAAACGATAGTTAATAATATTATGATTTTCAATTAATTCGTGTGTAGAGACGAGAAATGAATTAACTATACTCAATAAAATTATAAAAAAATAATTAAGACCGAATGGAAGGAAATAAGAAAAAGCCTCAAATCAATGTCGTGTAATCTACAATTTTATTGTTGCAAATTATTTTTAAAGTGCGACTCTTTGTAATTTATTATGACGGAAGATATTTGAAATTGGGACAATAATCCCATGCGTATCCGTGATAATTTCTTTTTCAATCACAAAAAAAAACAGTTATTTACGAAAATTTCAAGTCGACATTCGTTCATTTTTTCCCTTTCTCAGACTTCAAGGACTAAAATTAACAGAAAAACTTTTCATCCACTTTCTTTAATTCTTTATAAACTTTCATCAATTCTCTGGTTTATTCATTACTCCTCCTTCTGAATTTTAATTCAATAATTTTCTCACATAATATCAATTTTTATTTTTTTAAATTTTTATAATTATATTTCACTAATGTTATCCATTGAATGAAAGATTCGAAAAACAAGAAAATCAAAATAAATCAAAAATGAACAAAAATAAAGAAGTGTAAAAAAAATTGTAAACAAATTAAATATATACATAAAAACTAATTTTGTTATAACACAAAATTTTTATTAAAAAAACAAAAAAAACAATTTTTCAAAAAAGAAAAACAGTTTGAAAAAAATCGAAAAAAATTGTAAGTAAATTCAAAATTTCTGCAAAATTTACAATTTTCTTGTCTATTATTGCAAGCAGTTTTAATAAATTTCAATTAATACTTTCAAAAATAAAAGAATCTTTCATTTCAAAAGAAGTTCTAAAATTTCTACGTTTTAATTAGATCGTAAAGATGCAATTAACCTCATGGCTTTTTAATCTTTTCTCATATAGTAACAATTGTTTGTTTTTATAAAATCGACTGATTTTTTTATATTTATAAATATTTTGTCACGCCCAATATGGACGAAAATTGATAAAAATTTCCATTCAATTTGTTAATTGGTTATAAATCGTTAGATGATTAAATTCATCAACACATTGATACACGGATACGCTTAAATATAATTTCTTTTTTTTCGTTCTTTTCAAGTATTATATTTAATCGTTTATATTTAATTATCAATATCAACAATCTATAAAAATTGTTACTAATTCTTTTTTTTTGTTGTAAAAACGGACAATAAAAAGTGCAATCTTGGAAGTAGACGAAGTTCAATTTAAAATTTTTGAATTATATCGTCAAAAATTCAGCACTTTTTTTTTCTTTAAAAAGATTTTTTTTTTCTTGATCGCACCTTATACAAATATTTTTATTTCCAAGAATATGACAATCAACTTTTCAGTCTATAAAAAATGCCTTTACGATACGCACACTCAATGTACGAAGATTTCGGCTCTATTATCATTTAATGATATTATTATTACTATTACTATTAATGAAAATTATTATTAATATATTGAACTATTTTCTTAATATAATTATTTGTAAAATAATTATTTCTAAAATAAGAATTTATAAAATAATTTATATTGACAAAATAAAGATGACAAATATATTAATATTAATTATCATTCATGGATTGTGTGCAAAAGGTGAGAAAAAAAAGTATCAAGCAAATTAAACCATAAAACCGTTCTAAACTTCGATTTCAATTCCATTTAAGGGCGAAATCAAAAAAGTGAAAACAAAATTTCATTTTTTGCTTCACTGTACGACAGTCGCATTTAAAATTTAACGTAAATTTCTCCTGTTCAAATTTAATTTCATAATTAAATTATAACCATTCTTTCGAATGAAATAAAAGTAGAGAATTGAAATTAAGGACAATTAAAATAAGATAAAATTATTTTTTCAAATTATTGCCCTTGAAATTAATTCAAACTTGAATGTTAATCTTTAAGGTCCTTTCCAGAAGATTGCCTTAAATAGAGCCAATTTAAAAATGCATGCATTAATTTTCGTTTCGCTTAAAGTAAATTATTATGCAAAAACCTTCAAATTATAACAGTCGACTGTCAAATTTTGAGAAGATCGATAGTTCTCTTTTCGATTTGAGAGAAAAAAAATACAAAATAAAAAATTTAAAGGTTTTTTTCTTCCCTTTTTTGTTCGCGTTTTCATTCTCTTTGACCCATTAAAATAAGATTCAACTTTTTAAGTGAATTATGCATATATGTGTGAAAACTGCAATCGAGCTAAAGGCATCGAAAACCTATTCATTAATAAAAACTAGAAAATCTATCACATACAAGATATACCGGGGAGGGGGAGGAATTTTGTTTTCCAAACGAATTCTACATATCAAGATCAAAAATCAGATCGTTCTTTAATTCCACGTGGATTTCATCACCACTCTCAGTCTCTTTATCATCATTAACCAATATTTCATTTCTCTTTTTATTTGTTTTCCGTTTATGCAATGCATTTGTATTAATATTATTACGTGAAACTTCAATTTCAATATTATCGGTTTTATGATTCTCCCCATTTTTACTGAGAATTGGTCTCACACTATCCATTTGATTTGATTGTAATTCGCTTTTTAATTCTACTTTATACTTATCACGTTCCTCTGTTTCTGAATTTTCACTCTCGCTCATTCGACGATCGTGCGCTCGTTTCTTATTTCTCAATTTTCGTTGATTCTTCTTTCGCTGACCTAAAATACTGGAATTCGACCTGAAAGTAATTTTTTTTGTATTTTATTCATTTTTTTTAATGAGTTAAAATTTTACCAAAAAAAAGTATGTAGTTTTAGAATTCTTTTGTCAAAAAAAGAATTTAAATTCAATCTGTAACAAATAGTTAAAGCGGAAACATTTGTAAAAAAATTCAAATAATTAAAAATTAGGTGATAAAAGAAAACAGGCTTGCTACAAAAATTTACTTTTCGTTTTCCCTAACTTTTCTCTGATTTCCAGATAAAATTTTGACTTTTTTCCTAACCCTAAAAAATATTCTGATTCACTCCAAAAGATTAGATACTCAAAAAAATGTTCTATTACATTTATTTACGAATTTCTTTAACTGTAAAATTATTCGAAAACATCGACAGTTTTAATTAAAATAAATATTTAATCATCATTAATTTTCCACAGGAATTAAGATTTTAAAAAAATTCAAATTCAAACCTTTTGAAATTCAATAGCTTATAAAAATATTATTAAAAAACAAGAAGAAATCGATCCTTCTATTTTGCAATAATTAAAGATGACCGAGTGATAAAATCATTATTTTATATTAAAAGAATATTGTTACTGTAACTTCTTCAAAATTATTTTCATCATTTAAAGATTCAATTATTATTATTTTCCACAAATTTTTAATTAACTAATTTGAAACTTTTTCAAAACTCAACTATTTCTAAAAATTCATTCTATAATTATTTAAATACAAAAATAAATAATTTATTGAATAATTGAAAGTTTTTTATAATTGAATTTTCATAAATAAATTTTTAAGAATTATGTCATACATTTTTCGAGGAATTTGATTAAAATGTTAAAAATAATTGAATCCCTAAAATGAATTTTATTATTTTCGAAAATAATTGATAAGGGTGGTCACAAGTTTCACTTTATGAATTCCCCTGACAAAATTCTTTTTACAGGAAAATATGCAAGTTTACAGAAAATGAGTAAAATTTATGAATTTTAATAATTTCTAAAAATTACAATTATAACTCTACCTGAATTCAGTCATTTCTACAACTTTCAACTCAACTTCATCTCTAAATCAATTATTTTAAATAATTTTCCGAAAATTCTTCCAGAATTGAGTTTTTGTATTTAAATAATTATTTAAATACAAAAACTCAATTTTTTATAATAATTGTAACTGTCCATTTTCATTAATTTTCATTTTTAAATTTACATTTAAAGATTTTTCATTAAAATTTTTGATAATTCAATAATATTTTCAAAATTTTCAATTAAAATTCATTAAAAGTTGATTTTTAAAAAATGTAACAAAATACTTGAAAAAAATCAATTATTTTCGATTAAATTTTACAAAATTTCAATTATTCAAAAAGATTTCTATTATAGATATATTTTAAAAATTCAGTTCTTAAAAAATTAGTTATTTTTCGCACTATGAAAATCGAAATAAGTTGCACTTTTTTTTTACTAAAAATTGTGGTAATTATGTTGCAATATTTGGAAGAAAAATCGAAAAAGTCGCAATTTTTGAAAATAAGTCGAAAAAAGTTTAAATTTTCTTAATTTCCCAGACAAAAAATTTTTTTCCCTGTCATTTTTATTAAAATAGTAGATATTGAAAATCATTGAATTGGTTAAAATTTTTTATAATAATTGAAATTTTGACAATTTTTGAACATAATTGAGTTCCTGCGTAGAATTTTAATACTTAGAAAAATAAAATTAAAAATAATTATTGAAATTTTACCAAAAATTTTATTAAAATTTTTGAAAATAATTGGGTTTCGGTGAAGAATTTTATTATTTATAAAGATATTTGAAATTTCGACGAGAATTTTTTTTAAATTTTTGAATATAATTGAGGCCTTGGATCCAATAACTCGCCCGACGCTCGGAGGAACGCGCAACTGCCAGTCAGTGAGCAGTGAGCGCCTCTGGGCCACTCACTGCTACCCGACTGGCATTAGCGCGAGTCTCCGAGCGTCGGGCGAGTTATTGGATCCAAGGCCTCAATTGAATTTCTGCGAAGAATTTTAATATTTATGAAAATTATTCAAATTTCATGAAGAATGTTTTTAAATTTTTTGAAAATAATTTAATTTTATAGAATTTTAGTATTTATAAAGACAAATTGGAATTTAGACGAGAATGTAAAAAAAATTTTTTACTTAATTGAATTTTTGTAATCATTTGTACTCCAAAATTCAATTTTTTAGTATTTTTAAATAAAATTCTTCTATAAATGCGTTATTTTGAATCATTAATTGAATATATATTAGAAAAATTAACTAATTCCAGAATAATTTGAATTATTAAAATTTTTCAAAAATCTGAGTTCTTTAAAATTTCTAATTAAATTCATTGAGAATTGAAATTTTCTAAAATTTCAATTGAAACCTTCTGGAGTTTATCTATTTATGAAAATTTTAAACGCAACTCTTTTAAAATTTAATTAATTTTGAAATATTTAAGTAAAATTATTGATTAAATTATTATAAGTAATAATTTTATGTTGGTTCCTCAAGAATTTAGGCATTTAAATAGAAATTATTGTCAGAAATAAAAGAATTTGAAGGTCTTGTATTCATGTTAATTTCATAGTTTATGAGGCAAACAAAAAAGAAACTAAAATTCAGAATTTTCTTATGAATTCTAAAAATTTATTTTTTTTCCAGTACTTTTAATAAAAATCCCTGACTTTTCCCTGATTTCCCTGACCTGTAGCAACCCCGGAGAAGAAGATGAAAATTAGGTAAAAAAAAATGTTTATAGTGTCGAGAATTGCTTCTTATTCTTTAATTCATTTTTAATAAAATCGTTTGTATAAAATTTTACCTATATAATTGACGTGAAACAACATCACTGAATCTGACAGTTTTCTTAAGACTGGAACTTTCGGATTCTGAATTTAATTCCTGGACTGAGTCGTATTGGAAATTTATTGATGACGCGAGACATGCACTCTCATCGATACTCGATTCCGATACGGAACGGGAAATATGATTTCTGTGGGATTTTAAAATTCCTTTCGATCTATAAGTACTGCCATTACTGCTCGGCAATTCGTCACCGCTGCTCTCGGAAATAGATCGTGTCAATTCCAAATTACGTTTTCGCTCCTCGTGACAAGATGATGATTGATCAGTCTCCCGATCTTCTTCATCAGTATCGATCGAATTTGAATGAATGCTCACCACCACTTCTTCGCCATTTCGTATAACTTCGATATTTTTGTCAGTCTCCTCTTCCGGCTCTTCCTATAAGAAAATTTATTAATAAAAATTTATTTTCAAATTCATTAAACGTTTCGTTTTTTAATTCGGTTTAATTAGGTAAATAACAGGCTTCGCACTTGGTAATAATTATTTTTAAAAAAAGTATCAAAAAAATAGTATTAAGACTGAAAAGAAGTAGAAAAATAGTAGTTAACGAAAAATTAAATTTGATAATTAAAAAAACTCATTTTAGTCGATTTTCACTCTATATGAAAAAGTTTCTGGAAATTTCCCGGTAGTGAAAATAAAAATGAAAACAGAAAAATTCCATGAGGGTAACTCCAGGTGATTACCAGGAATTTCTCGGTAAATTTCCAGGAACTTTTTTCACGTAGAAGAAAAATCATAAAAATTTGATTACGTATTTTCCAGACTTTTTCCTAAATTCCATAAAAAATATTAACTTTCTTTCTTGTCCTGGTAATAACTTCAATTTTAAATTTCTCTAAAATTCAATTCCTTTCCAAATATTTAGTTACAACTCTTCAACAACAAAAAATAATAATTAAGATAAAATGATTAGAAAAATAATCAAGATTTTAATTTAATTTTTTAATGCGAATAGACAAAATTTTTTAAAAATATTTTCCGGAATTCAAACAATCTTCAAAAAACTTTTATTACAATTTCTCAAATACATAATTTTATTAAGAATTTCTTAATTAAATTATTCAAAATTTGAACAATTTTTTTAAAATAAATATTTAAATACTTATTGTTATTTATTTTTCGACATGAATTAAAATTTTCAATAATTTAATTAAATGTAAACTTATGAAATTTAAATATTTTTAAAAAATATAAATACCATTCTTCCAAAATCTAACTAGTTTTTAGAATTTCTAATTAAAATTATACAAAAACTTAATAAGTATTTAGAAAAATAATTAATTAATCATTTTTCAAAATAGATATTTAAATATTATTACAATTTTACAGAAATTGGAATTTACAAAGATTTTAATTTAGAAACCTTTTGAAATTTAATTATTTCCAAAAATTTCTGTTTAATCCCTTCTAATATTCAATTATTTTTTAACATTTTATCTTAAAATTATTTTTAAATCAATTCTTATTAGAAAATTCTTCAAGAATTCAATTATTTAGACAAAAAGAAAAGGCACAATTGATGAAATATTTAATTATTTCTAAAATTAAATTCTCATAAAAATTTGATCAAAATTTTTGAAAATAATTGAAATCTTTATTATTTATGATATAAAATCTTTAATATTGAAATCATGCCAAGAATTTGATTACTTATGAAAATAATTAATTTTTTGCAAAGAATTTTAGTTAAATAATTGAATTCCTGCGAATAATTTTAATAGTTGTAAAAATAATTGAATTATTGTGTAGAATTTTATTAACATTTTTGAAAATAATTGAATTTTTATAAAACATTTTAAAAAGAAATTTAATTCTTTCCAAGAATTTAAGAACAATTGCAATAAAAATAATTGAATTTTTATAAACAAATTTTATTAAAATTATTATAAACAATTGACTTTTTTCTGAAAATTTTTCTAACTATTTGAATTATTTCGGAAAATTTTATTAAACTTTTAAAAAATAATTGAATTATTTCATGGAATTAAATTAAAATTGTATTAAAAACAATTAAATTCTAGTGATTAATTTTATTATTCATCGAAATAATTAAATTCTTTCGAGGTATTCAATAAAAATTGAATTGAAAATATGTAATTCAATTCATTTAAATAACATTTTAAAAAATTGGAAAATAATTGAATTCATTCGAAGAATTTTAATAAAATATTTTATAATAATTGAATTTTTCGAGGAATACAATTAAAACGGTATTGAAAATAATTAAATTCCTGTTATAAAAAGTTTATAATTTATGAAAATAATTGATTTTTTTTGCAAAGAATTTTATTAAATTTTATTTATATAATTGAATTCCTGATAAAAATTTTAATATCTATCAAGTTGAAGTCCACAACGTTGATCAATTAAAAAAAAAATTGTTCACTTAGTAAATTAATTAAAAATGACGCAGCAATATTGACACAAAAATATTTAGAAAAAAAAGATTCATGCTTATGTTTTGATAATAATTATTTTACAATTATTAAATATTAAAATTAAAAATAATTCTTGAATGTATTAAATAAATTTTTTTCGTTGATAAACGTTATGGACTTCAACTTCGTTAGTATCTAAATAGTAAAAAGAATTGAATTTTTTTGAAGAATTAAAATTTTTAAAGATAATTTAATTGTTTATTAAAAATTTTGAAAATAATTTAATTCTTTCGAGGAATGTATATGATTGAATTCTTGGAATCAATTTTATTATTTATGGAAATAATAAAATTCTCTCGAATAGTTCAATAAAATTGCATAGAAAAAATATATATGTAATTGAATTATTTTAAAAGCATTTTTTAAATATTTGAAAAAAATTGAATTTTTGCGAAGAATTTTATCAATATTTTGTTTATATATTTAAATTATTTAGAGAAATTTTATTGAAATAATAGATATTCAAATTATTTGAATTTCAGTAAAGAATTTTGTTATTTGTTAAAATAATTGAATAATAGAATTTATCATGAATATTAATTTCTTCATTTCAATTATTAGCGGATTTAAAGTAGTGCAAATTATCAAAAAAAGAAAAAAAAACATAAAAGTAACTTTTAATGGCACAAATAAAAAAAACTATCCAAATAATAGTAAATCGTAAAAAATGTAGTAAATAGTTGGTTTTAGTAGATGAGTGCAAAAGCCTGAAATAATTAAATCAGTGATGACAATAAATTAATAAATATTATCGAGAAATTAGAATTTCAGGAATTGTATGACAATTTTACAAACTGAAAATGGAAAAATTACCACAAGTTCTTTGAGTTTGCTCTTAACGGAAATAGCCGACGAGAAATCCTTTGCTTCCATGATTTCTTCATTGAGACCAACAAAGTACCTGCTGAGATCAGTGCTTTTCAAGGCAAGCGTGATGATAACATTATTATCCCATGGTTCAATCGTAATTGAAGTTGGATCAACTGCATTGTTGTCGAGCTTAAAACAAATGGAATAATAAACCGGAAAGAAACCCGCCCCAACGGAAGTTAATAAAACATGAATTCCCAACATATTATCAAGCACCTTATGACAAATCGATTCCGAGTCTACATTCTTAACGTGAATTGTTATCGCGAGAATATTATCGTACGTATTACACGTGAACATTGGAATATTATATTTGATATTCGGATTCATAAACGGTGTGATATCGACACTTTCTCTAGTCCGTAATGCCGTATCATCGAATTCGTTGATTTGCACTTCACTCTCCTTATTTAATTCGACAATTAAAGGTCTTGAATTTGATTTTGAACAATTGCCCTCGGCATTTTCAAATTCATCATTCGCATCCCTGACAGGACTTCCGTGATCAGTGTCAACACCACTGTCTTCTCGTGGATCTGTTAATGAAAAACTCTTACGAATTACAGGTAATGTTACGGTTAATTTCTTACATTTCGTGTCGAATTTCGCATTTCCATTATCGCCGTCAACGGAATACGAAAGTGGTAATTCCAATAAATACTTGGCAGGTTTTTCACTTCTTAATGTTAATGAACGTTCATGAATGTCGAGTCTTGCATCGTTTGCGGATTTTAATAAAGGCAAATGAATAACGACAATAAGTCTTTTCGGTGTTGCAGAATACATTTTTGCATCCTTAGTGTATGTAAATTCTTCCAATTCCAAATCACTTTGATGTGTTATTGTATATTTTGGAATTGTGTATTCTGTCTTTAAATCTTGAGATTTCTCCATATTTTTGTAATATATCGTTTTTGGAGTTGACCGCTGTGGTTTATCCTCTAATTTTTGAGATTGTTTCTCACGATAATTATCGTAACCGGATATTATTTTTTGATAAATTTCCGATTCAGCTTCTGGTAATTGTTCCACTGGTTTCTCGCATTCTTTCCGAATTACTGTCGCCTCGGAAGTTCCTTTGAAATTCATTTTGGGAAATTTCAAATTTTTCCTATCAAGTTTCACCTGAAAAAAAAACAAAATTTAAATTTAAAATCTTTCAACAAATATATTTTATCTTTCTTTATATTATTCATTTAATTTTTTAAATAACATAATGCAAAAATATCGATTATTTTCAGTTAAATTAAATGAATAATTAAACTGAAGTTCTGATTGTTCATATTAACGAAATTTTTACGTTCATAAAGATCACAACGTTTATAATATCAATTATTATAGTTAATATAACAGTATTGTCACAAAAATTTAATTTTGTTTTTCTCCGATTTCCAGACAAAATTTCGACTTTTTCCCGAACTCTAAAAAATATTAGATACTCGGAAAAAATGTTCTATTACATATATTTACGAATTTTTTCAAAAAAGCTTTTGGAAATTCAATAACTTTTAAGAATATTATTATAAAACATGAAGATATCGATCACTCCGAGTCTTCGACTCGGAGTAATCGTTATCTTTAAGTTTTATAACAATATTTTTAAAATTGATTAATTTCATAAAGGTTTGAATTTGAAAATTTTTAAAATCTTAATTCCTATGGAAAAATAATAATAATTAAATATTTAAAAATGAAATTACTGTTTTCGAATAACTTTACAATTAAAGATATTCATAAATAAATTTAACAGAACATTTTGTTCAATAAAATGCAAATTATTTCCTTATGAAAATTGAGAATTTTCTACAAAAACATTAAGAAACGGGAATATCTAATGTTTTTCTTCCCAAAATAAAAAAATGAGTTTGTAAACAATATTGTTATTGTGAAATAAAAATTATGCATAAAATTGGTATATTTCCTACCATTTGTTTACAATCCAATTTTAAGAAATTTCGATTATTCGGAAATTCTTCAATTAAATATATATTATAAAATAAAAACTTAAAATAATTAAAAAAAAATAAATTAAACTTTTTCCAAAATATTAATTTTACAAAATTGTTAATCAAAATTATGAAAAGTTCAAATTTTCAAAGATTTTAATTTGAAATCTTTGCAAAATTCAATTATTATCTAAAGTTTTAACTAAAATTCATTTTTGAATAAATTGTTATTAGAAAATTCTACGAAAATTTAATTATTTAAATAAAAAAATGAATAATTTATTAAATACTTGAATGTTTCTTAAAATTGAATTCTTATAAAGAATTTTATCAATCAATTTTTAAATAATTGAATTATTTCAACGAATTTTAATAAAATTTTTAAGAATAATTTCATTTTTCGAGGAATTTGATGAAAATTGTATTAAAAATAACTGAAATTCTGGAACGAATTTTATTATTTATGAAAAGAATTGAATTTTTGGAAATAATTTTATTAATATTTTTTTAAATAATTGAATATTTGCGAAAAGAAAATTTTTATTAAATTTTCTTAAAATGATTAAATTTCTGAAATCTTGGAAATAATTTTATTAATATTTTTCAAAATGATTGAATTACTGCAAAGAGTTTTGTAATTTATGAAAATAATTGAATTTTTTGAAAAATTTTATTAATTATGAAAAGAATTGAATTTTTGCAAAAATCTTTGTAATTTATGAAAAAAATTAAATTTTCGTGAAAAATTTTATTACGTACAGAAAGAATTGAATTTATGTAAAGAATTTTATTAAAATTTTTTAAAATGATTAAATTTCTACGAAGAGTTTTGTAATTAATGAAAATATAATAATTGAATTTTTGTTAAAATTTTTTATTATTTATGAAAATGAATATAAATAATTTTTTTTTTTAATAATTGAATTCTTTTGGAAAGTTTTTGAAAATAATTGAAATTGTGTCAAGAAGTTTATTAAAATTTTTGAAAATAATTGAATTTCGAAGAAGAATTTTATTGTTTATAAAGACAATTGAAAACTTTGCCACGAATTTCATTAAAATTTTTGAAACCAATTGAATTTCGGAAAATTTTATTTTTTATAAAAATAATTGAAATTTTTACGAGAATTTAAAAATTTTTTTAAATTTCAGAATAATTAGCAATTCTCTAAATGTAAAATTTAAGTTTTTAATTTTTATTGTAATGAATAATTTATGGAAATATTTTTAATAAAAAATATTTCGTTCCTTAGGACGTTCAAAATTTGTGGATCATAAACTTTGATGAAGTTTAAGAATCAGCATTTTAGAAAAAAAAATATTTCTCTACTCAAATTTTTGTACTTTTTTATTATATAAAAATTCTTTTCACAATTTTTTCATCAATAATGTGAAAACAAATTCGTAAACAAAATATTTATTAATAAATAAAAACTTCTTTTTAAGGTCCTAAAGTTTCGAATTTACATTATTTTCTAGTTTACTTAGCAAATTTTTTAAAATATCTAAACAGATAAAAAAATTTCGTTCAGTTGATCGTTCAGAACTTTAGGAAAATAAACTTTAATTCCATAGGAAATAACTGAAGGCTAAAAAAAAGATTAATAATGAGTTCTCCACCTACTAAATTATTGCTTGAATTAATCCACTTTGTGATATTTGATATCGTGACCCATTTTTTTTATTGCAGTTATCTCATAAATTTCATAAATTGCAAAAGAAAAAAAAACTGATTTTAAATTACGAGCTATTTTATAAACTTTATTGATTCGTTAAATTTAATAATTATTACTTAATATACCTCGATTAAACAAATGACTTACGAGGAAAATACCTACATTCAAAAAGTACTTTAGTAAATAATTATTTAACTACAAATTATTATAATAAAAATAGCCAATCATGAAATGAATGAAAATTTGAAAAGTTCACTACTACGCAATAGAAATATTTTATTAAAAGTGCTTATCACTTTGTGTAGTTTTGCTTATCATATTATAGAAACTAAAAAAAAAGCGACTCACTGACACTAATTTTCCAACCGATCATAACACTAAGAGATAAATTAATAATCAATATAGAAGCACTATTGAATATTTCTATTTTTTATAAAAAAAAAGTAAAATACAATTTGAGAAACAAATTTTTTTTAACAAAAAGTAAATTTTTTTTAAAACATTCTTTCTGTTACTGCATATTTTTTATGATTTGTTATAAAATTATAAAAAAGCAAGAAAAAAAAACGGAAGAGGCTTTTTAAAAATGACAGCTGATTTTTGAGGTTATGTTATCGAATGACGTGTCCTTACCTTAAAATTATTTTCAACACCATCAATTGCTGAATTATTGACAAGTTCCTTGAATCTTAAATTTTTCGATGCCAAATAAAGTGTGTCAGGATGAAAAACGACATCGTAGACTGTGCAACGAGTATTTTTCTTATCGAGGTCGTCTCTAGGTGGTGCAAGCGTATAGGGAATGGACCATTGTAATCCTCGATTTCCATCATTCTCCGAAGGTTGACTGCTCGGTTTATTGACAATTTTACTTTGGCTAATATTCAAAAAACATTTTCTCTCATCGTTAACACTCGTTTTTATGACGTAACCCGGCTCAGGGTTAACGAACGTAACGTCGACGCCCCGCTGCTTCTCTAATTCAGTGATTTCTTTCTGATAAAGTTTCTTATTTTCCGGATCGTTCACCTCCTCCGCATATTCAATTAACATTTTACGAAATTCCTCTTTCTTTAAGCATTCCGTTAAATCCTTTAATTCACTTTTTGTTACTTCCAAATCCTCCCAATCTTTTGCTCTCTTTTCATACGCGTCCATTTTTCGGCACTTATGTATTGAAACTACTACTTGTTTACAAATAAAATTGTATATTGTATAGAATTATCTAGAACCACTACCACGTGGATCAACTGCGCCACTCTTTCTGCGCCGGCCGGCCGGTTGTGTGCGGATTAATTCCGAACTACATTTAAATTTCAATTTTCAATACAAAAAATGAAGGAAAACAAATAAATAATAAATAGAAAATTATATCAAACAATTTCTAGAGAATAAATTCAAAAATTAATCTTTTACATTTTCAAACTTTGTGCTAAATTGTTGTCAAATTGATAAAATACAAATTTATTCAAATTTTCAGAAAAATGAAAATGGCGCTTTATTTTCAAATATTTAAATATTATAACGTTCAAATTTTTATTTGTTTATAATGAAAACAATTAATATTCTTATTACTATATTATTATAATATTATTTACTTTCATTATTATTAATATTATTATTAATATTATTTTTAATATTATTTTTAATATTGAAATAAGGGTAAAAAAAATAATAAATAAATTATTTTAATTTTCAGGAGATACGCAAAAAAATTATTGCAACAGGGGAGAAAAATTCCAATGATTATTAAACGAAAGACTGAGCAATATAATTCGTGAATAATGGAGAAGTTGAGAATTACTTTCACAATGCTCTCCAGTCCAGTTTGCTTACAAGCAAAAAATCTCTCACTCGTCACTTCTTTTTTTAACTTCTATAAGTAATTAATTTTCCAGCAAGTTTTACAAGCCATTTAAATATCGCATTTATTATTTCTTTTAGAAAACGATTGATAATTTCAAAAATAAATGATATATATAAATTTATGTTTAATTATCCGACACGTAATTAAATTGATAGAATAATTAAATTATTCCTGTAATTAATTATGGCAAGAATTTTATTTCTAGAAAATTAATTTAACAAGCTATTCGATTGATGGAGAAAAAAGAAAATAATTTCAAATAAATAACAGACTTCGCACTCAAGAATTACTTTTGAAAAAATAGCAAAAAGTAGTTTTATGACTGAAATTAAATTAAATTAAACTAAATTAAATTAAAATAATCTTAAATTAATTGTAAATTTAACTTATCTTTTTAAAATATTTACAGGAATTTAACTAACTTAAAAACATTTTAATTACAATTTTTCAAAAGAAAAAAATATTAAATATATATTTAAATATTTGTTTTTCACGGAAATTAAAGTTTTAAATAATTTCAATATAAAACCTTTTTGATATTTAATTCTTACTAAAAATTACAACTGTAATTCTTTTAAAATTCAATCATTTTTTTGAATTTTTAAATAAAATTATTCAAAACTTTAATTTAATTCTTTTGGCAAATAATAAATAATTAATTTTTTGTAATATAATTATATTTAAATATTATTAGTTTTATAACAATTAAAATTTTTAAAGACAAGCAATTTAAAAATTTAATTATATTTCTAAAAATGCATTAATATAACGCTTGTAATATTCAATTATTATTTAAAATTTTATCTGAAAAATTCTTTTTCAAATCAATTCTTGTTAAAATTTTCTACGAAAATTCAATTATTTAAATACAATAATGAATAATTGTTTGTCTAATTGATTATTTCTTAACATTGGATTTTTATACAGTTTTATATACTTTTTATCAAAAAAAGAATTTTTATATTCTTTACCAAAAGTTTTTAAAATAATTTTGAATAATTCTTATTGAATATTCTTTGAAAGAATTCAATTATTTTTAATTTAAATTAAATATTTAAATAAAATTTATAAGAATAATTTCATTTTTTGAGAAATTCATTTAAAAGTGTATTTTAAAAATAATTGAAATCCTGCGATGAATTTTATTATTTATCAAAATAATTGAATTATTTTGAAGAATTTTATTACATTTTTTTTTAATGATTGAATTTCCGCGAAAAGTTTTGAAATTTATAAAAAAAATTGAATTTTTATGAAAAATTTTGTTATTTACGAAAAGAATTGAATTTTTGGGAAGAATTTTATTAACATTTTTTTTAAATAATTGAATTCCTAAAAAGACTTTTTTAATTGAATTTCTGTGAAAATGTTTATTACTTTTCAAAATAATTGTTGAAATTTTGCTAAGAATTTTATTAAATTTTTTGAAAATAATTGAATTCTTAGGAAGAATTTTATTATTTATGAAAATAATTGAATTTTCATGAGGAATTTTATCAAAAACTATAAATAATTGTCTTTTTTGTGAACAATTCTATTAAGATTTTTGAATGATAATTGAATTTTTGCATACAATTTTATTTTTTATGAAAAGAATTGAATTCCCGCGTAAAATTTTGTTATTTATGAAAATAATTGAATTCTTGTCAAAAATTTTATTAAAATTTTTTAAAATAATTTAATTTCGAAGAATAATTTTATTAATTTATAAAGATAATTGCAATTTTGATGAGAATTTTTAAAAATTTTTGAACATAATTGAATTTCTGCGAAGATAGTTACATACTTTTGAGGAAAACAATTACAATTGTATTGAAAATAAGTGAATTCTTATAAACAAATCTTATCAAAATTATTAAAAATAATTGATTTCTCTCGAAGAATTAAAAAAAAATTTTAATAAATTAATTTCTTTTAAAATATTTTATGAAAATTGTATTATAAATAATTGAAATTTTGTAAAAATTTTATTTTGTATTAAAAAATAATTTGCGTTTTTGCAAAGAATTAAAAACAAAATTTTTTTAATAATTGAATTTTTTTTGTGAAAATCTATTAAAATTGTAGCTATTGAAAATAATTGAAATTTAGAAAAAAATTTAATTGTTTGGGAAAATAATTGAATTCTTGCCAAAAAATTTTCTTACAATTATTTGAGAATAATTGAATCGTTTCAAAGAATTTTATCAAAATTTTTTGATGTGATAAGAATTTTTCGTAAAAATTTTTGAAAATAATTTTTTTTTCAATTACCAGCGGATTTAAAGTAGTATTTCTAAAAAAAAGAAAAAAGTATCTTTTAGTAACAGAAATCTGAAGGAAGTAACCAAATAGTAGAAAATCGTAAAAAAAAGTAGTAAATTGTCGGTTTTAGTAGATGAGTGCAAAGCCTGAAATAAGTAATTTTACTATCATTTTTTTTTATTTAATTTTAATTAATTCTAAATTAATTTCTATTTGCTTTTCTAAATTCAATATATTCAAGAGAGAAAATTGTCAATTGTTTCCAAAAAAATAAAAAATTAGAGTATAAAAAAAATTCTCTTTACCTGAGTAATAAAAAGGCAAACCAATGAAAGTGAGAATGGAATTTTTTTTTCTGCACAGAAAAAAATCGAAAAGTCAAATCCTTTGGAATTCAAGAGCGGCATTTGGTGGGAGGTAACATGTGCAAAAGATGTGGGGAACCAAGGGAGTCCGAAGTCTCTGACCCACTGACATTCTCCTCAGTTTCAGTCATGCAGTGAACGTCGATATAATCAAAATTGTCGCGATTTTCAGTGTCTGTGCAATTTAAAAAGTTCAAGGTGATTAAACAATAAAAAATATATTATTTTGGAAAAAAAATAATAATTAAATATTGTCATAAAATAAACAATAATTAATTAATAAAATAACGAATGACGAAGACACGATGCGTCGATGTCGAGGAGTTCTCACCGGGTTGATTGGCTGCCTAACAGTTGCATTCATTGTCTTCAGTACTCGATCTTTCACCGATGATCAGGATCTTTTTGATAAGGAATCCAAGGACACGACGAATACAAGCGAGGATTATGCAAATCAAGCCAAAGAACAAATTGCTAAAAATAAACAGGTCGGTTAAAAAATATTAATAAAAAATCCACATTTTTAAATTCTTTTTCAAATAAAAGAAGTAAAATAAAAAAAAAAAAAATTTTTAATATCAAAAATTATTTTATTTGCTTTTATTTCAATCTCTTGTATTTTATTAGCTTTTATTCTATTATCTTCTGTAACTGGAAATAGAAAATTGTTTTAATAAAATAAAATTAGTAAATAAAATAAAAATAATACGGAAAATACTAGAATAAAACTAGTAAAGAATATAAAAACGATACGAAAAATACTAGAATAAAAATCGTTATTAAAATAAAAACAGTACGAAAAATACCAGAATAAAAATAATACGGAAAAAACTAATAAATAAAAATAGTAAACAAAATAAAAACGATACGAAAAATACTAGAGTAAAAATAATACTGAAAATACTAAAATAAAAATAATACAGAAAATACAAGAATATTTAAAAGACAATAAAAATAAAGCAACAAATCTAAAAGTGTAATAAACAGATTACAAAATAGAAACAAACCGCTTCTTGAGAATGCAAAAGCAATTTTTGTTCTGAATAGGAAGGAAATGCGAGCATCATGGAGAAAGCGCTTTTCCAACATGAGATTCGAATAAAATTGCGCAGCTCCATGTAACGTTCATGTGAATCCAGAGAGAAATTTCTCAACCATACTTGGCAATTATATACGAGTTTATAATATTCACACTGTAAACCACTTGTGACACCATGAAGCTCATTATTCGACACTCATGATTTGAGTCTTGAAAAAAATATTCCTTCAAGTCGTGCATTCTAATTAACGAGAGCCAATTTGTTCCCTCTAATAAATGCTAATTAAAATTTTTCATCTTAATTTCACTTGTGCAAATAATGCGCTCTTCATTTTCATTATGACAAAAATATTCTTCTTCATTCCATTCTCATCATCTTTCTTAATATTCTTCTCTTTTTCTCGAAAAATTTGTTTCTAATCGCATAAAATTTTTTTCAATATTATTCTCTCATTGCTTTTACACAAAAAAAGTTCTCTAAAACAAAAATTTCATTTCTGAAACATAAATTCTTCTTCCGAAACAAAAACTCCTTTTCTAAAACAAAAACTCCTGTTTTGAAATAAAATCTTCTTTTCTAAAACAAAAACTCCTGTTCTTAAATAAAATCTTCTTTTCTGGAACAAAAAAAAAAAAATTTGACCAACAAATTATCCATTTTTGAAAAGAAAATTTCTCATTTATGATGAAAACAAATGAATAATTAATGGAAAAAACAGAGTTGTGTGAATTGATGGAAAAAAATTGCTTCCAGACACAGAAGCACGTTACACCATCACTTGCAGAATTGGGTGGGCGAGGAACTTTGCCGGAAATGAATGACCATGTACTGATGGTGACACGAATTCCTGGTGCTGGATCCGAGTTATTGGTTCTCATTTTGCAACGCCTTCAAGGATATAATGCATTCAAGCATATTCGTTTGCCCCCAGGTGACGACGGAATTCTTACCAATTTACAGCAGGTAAACTGAAAAAACTATTTCTAGAAAGTTCAAAACTATTGCACAAAATTAATATTTCTCTTAAAATTAAAGCATTGGAAGAATAATGTAACAGGAAAGTAAGTCATTAATATGAAACTGCTCCAGGATTGCCACAAAAATTTAATTTTTATAATTTGATTTTTCCTGATATCCAGATAAAATTTTTACTTTTTCCCTGACTCTAAAGAATATTCTGATTCACTCTAAAAATAATTAATTATAACTCAAAAAAATGTTCTATTACATTTATTTACGAATTACTTCAATTGCAAAATTATTTGAAAACATCAATAACTTCATTTTTAAATAAATATTTAATCATTATTATTTTTCCATAGGAATTAAAATTTCAAATTCAAAGCTTTTTGAAATTCAACAACTTATAAGAATATTTATTATAAAACATGAAGATATCGATCACTCCGAGTCGAAGACAATTCGATTTTACGATATTTCGATTATTCGGAAATTCTTCAATTAAATATATAAATTAGAAAATAAAAACTTCAAATATTTTTAAAAAAATGCAATTAAACTTTTTCAAAAAAATTAATTCTACAAAATTGTCAGTTAAAAATATGAATAATTCAGATTTTCAAAGATTTTAATTTAAAAACTTTTCAAAATTCAATTATTTTTAAAAATTCACGCTATAATGCTTTTAATTCACTTTTAAATAAATTTGTATTAGAATATACTAAGGAAATTCAATTATTTAAATACAAAAATAAATATTTAATTGAATAATTGAATGCTTCTTGAAATTGAATTATTGTAAGGAATTTTATTAACAAATTTTTAAATAATAGAATTCTTTTGATGAATTTTAATAAAATTTTTAAAAATAATTACATTTTTTGAGAAATTTGATTAAAATTTGCTCTTGCTAAGAATTTTATTAAATTCTTCGAAAATAATTGAACTCGTTGGAAGACTTTTGTTATTTATGAAGATAATTGAATTACTGTCAAGAATTTTATTAAATTTATTGAAAAGAATTGAATTTCTGCGAAGAATTTTGTAATTTATGAAAATAATTGAATTCTTGCGAAGAATTTAATTAACATTTCTAAAAAGAAGTGAATACTTAAGAAGAATTTTATTATTTATGAAAATAATTGAATTTTCATGAAGAATTTTATCAACATTTTTTTTAAATAATTGTCTTTTTGTGAAGAATTTTGTTATTTATGAGGATAATTTAGTTCTCGCCAAGAATCTGATTAAATTTTTTGAAAAGAATTGAATTCTTGCGAAGAATTTTATTAAACTTTTTGAAAATAATTGAATTTCAGAGAAGCATTTTATTATTTATAAAGATAATTGAAATTTTGACGAGAATAAATTTTAAGAAAAATTTTAAACATAAATGAATTTCTGCGAAGAATTTTATTACTTTACAAAATAATTGAATTTCTGAAATCATTGGTAAATCTAAATTCTCAAAAATTCAATGTTTTTTACTGTTTTTAAGTATAAAATTCTTCTATAAATTCATTATTTTTAATAATTATTTAAATATATTTTTAACAATTTAACTAATTTCAGATGAATTTGAATTATTAAAATTTTTCAAAAATCTAAATTCTTTAAATTGTCTGATTCATGAGGCAAACAAAAATGACACTAAAATTCAGAATTTTTTTATGAATTCTAAAAATTTTATTTTTTCCAGTACTTTTAATAAAAATCCCTAAATTTTCCCTGATTTTTCTGACCTTTGGTTAACCCTGTGCTCCAATTTCTAGAAAAAAAACACAATAAAATTATTAAAATTCACTTTTGATAAAATTAATTACTTCAACGTTGTAAATCAATTCAGAATTAAATAAATTGTCTAATTTATTTTATTATTATTTAATATTTTATATAAATTTATCATTATTAATATTATTTTATATGGAATTAATATTAACATTAATTTTTTGAATTTAAAAAAATTAAAACAATAAAATCAGTGAATAAAACGTAAAAAAAGTAAAAAGTTTTTCATAAATATTAATTAATATTAACTAATTAATTAACTGATTAATAATTATTAATAAATAAATAAAGTAAGGAAAAATGAAATAAATAAAAAAAAATAATAGAAGTCGAAAATCTATTTTACAAGAAATTTTTTATTTCAAAACGAAAATATTGCAAAAAAACGGAAAAATTGAATGCCAATTAAAAATAAAAAATATTTCCTTTTAATTCTCATCTATAAATTTTCCCCAATAAAATCAAATTTAATCAAATTATAAATACAAATCAAAAGTTACTGCATTAATTTAGCGCGTCGAGTTATGAAATTTTCATGGAGCTCATTATTCATGAAGGCGAGTTATTGAACTGTTGCAATGCAATGCAATTTTGCAATCAATCAACAATATTTATTTTCCGGCAATTTATGAAATTTTCAATTTTTCTTAAATTTTAAACATGAAAATTATTATAATTTTATAAAGATTTCTATATTGAATATATAATTTTATTACTATTTATCATTTTTTCACAAAAACTTAAATTTTAGAGACAAGTTAGAAAATTTTTTAGAAAACTAAAGAGAAAAAATTCCATTATAGGGAATAAAAAGAAAATGTCTTGACATTTATAGTAATGATTGAAAAAACAGGCAGGTCGTTACACTGTTTTCTTTTTTGTTTAGATACTTTTATGGTGGTTTCTAGTTTAGAGTATTACAATCTAGTTTTAATGACAAAAAAAGTAAATAAAAATAATATTTCTTTACGTAAGAAATTTGTGGTAAAAATAACTTTAAATTTCTCCCAATTGATAACTTTATTATATCTAATAATCAACTAGTAATTAAGAAAAATCAATAAAATTTTAAGTACTCTTGTAAAGACAATACTTTCTATAAAGATTTCTAATTGAATAATTTCATAATCATTGAAGCAAAGCAAATAAAAAATAATAAATATAAGAAAAATAAATAACAAATATAAAAAATACAATAATAAAATAATAACAAATATAAAAAAATATAATAACAAAATAATAATAAAATAATATAAAAAATAAAAAAATAATATGAAAATAATAAAAATATGAATTGAAAAATCGCAGTTTATTTTTTTACTGTCAGTGAGAAAAATAATTGCAATGAAATGAATCAATTTTTAAATTACAATTTTTTTTGCTATCCACAATTTACCTTTATACGATTTTTAATAAATATTTCCGAATTCAAGAGTTTTGAGAATAAAAATTTGAATGGAACTGCAATCTATATATTTTACATATTAACAGAGAATAAAGTAAGAGAAATCTAGTTCACATTTAATCGGTATTTAATTTAGAAAGGTTTTCTAGACATGCCAGTTATTAAACCACGAAAGGTCTCGTCCTCGTCGTGTCCAATCTGACATTTCGATGAAGATTCTCATGCGGAAAAAAAAATCTTTATTAATCACGACAAATAAAAGGCGCTCAAGAAATATATCTGCAATTATTTCTCACTCTTTGTGTTGAATCGAAAAAAATAAAAAGAATCCAGTTATAAAACAAAAAATAGAGAGAAAATTAATCTTTCTTGAAATAAATACGAATAAATACACAGTCAGTAAAGTACGTTCAATTAATAAATTATTCAAACTGTTGACTTTATAATAATTTTCAATAAATTGAGTGGTTTGAGTACAATTTTGATTGATTCTCTCTTTCCTTGAAAATATTTTCAATTAAATATCAAATTAGAATGTTAATTAAATATTAAAATAATAAATTAATTATATAATAATTAAATACCATAATAATCGAGATATAGAAATAATGATTGATTTTATCATTTATTTTTGTATTTAAATAGTTGAATTCTCGAACAACTTTTTGATAAGAATTGATTTGAAAAAAAAATCTGAGTTCAAATTTTAGAGAATATTTCAAGATTTGATAGAATTGCAGTATCAATTTGTAGAAATAATAACATTTTTATTGAAATTTTAATTTTGAAATTAATTAATTAGGTAATTAATTAAATTAATTAATTAAAATTTTGAAATTTTAATTCCTGGTTGACAAATAAACAAAAATACCTAAGTATTCAAATATTTATTAAACGAAAAATTTAATGAAACTTGAAAAAATTTATTTAGAAATTCCGAAAAAATGAGCTTTTTAAAAATCATAATTCGAATTTTTTAAAAATAGTTGAAATCTCGAAAATGATTCTAAAAGATTGGAGAAATAGAAAATTTTCTTTAATTTCATTAAAATAAATTTTATGCTTCAAAGAATTTTATTTTCTCCCTGTAAAAAATTATTTTGAAATATTATTGTATTTTTTGAAGAATTGTAACTAAAAATTTAGAAAAAAATTAAATTTAACAAAAACTCTTGTATTTAAAGAATTCAATTATCGTTGAATTCTAATACGAATTGATTTAAAAAAAGAATTTCAGTTAAGATTCTGAAAAATAATTAAAAGAAATAACAATAAGTTTTTAAATATTTTTTTTAACAAAAATTATTGAAGTTTTAAATAATTCAATTTGGAGATTACGAAAAAAATTAGTCTTTTGAAAAAATTTAATTAAAATGTTTTTGAAGATAATTGAGTTCCCGAAAATAATTTTAAAAATTAAAACAATTAAAAATTTTGTCAAATTTTATTGAAATAAACTTTTTATTTGAAAGAATTGAATTTTCTTAGGTTTTAAAAATTGTTTGGTAATATAATCGTATTTTTGAAGAATTATATTTCCAAACAGTTATATTTAAAAAAAATTAATTTTTAATAAAATTCAAAAAAAAAGTTTTTGTAACTAACAATGGATCATAAAATTTCATGCGCTTGGGTAGTTGTGCTAATTAAAAATTTTCTGTAAAACAATGCTTCCATCAGAAAGCAAGAATTGAATATTAATAAAATATTAAATATTCATCAATTAAATATTAATTAAATATTTATCAATCCAATATTAATTAAAAAATTAAATATTACTTCAATTAACAGCATAATCAATGATTTCAATTTTTGTTTCAATTTTAGTTAAAAAATTCAGTAAATTTCAATTTTTTGTCTCGATTTTAATTAAAACAGTTGATATTTCAGCCTAATGGCCCAGAAACGGACTTGATTTACATTTTTTTTTTAACCATACTTATATTATACATTTTAAACATTTGTCTCGATTTTAATTAATAGATCGAGTGAATAATAGTTTCAGTAGCACTTGTAATCAATTAAATATTTTTAATTTATTTATTGTTATTTAATTAATTATAATTTAACTATCATTCAATTAATAAAAAAACATTTTCCAGGAATTACTTGTTGAAGAAATAACAAGCATCATCAAACAGGAAGCTGTTCCTTTGAGTTTCGATGGAGACGTTCGCTTTTTGAATTTTTCATCTTTCGACAGACAGGCACCGACTTTTATTTCATTGGTTCGAGATCCTTTGGATCCGAGAACATTAGATAGGTATAGAAAATTTTGCAATTAAATTAATTCTATAAATTAAATAAGAAATCTAGAAAAATGAAGTAAAATTATTAATTAATATCTAGATATATTAAAAAAATTATTAATTAATATCTAGATATATTTAAAAATTACTAATTAATACCCAGATATAATTAAGAATTATTAATTAATACTTAGGTAATTAAAAAATTAACTATTTTACTATTTCAAGATTTCGAAATGGTGATTCATCAATGATATATAGTGGATCAGTGGCACATTTTTGTGGTCAAGACATTCGTTGCACGTGAGTTACAATTTATATTATATTTTACATATTGTATATACGATTTCAATATTTAATGATTAAATTTGCCTATTCGGAGTTCAATGCCTTCGCTAAGGCACAAAAGTTGTTCCTCAATAAAAAAATAAATATACAAGAAATATTCAAGAACTGGAAATTTTCAAAGGTCAACGAATCATTGACTGAACATATTGATCGTCTGAGAGTTTTGACTCATTTGAATATCATTAGAATAGTAAATTAGCAAGGATTTGAAAATTTTCTAACAAAAGTGTGCCAAACTTTTTTTCCAATACAATGCAAATTTGTAAACTTATTCACTTTTTTTTTTTTTTTTTTAAAAAGAAAAATTTTCATTGTGAGAATAGAAATATTTTTCTTAAGGGCAAAAACAGGAATTTTTTTTTCACTTGACTTTTTTTACGACACGCAGATTAAGCATATGAGTGAGAATCAAGATCAACGATCCATTCTTGGGAGCCAAGTGAACGTGAGCTGGCAAAGAAAGTATCTTGAATTGTGTAATCCCTACAGTACACACATTCTCCGAAAATGATTATGTCTAGAATTTTATTCTTTGTTTTTTTTCATGTTATGTAATATTTTTTTTGTATTTTACATTTTTTTCTCGTTTTTTTGAAAAATTGGGAAAATACCTATCTTTTTATTAAATTAATTGTGTAAGGTAAATTAATTATTTATTAACACTATTGCTAATTGAAACTATTATTTATTGAAATACTTGTCAATACTATTTGTCAATTAATTGAAAACTATTATCATTGGGATTTTTATTATTCAAAAAGAGATATGAAAGAAAATTCTCGAAAGAATTCTGTTGAATTATTTATATTTTTCATATGCGCTTTTTCCTTTTTTAATTATTGTCAATTACTGATTATCATTTAATTACGAACGTATGATTTATGATAGTTGATTAATTTTTCTATTTGATTTTAGTCAAAGAAATAGCAAATGGGCTCTGGAACGTGCCAAGGCCAATGCAATAAGATGGTATCCTGTTATTGGCGTTTTGGATCTTATGGATGAAACATTACAAGTTCTGGAATCATCTTATCCACAATTTTTCGAGGGCGCTGAACTAGTCTATAAAAACTTGAGTAAGAATAATTTTCTATTTTTTCTTCCATTGAAATAAGAGAAGTAGAAAAAAAATCACAGAAAAGAAACAAAAACTATTATATTCTCTCCTTTTTTTGATTATTTTTTCGTGCTATTTAAGAAAAAGAAATTTATAATTTTCATAATAATATTTTTTTTACACTTTAAATAATTTTTATAATTTATCAATCAGTGAGGCATTCGACAAAAAATTCCGAGACCTAAAAATAAAAATCCTCAACAATTATTAATTTTTAGATTTTTATTCATAGATTCACAAAAAAAAATTCATATTTTTTTCTCCAATTTTAGGACCAAAAAATATTTCATCGGAAGCGAAGTCATTAAAGAACTCGGTAAAAAAGCGACTTGGCAAGATATTAGCAAAAGAGGTGGAATTTTATGAGTGGCTGAAATCACGTCTATTAAAGAAAACGTCTTCTAATGGATGACAGAATTCCTTTGAAGACCAAATCAAGGAATTCATTTTTTTTATCATCATTATTCCTGAAAGGATAGCGCACTAATAACTGTTTCTACAAAAAAAAAAAAAAAAAGAAAAACAATGTTAATCAAAAATCATTTTATTCGAACAAAAAAAAAAAGAAAAAAAAGCATTTTTTACTGTAGAAAAGCGAAACCAAAGTATATGTTCGAAATGGAAGTAGTTTAAATTATTTATATAATAATTCTAAGAAAATTATTTAACAAAACGAAAACTAAAATATAAGTTAAAAGTAATTCAATGCGAATATGACAATGTACCTATTTTTAGTACCTATTTAATTAATTTAATTAATTAGTCAAAATGGTAAAAGAAAGTCAATGTAAATTGTAAATTTGTAGTAATATTTGTAAATATTAGCAAGAATGTTAAATTATAAATTTCTATTTTAATATTTTCAACTTTTTTTTAAAATAAAGTAATGTAAATATTTTTTACCTATAAAATTATTTTTTTTTAAATCTTTAATTACTAAAACCTAATTTTATATCAAAATATATTTTTAAATTAAAGTCTAATTTTAAATTAAAACATAAATTTTAATTTTTAAATTTACAATTAAAAACTTCAAATTATGAAAATTGAAAACATCCAATTGAAAATTGCTTTCAAAGTTTCTGAATAATTCTGAAAATACGGGTTTAAATTTGTTAGTATAAAATTTGAATAACTGATACGTGGTAATTTCGAACGAAAATAAATTCGTCTAAACGAATTAAAATCCGAAACTGTGTTTATTTAGTCAGTCAATCTATATTCAACTCAGCGTAAAGTAAATACAGAAGAGTGTAATAGAAATATTTTCGATTTCCATCTCAAAAAATGAGACAAAAATCAATGTTCACTTCATTTCTCTCTTTCTCTCTGTCTCATTCATGATCTCTAACTATCGCCTATTTAAGCTTTATAATAGAATTGTAAAAAAAAAGAAATTTCATAAATGTTAATTATTTATATACACTCACTCACTGAAAGCGATGCTCATACTATTTGCGTAGATATTTCCTTATTCATCATCATTATCATCGTTGTTGTTGTCGCCGTCGTCGTCGTCGTCGTCTTTATCCTTCTTCTTGTCAGGAAATAATTGATTTACTTTTTCAAAGCAAAAAAAAATATTACAAAGAAAATTATTATTTCCTTTGAATAATAATTTTTTTTTGATTGTAAATTAAGAAAATAATTTTTAGGATGATGAGCCGATATTTCGATGAGTACAACAAGAGAGCAAGATCATGTTGATGTACAAATAAACCAGCAACGGTACCAAATATACGTGCCATCACTTTTTCTTCGGATCCTTTAAACCTGCACCGGCGTTGAATTTAAAGAAGATAATATCGCCGTCATCAACAACGTAATTTCGTCCCTGCTGTCGGTACTTTCCAGCTGCCTGTTTTTCAATTGAAAATTAATTAGTTTAATCCAAAGATCTTTGCTAAATTAAAAAGAGGTCTTATTACATTTGGCGAATGTCTTGATAATTTTCAATTCAATTCATTTCTGTATATGAAGTTTGAAATTCTAAACTAATTTTCATTTCTCCGAATATTCAATTATAGACCTGAGGACGTAGGTAGAATTTTTTTTATTCTTGCAGCGATAAAAAATTACTTTTCAATTAAATCATCAAATACAAAAAAATAAGGTAATTTAAATCTTTTTTGAGGATTCGAATTTAAAAATTTTATTTTATTTACATTAAACACTAATTTCTCAGTTTCTCAAAAGTTAATAATTTTTTCTCTCTCTACGTTGGTGAAGTTCATAACTTTTCCAAGTAATGATCCTAAGGTTCTGAACGTTGAAATGAACGAAATGAATTTATTTCTTCTTCAAATTAAATTTTCTTTACAATAATTTTGCGCCACTATCAAAAAATTAATTATAAAGTCTTTAAATGTAAAATTTAGGTTTTCAATTTTTATTCCAATCAGTAGATAGTTTATAATATTTTTAATAAAAAATATTTCGTTCATTTGATAGTTCAGAACTTAAAGATCATTATAAGTAATAATTTACAAGAAATACTATTTTCCTGTTAAAATTTTTTATATATTTTTGTATAAAAGATATTCTCTATAGTTTTTTTTCAATAATTTAAGAAACAACAATTTTTAAACTAAATAATTAAAAAAAGCAACAATTTAGAAGAAAAACTATTTGCCGATTTACGTTGTTGTATATTTTTGTATAAAAAAATGTTTTGTATCGTTTATTATCAATAATTTAAAAAAAGAAAAATTTGTAAACTTAAAAATTTGTAAAAGGAAGCTAAACTTTTATAAGCATAAAGTTAAAAGAAAACCTACTTTTCTATTTAAATTTTCATATTTTTTAATTAATTAGGAAACAGTTTCACAATTTATAAGCAACAATTTAGAAAAAAAAACTATTTTTCTATTTAAACTGTTATATATTTTTGAATAAAAAAATGTTTTAAAATTGTTTTTTCATCAATAATTTAAAAAACAAAATTTTTCTACAAAATAATTAAGAAAACGGTTTAACTTTTATAAGCAACAATTTAGAAGAAAAACTATTTTCTATTAAAATTTCTATATATTTTGGTGTACAAAATATTTTGTATAGTTTTTTCGAAGTTTAAACAAAATATTTCAGAAAATATTATTAACAAAAGCAAATATTATAATAATATTTTATTGTTCATGGGCATTAAAAATATGTGACTGTCCGCGACAAAAGGGACCTTAGCTCCATGTAAATACATGGGAGCTAAGGTCCCTTTTGTCGCGGACAGTCACATATTTGTTTTCTTTTAATCGTTGTGAACTTCGTCAACATATCAGCTTTTGGTTCATTTTACAGACAAAATAAGAAAATAAACTTATAAAAGAAGAAAATAAAATTGAATATAAATTAATTTAAACCAGGAATTAAAAATATCTTTCCTATTAAAAAATATCTTTAAACAATGATTGAAATGAGAATGGAATTTAATGATAAGAAGAATTTTACTATAAAAAAATACCTTGCAAGCAGATTCTGAACCTTCAGATTTAAAGTCATCGAATTTCATGACTTCGGCCATAATGAAACCTTTTTCAAAATCAGTATGAATTCTTCCAGCAGCCTGCGGCGCCTTTGTTCCTTTCTATTGAGAAAATAAAACAAATTATTTTTTTTCCAATCATTTAATTGGATTGATTTCAATTAAATCAAATTTATTTGTAATATTGCATTTTTTGAGTGTTCCCGTCAAAAATTCGGTTATAATTTTTTAAAACTCGAAATCCTCAACTTCTAAATGAAAAAAGGATTTTGAATTTCCATTTTCTGTAAGCATTTCGTATTTACATAAAATAAGAAAAAATAAGAGCGTTGAGTGAAAAAACCTTTTAAAATTTAATTATTTCCTCAAATTCCATTTATAACGTTTCTAATATTTAATTATTTTTTAAAATTTTAACTCAAATTCTTTTTTAAATCAATTTTTTTAGTATTCAACGATAATTAAATTATTTGAATATAAATTTTTTTGTGAAATTTAATTATTTTCCAAATTTTTAGTTATAGTTCTTCAAAAAATACAATAATATTTAAAAATAATTTTTTAATATTTTTTAAAATTATTTTTAGGAATTTAACTATTTTTAAAAAATGTTAATTACAATTTTAAAAAAAACCTCATTCTTTCAGAATTTCTAAATAAAATTTTTCAAAAACTAATTAATTTTTGTTTAATAAATATTTGAATACTAGGTTATTATTTATTTGTCCAACAGGAACTAAAATTTCAAAATACATTCAATGTAAAACCTTTTTGAAATTTAATTATATTAAAAATTAGAACTGCAATTCTTCCAATTGTTGAAATATTTTCTGAAATTTGAACTGAAATTCTTTTTCAATCAATTTTTTATTATAAAGTTGTTCGAGAATTCAAATATTTAAATACAAAAATTGTTGTGAAATTTAATTATTTTCTAACTTATTATTATTTACAGTTCTTAAAAAAATACAGCAATATTTAAAAATAATTTTTTAAAGTGAGAAAATATAATTCTTTGAAATATAAAATTTATTTTAATGAAATTTGAGAAAAATTCCTACTTTTTCAATTTTTTAAAATTATTTTCGAGAATTCAACTATTTTCAAAAAATTTTAATTCCAATTTTTTAAAAATCTCATTTTTTTCTGAATTTCTAAATAAAAATTTTCAAATTTCATTCATTTTTCGTTTAATAAATATTTTAATACTAATTGTTGTTTATTTATCAACCAGGAAGTAAAATTTCAAAATACATTCAATGTAAAATCTTTTGAAATTTAATTCTTTCTAAAAATTAAAACTTCAATTCTTCCAATTCTTCTAATATTTTCTCAGATTTTAACCAAAATTCTTTTTTAAATCAATTATTAGCAAAAAATTAAACCAGAATTCAATTATTTAAATACAAACATTACAACTGTAACTGTACGAAGAGAAAATTAAATAAATTAAATAAATTTTGTAAAAGTATTTCATAATTTGGGGGAAAAAATTGCGACAAAATTAAATAAAAATAAAATAAATTAAATAAATAATTAAATAAATTTTGTAAAAGTGTTTCACAATTTGGGGGGAAAAAAGCGACAAAGAGAAATTTTGATATAAAAAATACTGAACTTTAAAAAAACTTACGTGAAATTTAGTATAATTATATCAAATATAAAAATTGTAGTTAAATTTTATTATAGCTTTATTAAATTTCATGTTATTTCTTTCACTGTTTAGTATTTTCTATGTCAAAATTTCGGTTTGTTGCTCTTTTTCCCCAAATTGTAAAATAATTTTCAAAATTTAATATATATTTTCTCTCCGTGTGTACTTATGGTTTTTTTAATACTGTGAATAAAAATATTTCCTTACTTATTTCCCCCTCTTGGAAAAATTCTTTTATTAGCAAAATTGTAAAGAAATTAATTTTCCCTTAATAATTTTTGTGTTTAAAAAAATTATAACCAATTCTTTTATCGGGATTTTAAGTTCAAATTTACCTGAATTGTCCAAGCCTTGACTTCATCATGACCAGAGGTGAAGAAATATTGCAATTGCAGAGCTCTATAACCCTGAATGATAATTTTGTCCAGTGCGCTAGAAAAAAAAGATAAATTAATCATATTTATTAAAAATATTAAGTAAAATAGTTTTTATTTAAAAAAATCAGTTAATAAAAATTAAGAAAATAAAAAAGTATTCCAAAAAAATTATTATAAATATAAAATAAAATAGTTTTTATTTAAAAAAATCAGGTAATAAAAATTAAGAAGATAAAAAAGTATTAAAAAAAAAAAAAAAAAATTAATAGTTTGAAAAATAAAATACAAAAACTGTTAGGTATTTATTTCGTTTAAAATTTTTCGTAAAATAAAAAAAAAACAATCAGTGGTACAAAATTGGACGTCGGATCCAATTGTTAGTTAAATATTAAGTATATTTTAAGTTACTGTGAATAATAATTAGAGAGCGCTTTTTCATCATCGACCCTAGAATTGAGATTATTCGAATATCTGACATATGTATATATATAGATTGTGGACTCTAATTTGACAATTTACAAGAAATAGCTATTAATTTGCTCTAAAACGAGTAACCATGAAGGGATCGAAATCGAAGCGGAATTGCATAGCAGTGACGAGATAGAAATGATTTTAACATAAGTTGATTGCTAGTAAAAGACACGAGACAACGAAAGGGAGTGAGTGAGTGAGTGAAAAAAGGAGGTGGAAGAAAAGGTTGGATAAGAGGGTCAACCAGCAATCAGAGGACTGCCATGATTTTATTTCGAGACCGCAGATCAGCGGATGCACAAAGTGGATACCTCTCGAGAGAGTCTCTCGTGAAATGATAAAATTGCGGTATTAAGTCGTTCGCTTTATGTGTATTCTCTGAAGTCTCAAAATTCAGCCACTTCTCTATCTCTTTTTTCTTTCTCTCTCCATTTTTTTCTCTATCTCTCTTTCACTCTATTTCTTTTTCCTTTCTTCTCTCTCTCTCTATTCTTTTTCGTGTATATAGAGAAAGAGAGAGACAGAAATTTCTCTCTCTTTCTCTATATACACGAAAAAGAATCGGATGACTCCTTTTGGCAACTCACCCTGTCATTAGACGATCTTTGGTCTCAAGACAATCATATTCTATGGTCCCAACATTCTCAGTTGTTCCGAAAAAATTTCCAGTTTTCATCATGTTCGAATTCGTATTTTGTCGCCGATCACCTTTCTGGTGTGTCTTTAATGATCCCATTTTTAGTGTCCCGGACCCAGAAGGGACCGCTCGTAAAACGCATAATGTGTGCAAAATCTGACCGCATTACGGCAAAGGACTTAATAATTAGTGAAGCAGGAAAAAAAAGGGACGGCAATTTCTTCTTCATTCATTTTAAATTATCTTTCGACAATTCTTTTCGTTACTAATATTGTTCTTTTTTTGTCTTCTCTCCAGGGTTGCCACAAAAATTTAATTCTCTTTTTCCCTGATTTCCAGACAGAATTTTCACTTTTTCCCTGACTCTCAAGAATATACTGATTCACTCTAAAAATTATTAAATACTCAAAAAAAAAATGTTCTATTACAATTATTTAGGAATTTCTTTAATTGTAAAATTATTCGAAAACATCAATAACTTCCTTTTTAAATAAATATTAAATCATTATTATTTTTCCTTAGGAATTAAATGTTTGCAAAACATTCAAATTCAAAGCTTATTTAAATTTAACAACTTATAGGAATATTATTATAAAACATGAAAATATCGATCAATCCGAGTCGAAGACTCGGAGTGATCGGTTTCTTCATGTTTATAATAATTAAAGGTGCCTGAGTGATAAAATCTTTTTTTTATATTATAAGAATATTTTTACTGTAAATTCTTGAAAATTATTTTCATCATTTCAATTCAATTATTATTTTCTAGAATTTTTAACTAAAATTCTTCTCTAAATCCATTATTTTTAATAATTTTTGAAAAAGTTCATTGAGAATTTTCAAATCCATTTGTTTACAATTTAATTTTATAAAATTTTGATTATTCCGAAATTTTTCAATTAAATATTATATTAGAAAATGAAAACTTCAAATAAGTAAAAAAAATTCAATTAAACTTTTTAAAAAAAATTAATTCTATACAGAATTATTAGCTAAAAGTATGAAAAATTCAGATTTTTAAAGATTTGGATTTGAAACATTTTTAAAATTAAATTATTTCTAAAAATTTACTCTATTTGAACTAAAATTTCTTTTTAAATCCCTGACTTTTCCCTGAATTCCATAACCCTGAAAAATTAAATTTAATCAAATTACTCAAAAATTAATATTTAGAAATTTTTAAATCAATATTTATTAGAAAATTCTACAAGAATTCAATTACTTAAAGACACAAATAAATATTTTATTTCATACTTAAATGTTTTCTAAAATTGAATTCTTCTGAAGAATTTTATCAACAAATGATAAATTTATTAAATTTTTAGGACGAATTTTAATAACAGTTTTAAGATGTAATTACATTTTTTGAGGAATTCGATTAAAATTGAATTAAAAATAATTGAAATTGTGAATGAGTTTTCTTATTTATAAAAATAATTAAATTCCAAAAAAGAATTTTATTATTAAAATTTTATTATTATTATTATTATTATTATTTTATTATTTATGAAAAGAATTGATTTTTTGTAAAGAATTATATTATTTTTGAAAATAATTGAATTTTTATGATAAATTTTATTATTTATGAAAAAAAATTGAATTTTTGTGAAGAACTTTATTAAAAATTTTTTTTTTAATGATTAAATTTCTGCGAAAAGTTTTGTAATTTTCGAAAATAATTGAATTTTTTGAAAAATTTTGTTATTTATTAAAATAGTTGGATTTTTGCCAAGAATTTTATTGAATTTCTTGAAAAGAATTAAATTTTTAACAAGAATTTTATTATTTTTGAAAATCATTGAATTTTTATGATAAATTTTTAATTATTTATGAAAAGAATTGCATTTTTGTGAAGAATTTTATTATTTTTGAAAATAATTGAATTTTTATGATAAATTTTATTGAAAAATATTTGTTATTTATGAAAATAGTTGGATTTTTGTCAAGAATCTTATTAAATTATTTGAAAATAATTAAATTTTTTCGAAGAATTTTGTTATTATTTATGAAAATAATTGGATTCTTAACAAGAATTTTATTAAATTTCTTGAAAAGAATTGAATTCCTTCGAAGAATTTTGTAATTATTTATGAAAATAATTGAATTCTTAACAAAAATTTCATTAAAATTTTTAAAAATAATTGAATTTTGGTACAGAATTTTATTATTCATAAAGATAATTAAACTTTAAAAAATTTTTTAAATAAAATAGGATTTCTGCAAATAATTTTATTAGTTTTAAAAATAACTATTGAAATTTTGCCAAGAATTTTATTAAAATGTTTAAAAATATTTGAATTTCGGAGAATATTATTATTGTTATAAATTATTTATAAAAATAATTGAAAATTTGACGTGAATTTTTTTAAACTTTTTAACATAATTGCATTTTTGCGAAGAATTTTATTATTTTTAAAAATATTTGAATTTCTTTAATCATTTGTAACTTCTCCGAAATTCAATTTTTTTAGCGTTTTAACCAAAATTGTTCTATAAATCCATTATTTTTAATAATTAATTAAATATAATTAAAAAGTTTAACTAATTTCAGAAGAATTTGAATTATTAAAATCTTCATAAATCTAGGTTTTTTAAATTTTCTAATTAAATTCATTAAAAATTCTTTGAATTTTTATATAATTTTGAATTAAAACCTTTTGAAGTTAATCTATTTATGAGAATTGTAAACGCAACTCTTAAAATTGAATTAATTTTGAAATATTTAAGTAAAATTATTCCTTAAGTAATTCATCAGTAATGATTTTATGATTGTTCTTTAAAAATTAAGTTTTTTAAAAAGAAATTATTGTCAGAAATAGAAGAAATTGAAGGTAATTTAAGAATTCGTGGTAATTTAATAGTTTAAGAAGTAAACAATAAAGACATCAAAATTCGATTCCAATTTAAATAATATTTAACAAAACTTATTACTAAAGAAAATTGTTTCTCCTTTATTTCCAAGTGGAATTAATTATTTAAATATTAAGCAGAAAATTGTTTGAAATAATTTAGAGTTATAACTTTCTCTCAAAAGTTCTTGCAATACTGCTGATTTGCATAGAAATTTTTCGTTAGAAAAAGTAATTTAGAAGGACCCGGCGGGTAAAAGTAGAAAATTCTTTTTTTCAAGAGCCTAAACTCTATATTTTTCTCGTTTTTACAATGGAGCATGTGCACTTCCTGAGTGCGGATGACCCACTGGCCGAGAGTCGCATTGGAAGAACAAGAGAGAAAGAGAGATTATACCCCTGTGTGTCGATAAGGGCGTCGGGAGTTTTCTCTGCAATTTTACAAGAATTTGAATAGCCCTGCGTAAAAAAATATAATGTTCCGCGGCCGCCTTTTTTATAGTTGCTTAACTATAAAAGAGGGATGTACACGAGTCTAGACACGAGGATAACCGAAAACTTGGAACCCTCTATTACTGTTAGCATAGCTAACAAATTTGTGGGAACCAATTTTTTCCTTTTTTTTTCCTTTTCAAAATTCCTAATATATGATGATTCGATTAAATATATAATTCCAGTGGAAAAGGGCAGCAGATTGTCACTAAGATTTCTTTTCGTCTATATACGAATATTCTTTTTTTTTCTTCAGGTAAATTAAATTTAAGAAAAATTAATTTAATTTCGGTTAAATTTTATACCTGGTGACTTTGGATTCTTCGTAGTATTTTGCTTGCTCGGCCTCATCCATTTCTATGACTTTATTCTCAAAGGCGCCACTGAATGGAATCAGCGATGATCCTGGATCATTTTTGTCAACCCATTCCTTAATCTTGATGAGCCTGAAATAACATTGATTGTTAAAATATATTTTAATTGTATGTATATTAATTATAAACTTCAAACTTTTGGTCCGAAAGTGGACTTGGTAATAAATCTTCTTCTACACACACACTTACATCATGCGTTTACATTTTTCTCAATCCTTAATACAATGACAAAAAAAAATATTTTAATTTAGTATTTATAAATTTACTGAAAAACTAAATAAAATATTCACATAAGATATTTGTATTTATTTATTTTAGAATAAAATAGAAATATTCAAGAATGTAAATTTTACCATTTTTACTAATTTCCACTAAATAATCACAATTTTTAAATTTTTCTGACACTTACGGTTGTAAAATTATTTAATTACGAGAGAAATAATTAAAAAGAAAAAGATTTATATTGTTGAAAATATAGAGTTTTTTTTACTAAAGCAGGCGCTAATAAATTAGAAATAATGAAGAATTCAATAAATAATAAAAATAAATTTAATAATAAAAAATCATCAACTCACCATTTATTCTTCTTTCGAATATAATCCTTTTCCGAAAGGTTGACCAGATAAATTACCGGCTTTGACGTCAAGAAGAGATATTTATTAAGCACCTCAATCTGCAAAAAATATTTTAACAAAGTTAGCAAAAATTAATAACAACGAATAAATAAGTGGATAAAAATAATAAAATAGAAATTTAAAAGAAGAGGCAGAAACAATTATTTTTCATAAATAACAGAAATCTTCGCAAAAAAACAATTATTTCCATCAATAACAAAATTTTTCACAAAAATTCAATTAGTTTCATAAGTTACAATACTCTTCGCAGAAATTTAATCATTTTAAAAAAATTTTACTATAATTCTTCCAAATAATTCAATTCTTTTCATAAATAATAAAATATAGCACAACAATTCAATTATTTTCATAAATTACAAAATTTTAGCAGAAATTAAATCATTTTTAAAAAATATTAGTAAAATTTTTCGCAAGAATTGAATTCTTTTCATAAAAAATAAAATTCTTCGCAAAAATACAATTATTTTCATAAATAACAAAATTTTTCACAAAATATGAATTATTTTCGTAAATTACATAACTCTTCACAGAAATTTAATCATTTAAAAAAAAATTAATAAAATTCTTCCCAAAAATTCAATTATTTTCATGAAATTTAATCAGATTCTTGACAAGAATTCAATTATCTTCAAAAATAACGAAATTCTTCATAAAATGTGAATTATTTTATAAGAAATTTAGTAAAAGTCTCCATAAAATTTCAATTATTTTTATAAATAATAAAATTCCTTCCAAGAATTCAATTATTTTCATAAAAAATAAAATTCTTTGTAAAAAGTCAATTATCATTAAAAAATCTTATTTAAATTGTTCACAAAAAATCAAGTATTTGCATAAATAACAAAAATCTTCGTAGAAATTTAATCATTTTAAAACATTTTAATAAAATTCTTAGCAAAAACTCAATTATTTTCATAAATAATAAAATTTTTCACAAAAATTCTATTATTTTCATAAATTACAAAATCTTAGAAGAAATTCAATCATTTTAAAAAAATTTTAATAAGTTTCTTCCCAAAAATACAATTATTTTCGTAAGTAATACAATTTTTTTCAAGAAATAAATTGTTTTCATAAAAAAGTTTTTTGCAAGAATTTAACTATTTTCAAAAATTATAATAAAACTGTTTGTAATAATTAATTTATTTTGAATTAAATTTTAATTAAATTTCTGCAAATAATTTAATTATTATCAAAAATTGTAATAATATTACTAACAATAATGGAATTATTTTAGATTCAAAATTATAAAAGATATAAATATAAATAGGTATATAAAATTATATAAATTTATAAATATAAAATTATAATTTTTAATTGAAAACAATTCCGTTTAATTATTCGTTGTTAGTGTTAAATCCTTAAAACATTAAATTTGAAAATTTACTTAATTTAAAAATTCAAAAAAACATTTAAGTAGAATATTTTCTAAAAATTTGGAAACCAAAAAGCAAACAAATTCAACAACAAACTTCCGGAATACAATGATTATTAATATAGAATATATTGAATTCAATTTTTTTTATATATAAATTAATTCAAAAATTTTAAAAACAAGTTTTGAATACAAAATATAAAAAGTTTAAAAAGTAGGCGAATTTTAATAGAAAAGATGAAATAGGTAACAAAATTTTAAAAATGTGAAAAGGTGATCATCGTCTGTGAACCCAGAATAAAAGAAGCAAAAATTAAACACAACGAAAAAATAAAAAAATGAATAAAAATAATAAAATAGAAAAGAAATGAAGAATTTAATAAAATTATAGTTAATGATTCGAATTTTACTTTGTAACTATAATTTTCTTTCTTACTTTAGACAAATTATTGAAGTAATAAAAATCGGTGATTCTTGTTATTAAAGGAGAGAAAAATTTTTTAAAAAATCGAACAAACTTTGCTCCTTGCGTACAAACTTTTTCTCAAAATCTATAAAAATGCGTCTTTTAAACGAATGACTCGACGGTCACTTGGAAGTTTCAAAAGAAGTTTTAATTGCAATTCATTCTCAGAAATGTACTAACTTTTATAATTTCCAATCTCCAATGCCAATCGATAAAATTTTCTTTTCTATTTTATTTACTATTATTATTAAAACTAAAGTAATTATTAAATTCGTCTACCAAGTTAAAAAAAAAATTGTCTTGATTTTTACAAATTAAAGTAAAACTCACATCGTTTGCACTCCAATCGGCAAATCTAATATGATTCTTATCATCGACCAGAATTCCTTTAACTTTGAGAAGTGTTTCCTGAAACAAAAAGTAAAATCATATTTTAAATTCCATTAACATTTTTAAAGATATTTAAAATATTTAAAAATTCATTGAAATATTAAAAAAATGGATAAATTGTGTTTTTAAATTAAAAAGTATTAAGTTAAAAAAATAGAAGACTAGTAACTAATTAAAAAGAATAAAATAAAAAGAAATTAGAAGAGAAGTAACTAATTCGTTGATATATATAATCATCAGAAAATTGAACAGTTTCAGAAAAGTTGAGTTTTACGCGAATACGTACGTAACAAAAGGTAAATTAAATAAAAAGAATTTAAGTACAACCCAGATGGGCAGAATCGCAAGAGTCTCAAAAACTTTTTCGTAAATTACTAACCTAAGGAACAAAAGAGTTGTTTGGAAAATTGCAATCCGCGGAAGGACGTTTATCCTTTGTCGATTGATTTCTTCCAGGAAGTGAATCGAGTTTTTTCCCACCCGCGCTCTCTTAATTTCTCCTTCGGTAATTTCGCGAGACCAATAATATTCCCAGTGAATTTGTGCGAATTCTACTTACTTTCGGCGTGCAGCTTGGTACCGAAACCACTGGCTTTTCGTGACAAGGAACACTTACGTTAAATTTTCGATCATGTCGGTCCCTCACTTTAAAAGGTAAAAAAAAGAGAAACAAAAAATTTTTTGCTATACACCTTGGACATAATGCACGTGCGACTGTTATTGTTCTCCTAATTTTCAACAGGTCGTTAAAAATGAGTTGAAATGAACTTTTCAATAGACATTCACAAAATTTTTTTCTCCTTTTTTTCCTAAAAATCTTAACGACTTTTCGATTGCCAATCTTTACAATTTTTTTTTTAAGGAACCATTAACTTGAAACGATAAAAATAAAATATTCGGTGAAATGTTACATTATTTTTTACTGTCAGATATATATCTCGTTAACTTCCTTTAATTGATATTTATTAATTTTTATTGTTATTTAAAAATAAGAAAATTTTTTGTTTTGCAGGTGTCGGATCGACTTTAAGGGATAAAAAAAGTCGCTTTAGCCAATTAAAAATACAAAAAAAAGTCGAAAAAATCAACAAATTTAATTCAATGTTGTGACAAAATTTTATTTTGTATTTTCCTTGACTTTTCACCGATTTCTAAATTCAATTATTCAAAACTTGAATAATTTTGTTAAATAAATATTTAAATACTTCTTATTTCCTTTTACAGAAATAAAATTTTAAAAAAATAAATTAAAAAAATTTCGATCTAAAACCTTCTGAAATATAATAATTTCTAAAAATTACAACAATAACCTTTCCAAAATTCAATTATTTTCTCCAATTTCTAACTAAACTTCGTCCTCTAAATTAATTATTTTTTTTAATAATTTTGCTAGTTCTTCGATAATTAAATTATCTAAATTCAAAAATTTAATTTTTTATAATAATTGTAACTGTAACGGTCTACGTTTTATTCTAAAGTTTTCAAAACATAATAAAGAAATTTTTTGAAATATTTTTTTTATAAATATTTTAAAATAATTTTTGAAAGACACGTATTTTTCAATTACATACAATTAAAAAATTTCCAAACAATTAAAATTTGGTAAAATATTTTTAAAATAATTGAATTTTTAAAAAATGTAAAAAAACAATCAAAATTTTAAAGAAATTTAATTATATGATTTCTGCAAAATTTTAATAAGTCTAAAAAAATAATTTTTTCAAAATTTTAATTTATTTTGCTCGAATAAAAATGAATTTAAAAAAATTTATGATAAAACTCTAAAAATTAGTTCTTTAAAAATATTGTAATGTAATTTTTTTGAAAATAATTGAATTTCTTAAAATAATTTTTGTACATATATATAATTTTAAAAAAAACTAATTAATTTTTTGCAGAATTTAAATTAAAAATTTCAAACATGATTGTTTTCTCAAAAATATGACAAATAATTCTAAAAAAAATTCAATGATATTATTTTTTGTATTTGTTTGAATTTTTGGAAATATGTAAGTAATTGAAAATATTGAAAATAATTAAATTTTAAAAAATTAGGATAAAATAAATTCTAAGAATTACTTTTTTCATAATTAATTTTCACTTTTAAATTTATCTGCTTGAAGATTTTTCATTAAAATGTTTGGAAATTCAATTATTTTCAAAATTTGCAAATAAAATTCTTCAAACATTGATTTTCAAAAATTGGAATAAAATACTTGAGAAAAAATCAATTATTTTTAATTAAATTTTACAAAATTTCAATTATTCAAAAATGTTTTAATTATATTTTAAAAACTTAATTATGTTGAGAAAAATATTCAAAAACAGGGTTGCCCTAAAAATTAAAATTTGTTTTTCCCTGATTTTCAGAAAACAATTTTTTCTTTTTCCCTGATACTGAAGAAAAGTTCTGATTCACTCTAAAAATGATCAGATACTCAAAAAAATGTTCAATTACAATTATTTACGAATTACTTTAATTGTAAAATTATTTGACAACATCAATAGTTTTCTTCAAAATAAATATTTTAAGAATAATTACATTTTTTGTGGAGATCGACTACAATTGTATTTAAAAAAATTAGAAATTTCGCGCTAATTTTCATTATTTATGAAAAAAATTTAATTCCTAAAAAAGAATTTCATTATTTATGAAAATAATTGAATTATGAGGAAGAATATTAGTAAAATTTTTTTAAATTGATTGAAGTTCTACGAAGGGTTTTGTAATTTATGAAAATAATTGAATTATTGTGAAGAATCTAATTACATTTTTTGAAGATAATTGAATTTCGGAGAAGAATTTTATTATTTAGAAAAATAATTGAAATTTTGACCAGAAATTAAAAAAATTTTTTTGAACATAATTGAATTTTTCTGAAGAATTTTTTTAGTTTTGAAAATAATTATTGAAATTTTGCCAAGAATTTTATTAAAATTTTTGAAAATAATTGAGTTTAGGAGAAGAATTTTATACTTTATATAAAGATAATTGAAATTTTGACGAGATTTGTTAAATTTTTTAACATAATTGAATGTCTTTAAATAATTATATTATACTTTTGAAAATAATTGAATTTTAGCAGTTATTTGTAACTTCTCCAAATTTAAATACTTTTTTAGTGTTTTTAACTAAAATTTTTCTATAAATCTATTATTTTCAATAGTTAATTAAATATATATTAAAAAATTTAACTAATTTCAGAAAAATTCGAACTATTAAATTATTTCCAAAATCTAAGGTCTTTAAAATTTCTAATTAAATTCATTGAAAATTGAAATTTCCTAAAATTTAAAATTAAAACTTTTTGAAGTTCATCTATTTATGAAAATTGTAAACGCAACTCTTTTAAAATTCAATTTATTTTAAAATATTAAAGTAACATTATTTGTTAAAATAATTAATAATTCTTCAAGAATTAAGTTATTTTAGAAAAAATTGTCGGAAATAGAAAAAATTGTAGGTTTTGTATTTGAATTCGTGGTAAGTTCATATAGTTTATGAGACAAACTAAAAAGACACCAAAATTCATCATTTTCTTATGAATTCTAAAAATTTAATTTTTTCCTGTACTTTTTATAAAAATCCCTGACTTTTCCCAGATTTCCCAGACCTGTGGCAACAATTTTGGAAGATTTGTCCATAGTTACTTTTCACACCACAAAAATGGAAATAAATTTCATTTTATACTAAAAATGTGGTATTTTGTTGCAATACTTGAAAGAAAAGTCGACAAAGTCGCAATTTTTGTAAATATGTCGAAGAAAAGTCTCATTTTTTGAAAATAGTTGAAAAAAGTCGAAAAAATCGTAATATCCAAGGCCAGGTTTCGCTGTGCTGATGATTAATATTTTAATTATTCAGAATTCAAATTTAAATAATAAACAATAATATCGAAAAATCTATTCTTCTTTGCATACGTCAAAAAAGCATCGAGTGGAAATTTATTCTGTTTTTGTATTTTAAAAATTAAAAATGAAACCCCCCCGCATCTCTTGTTTGTAACTTATTACCATTATATTATTATTATTATTATCATTATAAAATTGTCGATATATCGAGACAAGGGCGGTCACTATATATACAATGTCTCGAGATTTTATCCACGAAGAAAACCAAGTGGGTGATCCGGCCATTTACAATAACGAGAGGGTCTCTCGCGCTAAGCGAATTGAATGTAATCGGTTTCGACGACCGGTTATATCTACGTTTTTACAATTACGCGTGGGTGTAGAACCGCGCCTTGTTGGTTAAAATCGATCGAAATGTCGCTCCGTTATTCACTTCGGGCCAATGCAAATAGTATCCGATCACGAGATCCTTGATATTACCGCAAGGTTCACAAACGTGAACGGGTCATGCGTTCACCGCATTTAGCGATCATCATCTCACAAAACACTTAAATGAGCATACTTAAAGTAAATTCATATTATTTATTGAGTTAAAACTATTACTCCTCACGACTAGCCACATCTGACTATCATTTTATTCCTTTAAATCCTCCTTTTTACTAGATCTCTCACGTTTAAACATTCTTTAAACTGTTCTTTCAAATTTAAACACAATTTAATAATTATTATTATTTTCTAAGCCCGTTGACACTAAATAAATCAAATAAAAATAATGATAGTAATAATAATATACTAATCTTAGTATTATTTCAGGGTTGCCACAAAAATCTAACTTTATTTTTCCCTGATTTCCAGACACAATTTTAACTTTTTCCCTGGCCCTAAAGAATATTCTGATTCTCTCTATGATTAGATTCTCAAAAAAATTTCTATTGCATTTAATTAAGAATTTCTTTAATTGTAAAATTATTCGAAAACACCAATAACTTCTTTTTAAAATAAATATTTTATTATTATTATGTTTCCATAGTGATTAGGATTTTCAAAAATTCCAAATTCAAATCTTTTTGAAATCAAACAACTTATACGAAATTGTTATAAAACATAAAGAAATAGATCACTCCGAGTCTTCGACTCAGAGTAATCGATTTCTTTATGTTTTATAATAATTAAAGATGACCGAGTGACAAAATCATTATTCTATTATAAGAATATTGTTACTCTAACTTCTTCAAAATAATTTTCATCATTTCAATTCAATTAAGATTTTCTAGAATTTTTAACTAAAATTCTTCTTTAAATCCATTATTTTTAATAATTTTCAAAAAAGTTCTTTAACAATTTTCAAATCCATTTGTTTGCAATTCAATTTTAAGAAACTTCGATTACTACGTCCCTAAAGTTTCGAACGTTCAAACGAACGACAATATTTCTATTACTTCTTTTAATTTGAATTTTATTTACAAAATATTGCTTTTTATAATAAAAACATCTTTTCTTAGCTAAAAAATAATTAATTACAATATTGTTTGAATTTCAGTCTATTAATTTTTGAAAATATTATAGCATAAAAAAATATTTCGTTCATTTGAACGTTCAAAATTTTAGGAAGATTGATTACTCAGAAATTCTTCAATTAAATATATATTAGAAAATAAAAAATTGAAATAATTATTAAAAATTTCGATTAAAATTTTTGAAAAAAATTAATTCCATAGAATTCTTAGTTAAAAGTACAAAAAATTTAGATTTTCAAAGATTTACATTTGAAACCTTTTCAAAATTTAATTATTTCTAAAAATGCACGCTATAATGCTTTTAATATTCAATTATTATCTAAAATTTTAACCAAAATTTATTTTAAATCAAATTTAATTAAAAAATTCTATGAGAATTCAATTATTTAAATACAAAAATAAATAATTTATTCAATAATTGAATGTTTCTTAAAATTTAATTTTTACGAAGAATTTTATTGACAACTTTTGAAAATATTTAATTTCTTTTAAGGAATTTAATTAAAATTTTACTGAAATTTATTATATTGAAAAGAATTTTAATAACAATTTTTGAAAATAATTGAAAACTTTATGAAGAATTTTCTTAAAATTTTCAGAAATAATCGAATTCCTGAGAAGAATTTAAATAACAATTTATGAAAATAATTGAATTCATGCGAAGAATTATTTAATTTAATTTTGTTTAAATAATTGAAATTTTGCCAAGAATTTAAACAAATTTTGGTCAATAATTTAATTCTTAAGAAGAATTTCACTATCTATTTAGAAAGATAATTCAATTCTTGGCGAGAATTTGAAGAAAAAAATTAAATTTCTGCAAAGTATTTTATTACTTTTCAAAAAAAAAATTAAATTCTTGTAATGAATTTTGATATTTATCAAAATAATTGAATTTTGGAAAAGAATTTCATTAAAATTTCTTATAATAATTGACTTCATGAGAAGAATTTTGTTTTTTATCAAGATAATTAAATTTTTTTGCAGAATTACTTAAAATTTTTTGAAAATAATATTGATTTTCTGCGACGAATTAAATGTTACTTAAGAAAATATTTGAATTATTGCAACGAATTTTATTACTTTATTGAATAATTGAATGTTTCTTAAAATTGAATTTTTTCTTTGAGTTTTAATAAAATTTTTAAGAATAATTGCATTTCTCGAGAAATTTATTTAAAATTGTATTAAAAATATTTGAAATTCTGCGATGAAAATAATTTAATTCCTAAATAAATGAAATTTTATTATTTATCAAATTAATTGAATGTTCTCGTAGAATTATATAAAAAAAATTTTTTCATTAAATAAATCTTTTGATAAATTTTATGAAAATAGTAAATATTAAAAATTATCGAATTATGAAAAACTTTTGAAAATAATTGAAATTTTGCAAAGAATTTTATTTAAATTTTTGAAAATAATTGAATTTTTGGCGAAAAATTTTACTATTTGTAAAGATAATTGAATTCTTGACGAGATATTCGTTAAAATTTTTAAAAATAATTGAATTTTTTCGAAGAATTTTATTATTTTTGAAAATAATTGAATAATTCTTGTGATGAATATTGTTATTTATGAAAATAATTGAGTTTCGCAAAGAATTTTATTAAAATTCCTAGAAATAATTGAATTTTTGTGAACAATTTTGTTATTTTTCAAGATAATTGCGTTAAAACTTTTAAATACTTAAATAATATTAAAACTTTCATTCTTGTCAGAAATAGAAAAAAAATTTTGAAGGTTTTGTATTAGAATTCGTGGTAGTTTCATAGATTATGAGGCAAACAAAAAAGACACCAAAAATTCAGAATTTTCTTATACATTCTAAACATTTAATTTTTTCCCGTACTTTTAATAAAAATCCCTGACTTTTCCCTGATCAATTCTAATTTCCTTAATTTTTCCTGAATTTTCTGATTTTCCTGATCTGTGGCAACCCTGTATTTACTCTTAAAAACATCAACTTAGAATTTAATTAATTTTAATAGACAAAACATAAAAAAATTATCACACAAATTAGAAAACAAAAAAAGCTAGTAATAATAAACTGTGAGCAGACATTCTGAACACAACGATGGATTGTTAATGTAGAAGATATTTACATAGTTTAGAATTTAAATTAATATAAAAAGAAATAAACTGAATATTTGTATATTAGCAAATAAGGTAAATTAGACTCTAATTATTAATGTTTTTAATTTCGTGAAAGAATGACTTACGTATTCGGGCTTGAGTTTTTTATCGTTGCCGCGAACGACGAGCTTTTCTAATTTCTCCAAATGTCCGTTGAGAAGTTCAATATCTTTTAATCGTAATTCATCGCTGATGATATCCAAATCCCTGACAGGATTCACGTCTCCTTCTATGTGTGTCACATCATCGTCCTCAAAAGCTCCTGTAAATAATTAATCATCAAAAACAATTTCCAAGAAAAAATTATATATTTTATTTATTTTTAAAAATATTAAATATTAATCAATAACTATAATTTAAATTTTCCAAAATAAAAAAAAAATTAGTTTTCTCTGAAAATTTGAAAATAAGAATTACAAAAATAAGACAACTTCCGGGTGATTTGTGAATGATTCCGACACATGGAAAGTGTAAGAGAAAATAGTAAATTCCAGTTTTCCGCTTTCTTTTTTTTCTCAAATATAAAAGAAGAAAAAATAAATAATAAAATTAAAAAGAAAAGAAATGTAGAAGCACTTGGCAATATAACCGCAAGAAACGTTTCTTGTCCATTATTTAAGAGAGCGGTGCCTTCAGCGCGAAAATTACAGGTCGGTTTAATTACAGAAATTACCACCTGCCATGATGCGATGCCGTTAAACGTCGCAACTACTTGGAATGTTATCTGACGCGAAATCTAGTACTCAAGTTCTTTTTTTTTTAGGTGTACACTCATCGTACTTCGATTACGCCGAGACGAGTGATCCGGATGTTCTATACGCTGAATCATTTCTAACATCGCGCATCACTAAAGAAACACGCCAAGCACTATCCAAAAGTATCAACAGATTCTCTGTGGTCCAACTGCAAGAGAATTCGATATTTAATAACAATAATGACAACAAAAAAAAAGATAACAAGGCATTTTTAGTTTTCTATTGCCGCGCGAACATTTTCAACTCTACTGCCACGAATCACGCACGATTTTTACCCGCGAGCCACCACTTTTTATATTCCACGAGCCGAATGTCGGAAGCCAAATAAACTTCTACTACAAATAAATAGGTGAATAATTAAACCCCAAAAAATGTAATTGTGAATAAATATTCATAAAAATATAAATAAATAAAATAAATATTTACTGCATGTAAAAATATTTTTCAAATTGTAAAAATAAATTTTATACAATATAATAATCGAGATATTCTGTCCTCACGTGAAGTTACGGTTTTTTGATTCTAAATTGTTTTATAGCTCAAAATTTCATGGCAAAAATTTGACAATTAATTTGTAAAATAAATAAATTGTATTTGTAAAAAGAGTAGTGATTTAGTTAAATTAATTCTCCTAGAATTTTTGACAATAACAGGATTTTCACAGGACAGGGAAATAAGTCAGGAAACTTTGTCCAAAGTATTAAAAAAATATTATTAAAAATCTTAAATAATGAATTTTCTTTCTCAAATTAATAAAAATCATAAGTAGAGTAACATTTGCAATTTTTACAAATAAACCGTTATTTTATTCTAGTATTTAAATAATTGAATTCTCGGACAACTTTTTGATAAGAATTGATTTGAAAAATAATTTTAGTTCAAATTTCAGAAAATAATTGACTTTTGAAAAAATTGCAGGTAATTTTTAAAAATAATTAAATTTTAAAAGGTTTCACATTGAAAGTATTTTGAAATTCTAATCCCTGGTGAACAAATAAATACCAATAAGTATTCAAATATTTATTAAACAAAAATTAATTAATTTTGAAAAATTTTATTTATAAATTCTGAAAAAATGAGGTTTTTAATAAATCGTAATTAAAATTTTTCGAAAATAGTTGAATTCCAGAAAATAATTTTATAAAACTGAAAAATTAGGAAATTTTCTCAAAATTTATTAAAATGAATTTTGGTATATTTCATAGAATTTTATTTTTTCACTGTAAACAATTATTTTTATAAATATTGCATTTTCTGAAGAATTGTAACTAAAAATATTTGGAAAATAATTAAATTTTACAAAAAAATTCATCTATCGTCGATTCTAATTAGAATTAATTTAAAAAAGAATTTCACATAAAATTTTAGAAAATATTTGAACATTTGAAAGAATTTCAAGTCTAATTTTTAGAAATAATTAAATTTCAAAAGATTTTACATTAAAAGTACTTTTCTAATTCCTGGTGTTGAAATAAATAACAATAAGTATTCAAATATTTATTAAACAAAAATTGAAGAAATTTGAAAAATTTAGTTTAGAAATTCTGAGAAAATGACGTTTTTAAAAAACCCTAATAACAATTTTTCGAAAATAGTTAAATTCCCGAAAATAATTTTACAAAATTGAAAAAATAGGAAATTTTCTCAAATTTAATTAAAATAAATTTTATATTTCAAAGAATTTTATTTGCTCGCTTTAAAAAATTATTTTTAAATATTATTGAATTTTTTTAAGTATTGTAACTAATAAATTGGAAAATAATTGAATTTCACAAAAATTGTTGCATTTAAATATTTAAATTCTCGAACAACTAATTGGTAAAAATTGATTTGAAAAAAAGCAGTTTTAATTTTTAAAGTAATTAAATTTCAAAAGATTTGAAGTACATTAAAAGAATTTTGTAATTTTAATTTCTGGTGGACAAATAAATAACAATAACTATTCAAAATATTTATTAAACAAAAGTTAATGAAATTTGAAAAATTTTATTTAAAATTTTTGAGAAAATGAAGTTTTTAAAAATTTGTAATTAAAATTTCTTTTAAAAATAGTTGAATTCCTGAAAATAATTAAAAAAAATTTTTAAAACGGGAAATTTTTTCAAATTTCATTAAAATAAATTTTATTTTCTCACTTTAAAAAATGATTTTTAAATATTATTGTATTTTTTGAAAAATGATAATCAAAAATATGAAAAATAAATGATTATTAGAAGCGTCGTAACAGGAATTTTAAGAAATAATTAAATTTTAAAAGGTTTCTAAATTTAAATCTATTTAACAGTTTAATGGTACTTTTAAATTATAATAATATTTAAATGTTTATTTAAAAAAATATTTATATATTATTTTTCTATGAAAATTCTAAAAAATAATTTACTTTTAGAAAAATTGCAGTTGTAATTTTTAGAAATTATTTAAAATTCCAATAAAAATTTATTAACAATAAGTTCTTAAATGTTTTATTTTTTTAATTATTGAAGTTTTGAATAATTTAATGTTAAATTTAATTTAAGATAATTGAATTCCCGAAAATAATTTTCAAAATTGAAATAATTACCTAAAAGTTTTGTCAAATTTCATTGAAATAAATTTTATATTTGAAAGAATTTAAATTTTCTCACTTCAAAAAATTGTTTTTTAACATTATTGCATTTTTTGAAGAATTATAACTAAAAATTTAAAAAATAATTAAATTTTACAAAAATTTTTGTATTTAAATAATTTAATTATCGTAGTTGAATTTTAATAAGAATTGATTTTAAAAAAATGTTCAGTTAAAATTTTGAAAAAGAATTGAATATTACCAGAGTAATAGAAATAATATAAATTTTAAGAAATAATTAAATTTTAAAAGGTTTTATGCTATAAAATAAATAAAAATTGCAAAACCATAAGGTCACCAAGTCAAAAAATTATGAAAGAAAACTGGATTAATTTCAGCAAAAGAAATCCCCCTTGAGTAACGAGTTTATTATTGGCATGTAAAAAAAATTAATTTCCCCGCGAAACGTTTGCTTGCTTGTAAGTTGTATGAAAGGTGTTGCCCTGAAAGAGGAAGAGACAGCAGTCATTCAACAATATGAGAAGTATATGAATTACATTGAAATTATCGAGTGTACCATGAGCGATGCATTATTATTGCCGACAATCTGTTATACACAGGCATCATTTAAATAATAATAAACGATAAGTGGATGCGTCGAAAGAGATATTCTTAATGGTTAGCATTGTATTTATAAGTCTTTAAGTATATAGTAAGGGACCAGTTACAAGTGCGCCTACCCACTCTCATTGAGGGTTTTTGCTTCGAGTCAGCAAATAATCATCCTAAAGTCATATTCGCAATTTAACGGCAAGTGAGATGATGCGGTTCCTGTCATTATCAATATTCCATACGCGTATTTATACTTTCAATTAAAGTAACTAGTTGCCGCCCTTATGAAGACTAGTGCATTATTTTTATTAGTCGCTAATAGCCATCGGTGCTATTATCTCAATGCAGAAGCAACGAGATGGGAATTTCGTTATTTCTCAGTCAATTTAATTTTACTTCAGCTATTTTGAAACTAAAAAAAAAACATAACAATTAGGTATTTTGTAAAAACGGAATTAATCCACAAGTTTTAAAGGTTTATATGAACGAAATATTTTTTTATATTACCAAATGCAATAAAAATTAGAAAATTAAATTTTACATTTATAAACTTTATAATTAACTAGCAAATATTACGCGCGCAACGTGATGTTCAATTTATTATTATTATTATGCAAATTACAAAATTTTTTAATTTCAAATATGAATTTTTTAATTATTTCAGATTTAAACTTTAAAAAAATTCAATTGTTAACTAATTTATTATTCCTGTTTATTAATTTCAAAAATTTTAATAAATATTCTTCGCAAGAATTCAATTATTTTCATAAATATTATTATTTTTCGTAAGAATTCAATTATTTTTAAACAAAATTTTAATAACATTTCACGAACGAATACAATTATTATTTTCTAAAATTTTAATAAATCTTTGGAAACAATTCAATTATTTTTTTGCTAAGAAGTTTATTAAAATTTTTGAAAATAATTTAATTTCTGCAAAGAATTTTAAGGGAATTTTGTGAATATACAATTAAATTCTTTTAAGGAATTCAATTAAGATTGTATTGCAAATAATTAAATTCTTATAATTGAATTCTTTCGAAAAATGTTATTAAAATCATATTGGAAATAATTGAATTCTTGTAAATTTTTTCGACGAATTTAATTAAAATTGTATTGAAAACAATTGAGTCTCGTACGAAGAATTTTCTAAAATTTTAATAAATACCTCGAAACAATTCAATTATATTTATAACAGTAAAATTCTTTGCAAAAATTAAATTATATTCAAAACAATTTCACGAAAAAATTCAATTTTTTCTGAATTCCTTATAAAAAATTTCAATAGAATTCAATTATTTTCTAAAATTTTAATAAATCCTTCAAAACAATTCAATTAAATTTATAATAGTAAAATTATTTGCAAAAATTCAATTATATTCAAAACAATTTTACGAAAGAATTAAATTTTTTTCTGTATTCGTTATAAAAAATTTCAATAGAATTCAATTATTTTCTAAAATTTTAATAAATCCTTCCAAAAAATTCAAATTATATTCATAAATAGTAAAATTCCTTGCAAGAATTAAATTATTTTTAATACAATTTTAATAACATTTCATGAAATAATTCAATTTTTTTTTAATTTTTAATAATATTTTTCGAAAAAAATCCATTATTTTCCAAAATTTTAATAAATTATTCAAAACAATTCAATTATATTTATAATAGTAAAATTCTTTGCAAAAAATGAATTATATTCAAAATATTTTTACGATACAATTCAATTTTTTTCCTAATTCTTTGTAAAATTTTTCAAAAGAATTCAATTATTTCCTAAAATTTTAATAAAATTCAATTACTGTTAAAAATAGAAAAAATTTAAACTTAAATTCAACACTTTCTTTTTCTTAAAGGCTGTTGCGTTGAACAACAAAATTTAGAATTTTCTTATGAATTCTAGAAATTTAATTTGTTTCCAGTACTTTTGATAAAATTCCCTGACTTCCCTGACCTGCGGAAACTCTGCTTAATATAATTCGTGTTTTTTTTAATTAGAGGATTAGAAGGAAGTAGTAAAATGTAATATTTAGAAAATAAAAAATACTCACTACAAAGGTGGAAAATTGCATCGCAGGCGTTAATATGGGAAAGAAAAGCGTTTCCTAAACCATGTCCTTCAGCAGCACCTTTTACTAATCCAGCGATGTCGACAACATTCAAGAATGCTGGTACTTTGCTAAAAGAAAAAATTACTCTGTTAATTATTTAATTTCTAAAAACATCTAATTTAGTTACTTGAAAAAAATTGCTATTATTTTATTTTTAAATGGAATTTTTCGTTATTGAAAATAAGTGACGCATCTTGATGGGAGTAACGATTACTATTAAAATGCTAATATAATTCTCATTGAACAATTAGCCTTTGTTGTGTGCTGATGAGGGTGAGAAGTGTGAAGATGAGCACAATTCACAAACGTGTCAGTCGGCGCGTCTCATCAAAGACTGCCCCGTATATTGTCACGTGCCACGACAAGGCAGGAGTCGTCAAATGTGCTTGCTCCAAAGAGAGAGAGAGAGAGAGAGAGAGAGAGAGAGAGAGAGAGAGAGAGAGAGAGAGAGAGAAAATGTGGACGTTATAAAGCTAAATTTCTCCTCTTTGATCCAAAATGATCCCTTCTGCTTTGCATTTCAATCATTCTGCGAATTACGCTCACTATTAAATCATCAAATTTACATCTTAGTAGAAAATAACTTTAATTACAGTTCCGAAAATTTAACTCTCAAATCACACTTTACGAATCAGTGGATTTTATTTTAAAACCTACGTATAGTATTTAGTTATATTTTCATTTTTTTATTAATTATAAAATGGTATTAATTTTATTTTCAGGGTGACCGCTTTTTTTATAAAAAAAACTTCTTGGTCATGAATTATTTTTCCCAGTATCTTTAAATTTTTTTTAATTTTTTAAAAACTATTTTCAAGATTTCAATTTAATTATTTTCTAGAAATTTTTACTACAATTCTTCTCTAATTCAATTATTTTTAATATTTTTTTAGAAGGTTCCTTAAAAATTGAATTATTTTGAAAAAAAGTTCACCTAAAACTAAAATATTTCTAAACTTCACTTATTTATAAGATATTTTTTATGAAATTTCGAATAATTTGAAAATTTTTCAATTAAATACATACATACTTAAAAATATAACTAATTAAAAAAAAATTTATTAAAATGTTTCAAATAATTTGAAACCTTTTAAATCAATCTGTATTAATAATATTAGTTTAACATTCTAAGATATTAAAATAGTTACTTATAAACTATTGTAGAAAAACGAATTGATATTACTGTAAAAAACAAGTTTTTAAACATTTATTTTCTAAGAAAATCAGAATTTTATTTACTTTAATGTCTCGTTTTATTTAGAATTTAAAAATTAATCCTTAGATATTTTGCATCGCTTTTGTTCTAATTAATTCAAATATTTACTAATTCAAATTTAGAGAATAATTTTTGTGATAATATTATTACAAAAAGATTTATAAATTTATTTATTTTTCACTATTTTATATGTGAATTTTTTTCTATTTTAAAATATAACATTCTTAATAACATTTTATATTAATTTTTGTAATTTTTGTAACTTTTAAAAAATTTTTAATCTGAAATTATTTAATTTTTGCTTAGAATTTCATTAAAATTTTTTAAAATAATTTCATTGTTTTAAAGAATTTTATGTAAATTTTGTGAAAATAATTAAATTCTTTTGAGAAATTCAATTAAAATTATATTGAAAATAATTAAATTCTTTTAATTGAATTCTTTCGAGAAATTTTATTAAAATTATATTGAAAATAATTAAATTCTTTTAATTGAATTCTTTCGAGAAATTTTATTAAAATTATATTGAAAATAATTCAATTCCAGTGAAGAATTTTATTATATGAATGGAAATAATTTAATTCTTGCAAATGTTTTCGACGAATTTAATTAAAATTGTATTGAAAATAATTGAGTCTCGTACGCAGAATTTTCTAAAATTCTAATAAATCCTTTGAAACAATTTAATTATTTTTATAAATAGTAAAAATCTTTACAAAAATTAAATTATTTTTAATCCAATTTTAATAAAATTTCATAAAAAATTCAATTTTTTAAAAATTTGTAATAATATTTTTCGAAAAAATTCAATTATTTTCCAAAATTTTAATAAATCCTTCGAAACATTTCAATTTATTTATAATTTTATTTTCAATTTATTTATTTATAATAGTAAAATTCTTTGCAAAAATTCAATTATATTCAAAACAATTTTACGATAGAATTCAATTTTTTTTCCTAATTCGTTATACAATTTTTCAAAAAAATTCAATTATTTTCTAAAATTTTAATAAAATTCAATAATTAAATGTTCAATTTTAATTTTTAATAATATTTTTCAAAAAAAATCCAATTATTTTCTAAAGTTTTAATAAATCCTTCAAAACAATTCAATTTTTTGTAGGTAGTAAAAATAATTGCAAGAATTAAATTATTTTTTATAAATAATAAAATTCTTCTCAAGAATTCAATTATTTTCAATACAATTTTCATAGACTTCAATAATTAATCAAATATTTAATTATAATTATTAACAGACACGATTATTTTAAAAAGTTGAAAAAAGTTCTTTGTCTGATTCAATTATCCTCAAAATCTTCAATTAAAATTATTCGAAAAACTACATTATTTAAAAAAATTCAAAGAACTTTTTCAAAAGAATTTACGATTTAAAAAAAAGTTCTTTTGCAAGAATTTATGATCCCCAAGTTTTTAACGTTCAAATAAACGAAATATTTTTTATTGAAGATATTTTTATAAATTACTGTAATCACAAAAAAATTTAAAAACTGAAATATTTACGTTTAGAAACTCAGTAATTAATTTTTTGAATAGTGACGCAAAATAATTGCAATGAAAATTTAATTTGTAGAAGAAATAAATAAAGTTCGTTCATTTGAACGTTCAGAACTTTAGGATCTTAAGAATTTAATGATTTTCAATACATTAATTTTAAAATTGAAAATATTTAAAAAGAAAAATTACTAAAAAAAAGTTAAAAAGGTAAACAACAACTAACTTCAAACTGCAAACAGATTACCGGAGTACGATTATTAATATATATTTTTAATCCATTTTCCTTTTCTGTAAATCTACTCTCTTATTTGAATAATGTAAATAAAAAAAAGGAAAATTTGAAAGAAAATGGAAAATTTAACGAAAATACACGTATAGGAATTGCAAAATGGACTCAAGGCGGTGCCGAGAGACATCTTGGAGAGACTAAAATGCAAATGAAATAGAGAATCTGCGAGCGAAGGAAAATTTTCACGAGTAGAGCATCAAGAGAAAAGTTCGCATCTACTGTGCGCGAATTTTAGAAAGGTGGGGTGTGTACCTATGTATATATACTGTAAAAGCAGAATTTACGGAGCCTGTCAGTGTTTGGTGTGTCAGTATATTTCAGAGAGGCGAGTGCAAAACTGATCTGCATTGCAGATCACGTGCCCTGGGGTACGTGCCTCATACCCCTCAGGAATCACCAGTTGGAATAAAGGCGAAGACGTATGGAAATGTCGCCAGTTATTCCGTTCCGTTTCCCTCGTTAGGGTTTACCGCGGTTCACCATATAACGTATTCTCAAAGCATTCCACATTCCACTATTCTCCAATATATTTTCCAATTTTTTTTTTTCTTCTTCCAAATTTAATGCTTACCTCACTGGTTTGAAGTATTCACACAGGTAGTCATACCTCGCGTCCGGTACAGGTACTCGACGTGCTTGAACAAAAAGAATAATCGATTAGACAAATTTGTCCCGTCAATTTACTGCAGGAGAAAAATGGAATTTTAATAATAAACAGAAATAATAATGTAATAATAAATTGGCGATTTTTTAAAAAATTTTATTTTCAATTATCAGGGTTGTCACAGAAAATTGATTTTCTTTTTCTCTGACTTCTCCCCTATTTCCAGAAACAATTTTGACTTTTCCCTGATCCTAAAAAAATATTCTGATTCAGTTCAAAAGTGAATAGACAACCAAAAAATGTTTCAAAATTCAAACACATTTATTTGTGAATATCTTTATAATTATAAAATTATTTGGAAACATCAAGTTTTTTAAAATAAATCTTTATTTATTATCAATATTTTTCCATAGGAATTAAAATTATTTAAAATTAAAAATTTCGAAACCTTTTAAAATTCAATGATTTGTCAAAATTGTCAACGTAACTTGACAAATTAAATTATATTAATTCTAAATTATTCAGATTTCCATTCAATTATTTTTTAGAATTTTTGATTAAAATTCTTTTCTAAATCAATTATTTTTGAAAATCTTCGATAAAGATCTTTGAGAATTCAATAATTGAATTATCAAAGATTTTTATCGAATTTCTGAAATCCACTTGTTTACAATTCAATTTTACGAAATTTTAATTATTAGAAAATTTTTGAATTAAATATATATTTTCTAAATATTAACTAATTTCAAAAAAAAAATTTGATATAAAATTTCAAAACAAATAAAATGTTCTAAATTATTAATCAAAACTATACGAAATTCAAATTTTCAAAAACTTTTTGGGCATTTCTAGAAATTTCAGCTATAACACTTCTAACATTCAATTATTTTCTCAAATATTTCACTAAAATTTCTCTCTAAATCAATTATTTTTAATATTTTTGAGAAAGTTCTTTGAGAATTCAATTATTTAATTATTATTTATATAAAAAAGAAAGTTTAGTTTAATACGTCTAAATAGGTTTAATTGTTTTTAATTGAAGTTTACAAAATTTCAACTTTGAATTAGAAAATTTTTCAATTTAACTTGCGCTTTCAAGAATTCAAATAATTTCAAATAAATTTGATAAATAAATTTTTCAAAAACTAAAATTTTTTAGAATTTTCAATTAAAGTTATTAAAAATTTCAATTTGAAAACTTTTAGGATTATTTCTAGAAATTTCTACTATAAAATTCAATTCTTTTTTAGAATTAATTAAAACTAATCTCTAAATCAACTATTTTTAATAATTTTCAGAAAGATCTTTAAGAATTCAATTATTATTTATATTTAAAAATAAAGCTAAATTAAATACGTCAAAAATTCACTTGTCTTCAATTCAATTTTACAAAAATTCGATTCGAAAATTTTTCAGTTAATTATGTATATTAAAAAATTCAACTAATTTCAAAAGAATTTGATATAAAATTTTAAAAAATAGTAAAATGTTCTTAATTATTCATCAAAACTATTCAAAATTCAAATTTTCAAAAATTTCAATTTAAAACTGTTTGGATTATGTATTTCTAGAAAATTCTACTATAACTCATCTAACATTCAATTATTTTATCGACTTTTCCACTAAAATTCCTTTCTAAATCAATTAATTTTAATAATTTTGAGAAAAATCTTTGAGAATTCAATTATTTAATTATTTTTTGTATAAAATTCCTTTCTAAATCAATTAATTTCTAATAATTTTGAGAAAAATCTTTGAGAATTCAATTATTTAATTATTTTTTGTATAAAAAATAAAGATTACTTCAATACGTCTAAAATACACTTGTTTTCAATTAAACTTTGCAAAATTTTAAATATGTGTTGGAAAATTTTTCAATTTAACATAATTATGTGTATTTAAAATTTCAAATAATTTCAAAAGAATTTCAAAGAAAATTATTCCAAAAACTAAAATTTTCAGAATTTTTAATTAAAACTATTCAAAATTCAAAATTTAAATTTGAAAACTTTTAATTTTAAGTTTGAAATTCCTAGAAATTTCAACTAAAACTTCTAAAATTCAATTTTTTTTCGAATTTTTAACTAAAACTATTTAATAATTAAGTGATCAATTCAATCTGCATATTAACACTATTCAAATTAAAATGTTTAAAATTTCAATTTAAAACTTTTCTGAATTATTTCTTGAAATTTCTACCATCACTCTTCGAACATTTAACTGTTTTCTTGAATTTTTAACTAAAATTCTTCTTTAAATAAATTATTTTTAATAATTGTGAGAAATTTCTTTGAGAATTCAATTATTTACTTATTATTTATATAAAAAAGGAAGTTCACACCAATACCAATACTTTTTTCAATAATTTTTTTTTTTTAAATTTCAATTATTCGAAAATTTTTCAATTTAATATCTATATTCAAAAATTTAACTAATTTTCAAAAAAAGTAACATAAAATTCTTCAAAAAAATAAAATCTTTGGAATTTTTATTTAAACTACATATTCAGAATTTAAAAAATTCAATTTGAAACCTATTTGAATTATTTCTAGAAATTACTACTATATGACTCTTTTAACATTAAATTATTTTTTCGAATATTTAACAAAAATTTTTCTCTAAATTAATTATTTTTAATAATTTTGAATAAGTTCTTGGAGAATTCCTTTATTTAATTATTATTTAAATAGAAAAAAGAAAGTTCACTTCAATTAACTTTTACGACAGTTTTTTAATTAAATATGTATATATTTAAAAATTCAACTAATTTTAACAGAGTTTGAATAAAAATATTTCCAATAGAAAAAACTAAACAGAATTTTTACTTAAAATTTTTTTTTATACTCAAATTTTCTAAAATTTTAATTTAAAACCTTTTGAAATTCAATTATTTTTTGAGTTTTTAGTGAAATTATTGGCTAATTATCTATGAGTAATAATTTTATTATAGTTGTTCATATTCTCTAATGTTCAATTATTATCAAAAATAGAAAAAAACCTAACTCTTGAAATTTAATATTTTTTATGAAATACTCTGATTTCCCTGACCAATTTTACTTTTTTCTGAATTCCCTATTTCAACGTGAGTAAAGTTCAGAACGTTTATGATCCAACGGTTGAAAGAAAAAATATTTTTTACGCAAAAAACAATATTTCTTTTTTATAAATTTTCACTTTTCAAATTATTGGCAAAGAAGTTTTTTTTACAAAAACTTTTTACTAAAAAATTTGAATAGAAAAATATTTTTTTTATTAAATCGTTGATTATAAATTTTGTAAACTTCATCAACGACTTCTGGCAACCCTAATAATCTTTTCTTTGATTAATTATTTATATTTAACGTATTTTTAATGTTTCGATCGATTTAAATACTTATTTTCATTAGGATCAATAGTGCAGAACGGGAAGTTCTCTGCGGCTGCTTGACTCTTGGTAAGTACGTTGAAGAAGGTTGATTTCCCGACGTTTGGAATACCTACAATTCCAACCTTGAGATTTACTCCAACACGGCCTATCAGAGGCTTCCGTTCCGGCTCTTCGACTTTCTTCGGTGGCATTCTGAAAAATTTCATTAAACTTTACTCACATTTATAATTATAGTTCAGTAAATTATACTTTATCAACAAATATATATTCAGTTCAAAAGAAAAAAAATGAACTAAATTAATAGTTTAGATTCTCGAAAAAAAAATTTATTCCCAACGACAGTAGGTTCTGATCGTATTAAAGGGAAATTACCATTGTTACCATAAACATCGACAATATACTTTGAAAAATTATCGGTTGTTTGCGATATAAGTACCATCGTTGAAAATTTTCAATGTTACAAAACAATGGTAATTTCATCCAAATGTGATCACATCAACTAATCCCGATAAGATCAAAATTTTCCCTAATTATTATCGTGACATGAAGGAGAAATGCCTTATAATCAAAAATGCCTTATTTTCAAAAGGCAATGGTTTGTGTACTAAATATAATAAAAAAAAAAGATGACGCTCTTGAATTACAATGATCGTGAAAGAAGGAAAATTCATAGGGTCATGAATTGATGGTTAGTTAATTGCAGATATAAGATTTTTGGGCGATTGCTTTGGCTACTTTGTAACCGTGGCAGACGGGAACGAATTACAGCCAATTGACGGAATCGTTTCCGCGCGGCTCTCTCGTCGCCCTTTTAAAAAGTTCATGGCTCGAGGGCGTTAAAGATTCTCCTTGCACTTGTACAACTCTATATAAACGTTTGATTGTGCGGCTCTAACACTCTCAGGGATGGAAATGAAAATGATCCGACGACACGCCCCCGAAACACACCAAACCCCCCCCTTCTATCCGCATAATGCTCAAGTTTCTGTTGAGCCCTATATATGGGTAAAATGCCTCAGGTTGAATGAGTCCTCATCGTTTCTTGGTCCTCAACGATGACCACTCGAGTTCGCTCGAGTGCTCGCGGTGACTAATTATATTAATGCGAACCGCATCAAGCAATTGCTGTGTTTACCACGAGATTACTGACTAGAGTGGTATACACCAACCGCGCACGGCTGGAGCCGCCGCTTATATCAAAAACGATGAAACCGTGCAGCGGCGGCGGCGGCGACGACGCGTCCGGCATCAAAGAAGAGAAGGACAATTGTAGAGGAGGGTTTGAGGACAGTGGAACGTTGAATATGGCGGTTTGGTAGAACCCGATTACTGGGCACCTTTAAGACCGCGAATCACCGGCATCACGCCGAGAATCCGCAAAACCAAGCCCGAGGCCGCCAATCCGCCACCGATTCGGGTTCTTCTTCTTTTTTTTTTGTTTTCTTTTTCGAAACATTCATTCCACCTCCTCCTTCTATATATAAAGAGAGAGAATAAAACAGTGAGAAGCTGTCTCTCGCCATCTCACAACCCTTAAAACGATTTACTGTAAATCCGAGGAGCTCTCTTTGCCTTTTTGCCCCTTATGATCCAAAGGGGGAAATTTGCAAATTACTGTAATGAAAAGACGAATCAAGGACTTCTCATGGAGCTTATAGGATTCAAAGTACAAAGACGCGGGTGCGCCTTGGCGCCAGGCCCTTTCGCGTCTTTAACATCTCAACGACCTGAAGGGATGATCTTCATCGATAATAGTTTCAAATATGGAAATTTCTCTGGGAATCAACATCATTTTTTTTTCTCATTCTCGAACAATAGAATTCAAAAAACTGTAAATAAAAAATCAGAATTTTTGTAAAAACGAATTGTAAAAATCAAAATTTGATAAAATTAAATTAGTTTCACTCAAATTCTCGAATTAAAGACAGCAAAAAAAATATCAGCTTTTATTTGAAAGTTCAATACTTTAGGGACTTAATGCACTAAATAAGGAAATTTCCCATAAACTACTTTGTGAAGAATATTTATCAACTTTTTAATTCTGAAACATGTTCTTAAAGTTTTGAAGGTTTATAGAATGTCAATATTTTTATTACTCCTATTAATTTGTATTTTAATATAAAACTAGCAAATGTGATATTCAATTTATTATTATTATGCAAATTACAAAATTCTATATTTTCAAATATGAATTTTTGAATAACAGATTCTAATTTAAAATTCTTGTTTATTAATTTAAAAAAATTTAATAAAATTCTTTTTAAGAATTTAATTATTTTCATATATAACATTCTTCTTAAGAATTCAATTATTTTTATAAATGATAAATTTTTTTTGCAAAAATTCAATTATTTTCAAGAAAATTTCACTAAAGAATTCAATTTTTTTCTTAATTCGTTATAAAATTTTTGCAAAAATATTCAATTATTTTCAAAAAAAAATTTCCGGAAAGAATTCAATTTTTTTTGTAATCTGTTATAAAATATTTCAAAAGAATTCAATTATTTTCTAAAATTTTAATAAAACCTTCGAAACAATTTAATTTTATTTATAAATATAGTAAAATTCTTGGCAAAAATTAAATTATTTTCAACAAAATTCCACGAAAGAATTCAATTTTTTTTAATTCGTTACAAAATTTTTCAAAAGAATTCTTACTTTCTAAAATTTTAATAAAATTCAATAATTAAATGTTTAATAATTCAATTTTTAACAAAAACGCGATTATTTTAAAAACTTGAAAGAAATTGTTCATAAAATTCAATTATTTTCAAAATTTTTAATTAAAATTATTAAAGAAACTCCATTATTTAAAAAAAAAATCAATGAAATTCTTCAAAAAGAATTTAATTAGATTTTTCAAAAATTTTAACAAAAATCTTTGCGAGAATTTAATTATTTTCTTAAATAATTAAATTCTTCCAAGGAATTCTATTATTATCAAATTTTTTCAAAACATTCTTTGCAACAATTCGACGATTTTCAATACATTAATTAAAAAAAATTTTTTTTAATAGGTGAAAAGGTAATCTATTTTCCAACATTGACTATCAAAAAAATTAATTATACAGTTTTTAAATATAAAATTTTAGTTTTTAATTTCTATTGGAATCAGTAATTTCTGAAAATAGTTTTAATAACAAATATTTTGTTCATTTGAACGTTGAAAATTTTAGTATCATAAGATGTCAAGAAAAATGTTATATAACAAAATTTAAGTTATTTTTGAATTTCCTAAAGTATTTTGAACGTTCAAATGAAAGAATTTTTTGCTATTTAAATATTTTTTGAAATTATTATATAAAAAAGAAAAATAATGAAAATTTAAATATCTACTAAGTTTAGAATTAATTTATTCAATATAAAAAATATATAAATTAAAAAAAATAAACAAAAATCGACGTTTATTTGAAGATTCGAAAATTTAGGAACATTTTTTGATTTTCCAAAAGTTTTGAACGTTCAAATAAACGAAATTTTTTTTCTATTTCAAAATTATTCTACAAAAATTTTGGTAAAAAAATAATTTGATTCAAAATTTTGATAAAATGTTCCTAAAATTCTGTAATTTCAAATGAATGAAATATTTTTTTTATTATTTATTTTTAAAAAATATTTGAAACTGAAACTGTATTTAAACTTCAGTGAAATGTTAATGTTATTAGAGAAAAAATATTACTTCTTCAAAATTTTTGATTATAAACTTTTGATTATAACTTAATTTCAGGCGTTTTTCCGAGTAGAATAAAAAGAAAGTTTAACATTTTTAGTATTTACTTTTCTTGCAAGTTGTTTATTAATGTTTAAAGAGTACAGAAAAAAATTAGGAAACAAAATAATAAAAAAATTTAAAAGTTATAAACTGATGAAGTGGGGACTGAAAAAAAGAAAGTGCGTACTGGTTGACAGTGTGGAGACTTTTGTAATGTTCTAAAACAAAAAACTCAAAGAAATTCTTGATTATTAAAGGCTTCGCTATGGTCGGTACCTTGGAAAAGAAAAAAGAAAATTTTTTTAGCAAAATGGCGACGATTTAAAAAAAAAGGTGTTTTTTGATTCTGTTTTTTAACTTTTTTGAATTTTTTAAAAATAGTAAAAAAAAATATTTTTCAAAATCCAAGGTTCCGACCATAAAGAGATATACAAAGAACATTTCTGCAAAATTTGAAGTAAATCGGTTGAGTAGATTTTGAGTTATCGTGTCAACAAGAATTTTTTTCAATTCCCACTTCACCAGTTCATAACTTTTAAAATTTTTGATTATTTTTTTTCCTAATTTTTTTCTGTATTCTTTGAACATTAATAAACAACTTGCAAAAAAAGTAAATATTAAAAATGTTAAACTTTCTTTTTTATCCCTCTCGGAAAAACGCCTTAAAATTGAGGCCTCTAGACCAGAATACCCCCTTAATTAATTTCAACGAGGTGCATTAAAAATTAAAATTTAACATTTTGGAACATTATAAATTGTTCAATCAATAAAAGTGAAGAAAATTTATAAAACTGTGATCCTTATATGAATTTAAACCCAGGAACGTTAAGTAAAAATTTTTCTTCTTAAACTAATGAAATTTTCTTTAAATATTTCTGAACTTATTTTTATATTTTCTACATTGTAAATTCATCTATTTTTATTCTTTTAATATAATTATTACAACAAAAAATGATGAAAAAGGTAATAAATTATCAAAATAGGTAAAAAGATGACAAAATTTTAAAAAAGTCAAAAAAGACGATTTTGAAAAAGAAATAAGTACCTAAATTTAATTTATTTTAATGTTCAGAATTTTATAAAAATTAATTATTTAAAAAAGAACTGTGCTTTAGTAATTTTTAATCCCAACAAAATAATAAATAACAAATAAAAATAGAAGAAAATAATTTACTCTCGCATTTTATTTTAGAATTATAAAATTGTTGCAAACTATACTAATTATTTTTTGAAAAGCACTTCTTTTTCTTAATTTACTAAATTAGAATAGTTAATTCTCAAAATAACATTATTTTAATATTACATTGTTATTAAAATGAATATTAAATAAATGTTAATTACGTTCACACGAAATGCACGAAATTTGTCATCTAATCAATAAAACTGAAACATTTATCTATCCTGACATTAATTTAATTAATAATTAAATTAAAAATAAAAGCCTTTATTTGTTATAAAATTAAAATACAACTTTCTAAATTTAAACTTCCACCATGTGGTGCTGCCACACAGTGAACCGGAAATGTATTAAGATTTAACCTAGTGAGAAAATTAACCTAACCTAAATTTCTTTTTATGGTAAAAAGAATGTTTCTAAATATATTGTAACGAATACTCACATAATTTTCTCAAATCTTAACGATTACTGTCAAAATCTATCAATTATCAAACCTTGAAATGTGTCTTTTAACACCAGATTGGTGTCATATTTTTTATATAAACAATCAACACACCTTTTAACACTTCTTATGAAAAATACATTTCACACTCGAGTTCCAAGCAATTTGAACACTGAAATTAAGAATTAGATTATAATCGAAAATATTAGTATTACCTGTGAAATAAATTCCTAATGAAAGATAACTGTTAAAATTGATATAAACACAGGAGAATTGCACACAACGTGTTGAAGGAATTCGATGAGTAACAAGACTGCGTGTGACGTCAGAATAACCGGTTATCATTTCGTGACAGAAAACTATTTTACCTCACAGAAAAGTGCGCGGGATCTGTAGTAAATATTTAAATTTTTATTTCTTTTCTAAACTTTGTTTTTCTCTTTTTTCAATACTATTTTTAATATGCTTTTAATCCTTTTAATGATAAATTTTGAGGTTATCTGAAATTGTAAATAATCTCGATATTCTCGATAATCCTTGATGATTTTCGTAGAAGTGATAAGGAATTATTAAGAATATATATTTTCACAAAATTACAGTAATTAGTATCTTGTCTGTTATAAAAAAAAGATAATTGTTGCACAAAGTTTCTTTTAGACACAAATTTTTGGCATTTTTGCCCAAAACAACTTAACTTCCGTCTTTATTGCACTACAACAGGAAGTAGAAATTGATATTACGTCAATAGTCAATAGAGAAATTTATTAAAGAATAACAATTTAAATAAAAAGTTAAGAATTTAATGTAAAGTGATTAATCGATTCTGGGGTATAATTTGATTTGATAAATCTATAAAAATTGGTAATTAATAATGTAATTCTAAATTCTAATCAAAAACTAATTTAAATTATTTAATTAACGGAAATATTTAAACAAAATTAGTTTATCCAATTACAAAATTACAAATACTTTACAGCCAATCAGAGCATAGGTCATTGGCCCTTGTAATTGAAGTCGCCATTTTGCAAAATGGCATCGAACGTGCCGGCCGGTGAGATTAATTGTCAATAATTTTTGTGTTTTCAGTTGCATTTTTTCTTGATCAACAGCCAATTTTTGGCAGATTAATACTGTAATCTCAATAAATACTTCGATTATTTCCACCTTGATTTTCTTTCGATTCGGCAAATTGAAATTCGGATCATTCACTACGCATTGTTTTGGTTCTTTGTCGTCAAAAAAGAGGTAATTTTTGTTCTATTTGTAACGAAATTTTCTAAATTCTAATACATATTTTAGTCGAACAACGTGATATATTGTAATACTTTTTTCTTAATTAATCTGTAAGTAATGTGCGAGTTGCCGCACATTTACTATATTTGTATAAATTTGCGTTTAATGAGAACACGTGTTCATCGCGATTGCGGTTTTGTATTTAATATTGTCGAAAAATGGTAAAATAATGTTAAATTGTTTAAAAAATTGTAACATTTAGAGGTATTTTGGGTTTTTAAATAGTGCTGGCACAAAGGGAAAGTTTTTTTTAAAGAATATTTTGATAATTGAAGAAAAACAACTTTCTTTCTTCCGTACAGAATTCCGCAATAAATAAACTAAAGATTATTTCAATTTTTCTTTTTCTAGCACTAATGGTGATTTCCGCCAGCCGAATAAGTGACTTAAAATAGTTCTTTGACTATTTTATACGTCAACTTCTCCATTCAATCATATTTTTAATTCGGAGATTCAATGCGGCGAAATTCAGCACATAACCTCAAAATGGTTCTTACTTCAAAAACAAAAAATCGCAGTTCTGGTAAGTTGTAATTGTACCAATACAAATATTTTTAACAATTTTTACAATTTTCTCGTTGTTTATTCGCGGTATTTAGCTTTCTATAGTATAATTTGCCTTTTGAAAACAATAGAATAAAAACAATGGAATTTGTAACAAGATTTGAAATCATAATTTTTTCGTTATAATTTCTACTGGAAGAAGTGAAAATAATTTAACTATATTAACACTTCTATTATTATTAAAATTATTTTTTTGAACAAAAAGAAAATTGTTGTGTATTTAATACAAATATGAAAACAAATTTTTTTTCAGAATATATTTTGAAGCTTAATTTTCTTTTGTTTCTTCGCTTTTCAATTGTGGTAAATTTAATTATTTACTTTGTTTATTTATTGCAGTTTTATTTAATTAATTTATTTTAATAATTTAATTTTAATTCAATAATTAAACAAATTTAATAATTCACTTAATTTATAAACACAGGGCTCGAATTAGGTCCGAAAATTTGTTTAAAGTCCGTAAAAGTCAGTTTTTTTTAAAAAACAATTTAACTATTTTTATAAATAGAAAAAATTTATCGAAAGAAATAAACTATTTTTCATAAATAATAAAATTCTTCTCAGGAATTCAATTATTTTCAATAAATTAAACAAATTTTTTGAAAGAATTCAATTATTTTCTAAAAATCTTAATAAAATTCAAGAATTAAATATTTAATTTCATATATAAAATTAAATATTACTTTGAAAACTTTCAATTAAAATTATTAAAGAAACTCCATTATTTTAAAGAAACTTAAAGAAATTCTTCAAAAGAATTTAATTAAGATTAAGAAAAATTTTAATGAAATTCTTTCCAAATTCAATTATTTTCATAAACATTTTTAGCAATTTTTTTCTTAAATAATAAAATTCATTTTATGAATTCAATGATTTTCGTAAATAATAAAATTTTCGCAGGAATTTAATTATTTGCAAACACAATTTTCATAAAATTTTTCGAAAAAAATCGATTATTTAAATTGATTTTTATAAAATTCTTCGCTAGAATTTAATTATTTAAAAAAAATAATAAAGTTCTTCGTAAGAATTCAATTATTTTTGAAAATTTTAATAAAATTCGTTGCAAGAATTTGATTATTTTTTAAATTTTTGATACAATTCTCGGCAAAAATTACAATTATTTTCAAAAATTTCCCTCAATTCAATGATTTTCAATATCTATTATTTTAATAAAATGTTCCAAAAGAATTCAATTATTTAAAAAAATTTAATGAAACTCTGCGCAAACATTTAATTATATTCATTGAATAATAAGAATTTCACAAGGAATTCAATTATTTACAAATTGATAAATTTCTTCCCAATAATTTCATTATTTTCATAAATAATAAAACTCATCACAGAGTTTCAATTATTTTAAACTCAATTTTAATAGATTTTCTCGAAAAATGTAATTATTCTTAAAAAAATTTACTACAATTTGTCAAAAGAATTGTGTTATTTACAAATTTGTTGATAAAATGAATGAATTCTTTATGAGAATTCAATTTAATGAATTGATCAATTATTCAATAAGTTATTAATTTTTGTATTTAAATAATTTAATTCTAGTTGAATTTTCTAATAAAAATTGATTTAAAAAGGAATTTCAGATAAAATTTTACAGATTATTAATTGAATATTAAAAGCATTAGGTAAAGCATGGATTTTTAGAAATAATTGAATTCAAAAAAGGTTTCAAATTAAAATCTTTGAAAATTAAAATTTTAACTAAGTAACAATTCTGTGAAATTAATTTTTGCTTAATTGAATTTTTTTTTTTAAACTTTTTCAAGTTGTTATTTTCTAATATATATTTAATAGAAGAATTTTCGAATAATTGAAATTTCTTAAAATTAAACTGTAAACAAATGGATTTGAAAATTGTCAAAGAACTTTTTCGAAAATTATTTAAAATAATTGTTTAAAGAAGAATTATAGTTAAAAATTTTTCATTTTCAGGACGTTAAAAGAATTAGTAGGAGTCAACTTCTCTTCGACGTGGACGATCGAAATCTTTTTTCCGATATAAACATCAGGATACTTTTCTGGCCAAGGGATATTTTCGACATGGACATCAAAAACTTTGTAAGTCCCTCCTGTTCTTCAGTAATAGTAAGGTAACGGAAACAGATTGTAATATAATTTGAAAAATTTCCATAGTGTCAACTAATTAAATTGGTACACATTCAGTCCATTTAATTAGCAAGTGAATTATTCATAATAATACTTTTGAGATTAGATACGTATTTTTCTTGGTATAACGTAATATTAAGAAGAGTTATTGTCTTAAAAATATATTATTTTCTATATTTTTTCGACATTTCTATACGACGAAAAAAATTAATTGATTCAAATAACTGATTGTCTATTATCAAATAAATATTTACTCGAATTAAATAATTTTTATTTAAGTCAAATAAATTTATATTTGATAGGAAATTTTTTCTCAAAGTTATTATTTATAAATAAAATTTTCTTTAGAGAAATTTTTATCAGAATTAATTATTAAAAAATAAAATTTTTGTTAGAAAATTTTTTATCAAAATTTTTTTTTTATAAATAAAATTTTCGTTAGAGAATTTTTTTTATCAGAATTAAATTTTAAAAAATTAAAAAATAGAAACATTTTTTTCAGAATTATAATTTTTCTGTTAAAATTTAGAATAGAATGTATTTTTCTTACAGTTTTTATAAAAGTACTCTTCTATTTTCTTAGAAAAAAAAAATTTTAATTTTTTTCCCATTAAAATTGTATTATTTTGTTTTAATGTTGTCTTTTTTAATAATATTTCCATTCACTGTGAGCTACTATGGAAACTTTTTCCTATTTTCCACATAAATATGTTGAATAATTTTCTGTTTACGATCAAATCTCTTGTTTCATATATGACTACGGAAAAAAATCATTTATGCTTTTGAAGACAAATAATTGTTTTCAATCATTTAAAACTTTTTAAATTGTTTGAAAATTTTATCATGAACGTTGTGAAATTCACCGACGTAAAAAAACTACGTCGGTGAATTTCACAACGTTTATGATCAACGATTCAAAGAAAGAAAAATTTTTCTTTACAAAAACATTACAATGTTTTGTTTAAAATTTTTTCTTTTTTAAATTATTGACCGAAAATCTATGAAAAATATTTTTTTATACAAAAATATATATAAAAATATTTTTTTTTCTAAATCATTGATAATAAACGTTGTGAACTTCAACAAAGTAATTTTTTGTGTGTGAATTTCCCAACGTTTATAATCAACAATTTGAGAGGAAAAAATACTTTTTTTTTGTATTAAAAAATTTGAATGGAAAAATATTTATTTTGTCTAAATTGTTAATTTGAATCGTTGCGAACTTCAATAAAGTAATTTTTTTGTATGTGAATTTTCCAACGTTTATGATCAACAATTGAGAGGAAAAAATACTTTTTTTTTGTATTAAAAAATTTGAATGGAAAAATATTTATTTTGTCTAAATTGTTAATTTGAATCGTTGCGAACTTCAACAACTATGAATTTTTTTTCTACTTGTTGATATTATTTCTTAGCAAAAATTACCAGTCTTTTAGAGACAATTTTCGCTTCTAAATTCTTCCCTTTTGATAATGATGTTTAGGTTAATCTGTTTAGTAAATAATTAGTAAAAATAAACTAAATGGTTAATTTATATTATTTCGGAAAAAAATAGAAATTAGGTATTTTCTTTAAGAAATTTTATTGTTTAAATATTTATTAGTCTTTGTTATAGAAGTTGCGGGCAAATATTCTTCGTGATTGAGGAAAACTGTTTTCCTCAACCGCAATATACATTATAAGAATATTTTAAGAAAAAATTTTGAAACTTGGGCAAATCTGATTTAACTTGTAGCTTGTGTAAATTTTTTATATCCTGTATGACAAAGAGGATATGTTTATGAAGTGTTACTGAGTCTCATGACTACAAGTTATATCGTAGCGTGCTGTCATTACAAGCTACAAACAACATGATACCTCCCGCGATATATGAATATATTACCTACATTCAAATATGGCGTTCCGTCACGCCTATGTAAATTTATAACTTTCTGTTCATTATTTACATCAGATAGAATGGATATATCATGCATAATCGAAAGCCCTATTACCGCAAATTAAATGGGATCAAATGAGAAGTTACACATACCTCTCATTCAATTATTTCCAACCATTTATTTTCTTTTCTCTTTTTTCTTTTCATTCACTATTTTTTACACTATTTTACAATATTTTATCAATTATATTTACATGATAATTACACAAATTGATTCTTCAACACGGTTGTCACAGGTCAGGAAAGTCAGGGAATTCAGGGAAAAGTCAGGGATTTTTAGTAAAAGTACTGAAAAAATTGAATTTTTAAAATTCATGAGAAAACTCTGAATTTTAATGTTTTTTTTGTTTGCCTCGTAAACTATGAAATTACCACGAATTTTAATACAAAAACCTTCAAAATTTTCTATTTCTGACAATAATTTCTTTTTAAATAACTTAATTTTTCAAAAACTATCATAAAATTATGACTAAATTATTTAATGAATAATTTTTACAATTTTTATAAATACTAGATTGATAGAAGAGTTTTAGTTAGAAATACTAAAAAAAAATTAAATTTTGGAAAAGTAACAAATCATTTCAGAAATTCAATTATTTTCAAAATTTTAAATAAATTTCTTCGAACTAATTCAATTATTTTCATAAGTAATAAAATTTTCCCAGGAATTCAATTATTTACAAATTTTTTATAAATTCCTTCGCAATAATTCAATTATTTAAAAAAATTTAACAAATTTCTTTTCAAGAATTCAATTATTTTTATAAATAATAAAATTCTTCACCGAAATTCAATTATTTTTATAAACTTGAATAAAATTCTTTGCTAGAATTCAATTATTTATATAAGTAATAAAATTCTTTACAGAAATTCGGTTATTTTTATAAACTTGAATGAAATTCGTTAGAAGAATTAAATTATTTTCAAAAGTGATAAAATTCTTTGCAGAAATTCAATTATGTTCAAAAACTAAAAAAAAAAAATTCTTGTCAAAATTTCAAGTATCTTTATAAATAATAAAATTTTTCTCCGAAATTCAATTATTTTAGAAAAATTTTTATAAAATTCTTGGGAAAATTTTAATTATTTTCATAAATAATAAAACTCATCGCAGGATTTTAATTATTTTTGATACAATATTTTAATCGAATTCCTCGAAAAATGTTATTATTCTTAAAAATTTTATTAAAATTTGTCAAAAGAATTCAATTGTTTAAAAATTTGTTGATAAAATTCTTTATGAGAATTTCATTTTAACAAGCATTCAATTATTCAATAAATTATTTATTTCTTAATTTAAATAATTGAATTCTTCTAGAATTTTCTAATAGAAATTGATTTAAAAACGAATTACCGAAAAATCGATTTATTATTTATGAAAATAATTGAATTATTGCAACGAGTTTTATTACATTTTTTTGAGAAATTTGTAAATAAATGTAATAAAGAATTTTTTTTTGAGTAACTAATAGTATAATTTAATTGAAAATAAATAATTTTTTTCAAGTATTTTATTACAAATTTTTTAAAATTAACTTTTAAAGAATTTTAATTAAAAATTTTGGAAATAATTTAATTCTAAAAAATTTTAATGAAAAATCTTCAACTGTAAATTTAATAAAAATGAAAATTAATGAAAATTAGATTGCAAAAATAATTTAAAAATATTTTTGAATAAACTAATTCTCAGAATTTTTTCATTATAATTTTTTAAAATTCAATTATTTTAAATATTTTTGATTACATATTTCTGAAAATTCAAATACATTAAAAAATAATTTTTAAATTAAACTAAAGTTTCTAAATTAACCTAAAAAAATAATAACGTTTTAAAATTATTTTTAACATTTTCGAGAAAAAAATCATGTTCAAAATTTTTAATTAAAATTCCTCCAAAAAATGAATTACTTTCTTTTAAATTACACAAAAATTCATTTTTGAAATTCAATTCAATTCAATTCAATTCAATTCAATTCAAAGTTTTGTTTTACATCTCTTACAGCCTTAATTATCTAAATGAGTACAATAAGAAGTAAACTATTAAAATATAAGAATAAACAGTTTTATAAACACATTTTATGTTTGAGATTTACTTTTTTTTTAGATTTATTAAAATTTCGGAGAAATCATTTTTAATGAAAATTTTAAAAAAATTTTATTTTTTATAAATATTGTTTAAAAATTAAAAACTTAATTATTTTGAAAAGATTTTATCAAATTTCAATTATTTTTCAAAGATTTTACCAATTTTCAATTATTTTTTAAAAGATTTTACGAAATTTCCATTTTTTGGACATTTTTTAATTGTATGTAATTGTAAAAATATTGTCTTTTATTTCCCGTGAAAAGAGAAATAAGAAGTATTTAAATATTTGTCTAGCAAAATTATTCGAGTTTTGATTAATTGAATTTAGAAATCAGTAATGAATGATGAATCAGGAAAATTCAAAATAAAATTTTTTGAGACAACAATGAATTAAATAAACGACTTTTCCGACTTTTTTCTATTTTTAATCGACTAATGTGACTTTTTTGGATCGTTAAAGTCGATCCGAGGCCTGATTTTCGGCAAAACTTTCATTCTTCAAATTAATTTAATTAAATACGAGTCTAATGGAGATTCACTATAAAACGAAAATAGATTCTTTATTTCAATCGAAAACAAGTTTGTTTTTAATCTGTTTTTGCCTTAAACAGAAAATCAGTTTTTTTTATTACAACTTGATTTTGCAAAGAATTTTAATGTTATTCGGTATGAAATTATTGTTGATTGAGAGAAATGAAAGTAAAATCGATTCTCACATACGCGCATAATTTTTGAAATTAGATAATCGCGAGCCAAATTCATGGCGAAACACTTTCTCCGTTCGTATATTAGTTCTAAAATCCTGAGCTGAATTCAAAATTATCTTCCAACCAACAATTCAAGCACTTCTACCCTCGTTCCGCCGGCAAAATGATCTCCTGCTTTCGATCGCGTTCACAAAATATTCATCGCATCGTTGCTTTCATCTTT